CGGGGAGTAAACCGGTGAGCGGAGTCGAGACGAAGGTAAACTGGTCAGTAGAAGTTTGTTACAAGGTAAACATTGCTGCAACGCTTAATTGCCGTCATAATTCGAGATAGCTTAAGCCCCGCCGCGGGGATACGATCGTTATTCCGAGATGATAACCATTAATATGAAAATCAATTTAACTCTCGAACAATTTTTTCAAAAAACGGCTTATATCCTTCTATGTAATATTTGTAAAAATGTATATTTTAAAAATGTGCGCTATGCATGTTTGCTTTTTTTTCATCTCACGTTTTCTTTGTTAAAAAAATATAAAACCATATAACCCCACGATCTAATAAATCTAATAAATCTAATAAATGTAATAATTTTATAATCTGAAAGAATTGTGTGATTTGATAAAGATAATTATAAAAGATAAATTTTATAAATAACGCGATTGTTATTTTATTTCATTATAATAAATGATAATTTGCGCGAAAATAACAAACTTTATTTTATCATTCCACAAGCAATAAAATATATGTCGTTTTTTTTACGTTAATATACATAAGCGATTATAAATCAATATTTGTTATTTTATATTTTCGCACAATGCGAAATTGTGAAAAAATATTTGTTAATATTAAAACATTCCATTTAGCGAAAAGTAAAAGAATAATGAAATGAAATATCGCACGACAATGTTAGCTTCAAATACAAAACAAAAGCAGTTCCCTATCCACAGATTATAAAATAAGGATTTCGTACGAGAAAAGTGTTGGCAACGCAGTTTCCATTATAAGTATCTTTCAGCTCTGAAATTAAGCTTATTATGTAATGTACTTTAATCAGCTTTATTTATACTATCCAAAAATATGTTGTTTGTACGTATTATTTTATCTCATAAAAGATTTTTGCTGGAATACATCTCGTTTTATTTTTCCTGTAAAAGCATTTTTACAAAAAATTTGAAAAATCTCTAAAAAATACAAGATATCCACAAATATTGTATATTTCTAGAAGCCAATAAAAAAAAAATTCATCGTCGCCCCCGATACAAAATTTCAAGCGTTACGCTCGAGATCGTTGTCGATGAAATACGAATAAAGGTAAATGGAAAAAAGTGTTGTGATATCGGGTAAATAAACAAACTGCATGTATAATAAATAAATAGATTTACTTACCAGGTGTTACACCGGTGCTACCGCCCGGCCAGATCCGCCAGCTGTTCCATCGGCGCCAACTTCTCGGCGATTTCTGACATCGGTTCACTTCCTCCATCCAGATAACTCACACACGATACGAATATGCGAAGAGAAGATAATTACGATCGCGTTACGTAACAATCTTTAAAGCGGTAAGCGTCTTTTCTTCAACCTAATTTACTATAGTCTATCGCGTTCTCCAATTTCACAGCGTAATGCTACAAACGCTTGACGTTTTGCTCGACGCGCTGTATACGCCATGTTTACGCGCGTGTTTTCCTTCTAATGAAAATAGTACATGCACCGGAATAGAAAACGAACGAGATACTGTCGCTGGGATAATGTCGTCGTAGTCGTAGTGGGAAATGGATAAACGACCATTTCACGAGAGAACGTTGTCTGTACATTCAATCGTGCGCTTGGACTATAAGCTATAACTAATCGTCATCGTATATTAATTTGCCGCGCAATATGCTGTACATTTAGCTGTATATTTAGCTGCGTGAAATGAAACGATACGAATAAAAATGGGCACTTACTCTTATTTTCGACGATTTTACAACACTTTTATACGCGAGTTAATTTGTACAAAATAAAAAATATAAATGTCGCGGATACAATTAAATTAATACATTTTTTATATTATTCTCGTGAAACTTAATTCGTTTTGTAAATTTCCACGCGATTTTATAATATCCGTCAAAATTTGTTTCTGAGAAAATGAATTGAAAAGTATGCAAAATTAAGGGAAAAAGATGTAGGAGACAGATCGACTCGCTGTTTCGGCAAAATCGCAAACTCGAATTAGATTCAAATTAATTCACTCGATACGGTAAACATATGTTCTCGAAACGGGCACGATTAGGAGATTAAATAAAGCGGGTTTGTTTACGATCAATAATAGCGATGCAGCGATATGATGCACTCGGGATAAGTAAATAACGCGAGATATAAACGACGGACGTTTCGATGTAACGATTATAGCGCACATGTTCATGATTACGAAAACACGATTAAATCGCCGATCGCGCATACCTAGCAATTATTGCGAACGTAGCGATCAATGTTCACCCGACACCGACCGTAATCGGAGGTAATTATCGGCGCGTGTAGCTCGCGCGTACCTCGTTTTCGACGAAAGGAACGACGAGCTGACTGATTTCGAAGCGCGCGAAACTAAAAAATGGCGGATCGCACTCGACGACTGATCCGGATGATCGAACGTCAACTTGTGAATGGCAAACTTTATATACCGCTACCTTTCCTTACGTCGCTCCCGATATCAACAATTTATTATATTGGATTATTATTTCGCGAGACAGGATATTCGATTGCTCTACAACCGATTAAACGATTAGCGATCGACAACTCGAAAAAGACTCGAAATACACCGTAACCTTTTCAAAACATATCGACATAATCGAAACGCGAGCGACTGAAAAATGGAGAAAATACTTGCTAATTGTGACAGTACCCCAGCCGTCAACCACTTTACTCGACACTCGCGCGACTCGTTCGACACGCACGATCACTTGTGATGAATAAAAATTGCACGAAACACAGAGCGATATCACTGCGCGACTACGATCGAGACGGGAAGAGAAAAACCAAGATGGCGCCCTCTCTCGCGCGGCGACATGCGCGTTGTACTTTGATATTCGAGCGCTCGAAAATCGAATGTGTGGCAAATTTCACGCGATTTCACTCGGACAATTATTATGTATACGAGGTTATTACATTAGCATTATTTTAACGCGCAATCATAATAATAATAATTACTGTACTATTATTGTACTCAATTAATACAATAAAACCTCGCAACGAGATTATTGAATTGCTCTATACCTGGGATGCGCGATTAGACGAGTGATGCGATGGATTTGGAACAGATAGATAATTCGCGATATATTGTTTAAATCACACGAATAATATAATAAAGATGCAGAAGGCGGGGTAAATGCGCGACGATCGTCCGTCACTTTGACACTCGCGCGACCGATTCGGGACGCGCACGCACAGAGATCACTCGTAACGGATAAATACGCGACATCGAGTGGCCGCGCGACGATCAAGTGACGCGACGATGTCGCGGGTCGTGCCGAGAGAGAGAAGAAGACAAAGATGGCGGCCTCGCGCGGCAACATGCGCGCTGAACTTCACGGCGTACGATATAAAGCGTCAGCCGCGCGCTCTCGAGCTTCATAAATATCGCAAGAACCAACAATAAGTATACTACGCTACGTAAGATGGCCTCGACGGGGACCGATGACGAGCGCTCCCGTGCGTGGGTGTCGGTGCGGCGCGCATAAAGCGCACGATTCGGTGATAAACTACTCGGTCGCGAGAATCGCTTTGACATTTAAGAAAAAGAGATTAATCGTGGGGTTGCTGAAAACCGCAAATACGTCTTTCTTTCCGCCGCGAGCGGCCGAGTTCTTTTGTTTCCCACGGCAGCCAAGTCCATTTGTCGAAATTACGTCTGTTCGACCGAGCGCGAGAAAAGCGGGAGAAAAGTAGGCTATCGTAAGACGACGGATTCCCCGTGAAATTTCATCCAAGTTTCTTATTCTATGCGGACCGCGGGAGAGAGAGAGAGAGAGAGAGAGAGAGAGAGAGAGAGAGAGAGAAGGAGAGAGGGGAGAGGCTCGTGTCGCGTTAGCTAACGCTCCGTCGACTTTAAATTTTCTAATAAAGGAACGAGAGCTCTCTTTTATCGCCTCCCCGTACGTTACGCCAAAGAACGCTGAAACGCGATACAGGCGTGTAATAGACGTCAATAGCGATCTTGATCTAATCTTCGTGCGCTATCGATCATCGGGAGCATCCACCTTCCCTTCGTATAGCCGTCAAATGCGCACCGCTAAACAAAATAATTAAAATCATCATTACATTTCGTCCGTTTATATATTTTACGCACTCGATAAACGATATTTTTTTTTTATCGAAAACGATTACAAGATTATTTATATCTCGTTCGCGCTATATTTTTCTTATACTCACTTAAGACTTCAAATACATGTGTCCTTTTAAAGCTGCTCGTTCTTATGCCCGAGTAATTCGCTAATGGAACAAGTCCGTTCTTGGAATTGCTGTTGGTTTATGCAGCGAAGAAATTTGACGAAGAATGGACGCACGATGAAACTTATAAGTTTTTTCCTATTTGTGGTAAATCCGACGAGAAACTCGGGCCATTTCTGTCTTAAGTAGTTCCGCGTAATTAACGTTCTCTTTTGCGACAAGATTAATTTCTTTTGCGCGAAAAACCACGTCGAAGAATACGACTCCCCAACGATAATCTTTGCAAAAACGTTTCGCGAATATGAACCGCGAATTTCTCGCGCAGCGGACTAGAATAAAATGGGCGAAAAGGAAAAGAGGCCTTTTTAACGCTTTAAATATTGTATCGTATCAAAGAGATAAAGGAAAATAATAACTCGCGCTCTACTAAACTATCAAAGAGTCTAACATTGAAAGGCGCGATACTCGTTATTACTCTGTCAAACACACATTTTTAATCAACGATGAAGCAATAAGAAATTAATTATAGAATAAAATAAAATAGATTTTTTTCCATAATACTATTTGTACGCGTTCGTGCATATAGACTATTTCTATAGGATTTTCTATATTACATATGTGATGTGTGTATAAAAATACAAAAGTTAAAAACCCATTCATTATTATTGCGTTGAAAGAGTTTAATTCTTCAATCGCAATTATAATTTTGTTACAAAATCAATAAGTAATTATAGTTTTGTTACAAAATCAATAAAGTACATATACAATCACTTTTTTAACTAATTATTAAACTATTATGTAAACTAAATATTACAAGTCAACGTAAATTGTATCAGGTTTTAAGATTTTATACAATGTTCTTTTTAGCAAATTAATTTGAAATCTATTATGACCAGAATTCACTCACCCACATAGTTGTTAAGAAGAAAGATAACGACAAATCCGACAAGTACCGAAAAAAATTGAAAAATACCTGCAAATTTGCGCAAACTTTTATGCCATTTTGTTCTTTCCCTCGGAAGAACCTCACTCACGGTAACATATAACAAAGTTCCGCCTGCTAGACCTTGCAGGATCGGCAATACCACTTTTGACCAATCTGTATTTGCCTGCATGTACGCACATTCGAAATAAACAATAAAATTAAATGTTATCCAATGATATTTTAAAAAAGTTGATTTATAAATGAAAATCTAACGAAAGAATTTTTTTCTCACCTGAAATGTTAGCATGCCGATACCGATTCCAATGACAGATCCGATGGCGAATATGAAAACTGCAAATATTAATTTAGGCACAGATTTGCTGACTCCCGCCATTTCTAATCCCAAACAGAAGCCGACGACAAACTTGTGCGATGCTACAGCTCCAGTCAGCAATAACACCTGAAAAAAATGATGTATGCTCACTGCATAAATCAAACCCATACATATTTATTAAAAAGAATTTGATAATAAAATTGAGAGTATCCTACGAGTTGGAAAATATTCCGCATTATTGTACAACGTTATTTGTTTCGTTTTGTATCGTACAAATATATAATATATAGAAAAAATATATAATATTCTTTTCCAGCTTTTTTATCTAGTAATTAAATTTCAAATTTAAATATTATTGAAGAGAGTTAAACATTAAAATATTTCGCGTTTTATCGAAATTTTATACTTAAATGATTATTCACTATACTATTATATATGTATATATATCCACGGTGTGGATTCTAATTTATCTTTTCCCAGGGTTTATTATATTTAGATTGTATGCAGCACACCTCGGCGATTTGCGTTTGCAGCCCTATCGCAAGTCCTTCAAGGACGGCGTGTACGGTGAGGGCGAAGGCAAGACCAGCAAGACCAGTATTAGCATCGGTGCATTGCTCCCCGTGATTTCCATGACACAAAAATGTTGTCTCCTCGTTCGACGAAGGACCGTCGTGTACGTTGCATCGCGTCGCACCATAGCCGCTAGACGCCCATGTGCTATTGGTGTTATTGTTACCAAAGAAACTCTGTCGATGATTAAGCGGTAATCTCGTATTTCCTTCGGATACGTAAACTTTGTTATCTTGTGTGGTGGCATTGTAACCGACCTCATGGGAATGGTTTCGGCAGTTCAAACAACTGAAATTCAAGAGACAAAATTCCATCAAAGAGAAGCAAAACCAGAATTATGCAAAGATATGCGCATTGAAAGCGGGGAAATTTAAACCGGCATTTAATCATGTCTTTCATCATCACAAATCATCCTAACAAGGAAATATTATAGCATATAAATATACATTTTTTGAAATTGAAAAGATTATGAGAAGAGAATTGTAAATATAATTCTTGAAAATCTATATACATATATATTAAAAATGCAGATGAATTTAAATAAATAATTAATTTAAACTCGGATATGAAATACTATACATTATTGCAATACATAAATACATTATTAAAGTATTCGATCTCGATTCTTATTGTAGATAGCAAAAAGTCTCGAGTGTCGATAGCAATCTTATATATATAAACTAGCAACATGAAAGCTGATATCTAATATCGACACCCAACAATGTCTCGAGCTCGATCATTTTCTACATTCGTGTGGACATTATTACTGGATATAAACTCATTTTTCACTTTAAAAGAAGTTATTCGAGAACAAAGGATCGATTGTTTGAGTGTGCGATTGAACACGATTATTTTTCACAAGAGATCGCTATCGTTTATACTATTTTTATACTAGAATTTATTTCTACAAGTTCCACCCGCATCGAACAAAGGAAAATCGCAAAAAATAACGTATCGTTGACCATTTTCTTTCTTACATCAAGCTAGATCCGTTAATTTATCTTTGTATAAATCTTCCCTGATGACGGAAAAGGCAAACTTTGAAAGAAAACTTTCAAAGCGTTCGTATAATCTATTCCGAAAAAATATCGCTATTTGAAATTGATATCATTCGCGAGATTGGATTTCAAGTAATAAAAAATGTAAAATAAAAGAAATTAGATTGCATATATGTTACAACTATATCTACATTATTTTTCCCAGTCTTGCCAGTCAAAATTTGTTTATTTATTCAATTATTTTGACTATTATTACACAAAAATACTTTTCATAAAAACTCGGCATGAATCATTCTATAATTTTTATACGACAGTCTCTGATTTTTCACCGCGAATAAGTATTGTCTCGTCGGTTATCGATGATAACGAATGATCTGATTGCTATTATCGCAATATTTTTATACGTTTTTATTACATGTCAATCGTAAAAATATTCAGAATTAAAAAGTAAGCCAAATCTCTCTTTCTCTCTGTAGTTATTATTTTTTTCACTATTAATTAAATTATATACTTTTGTATGAAATAGACGCGCACTGCAAGAGTAAGATAAATTGTAAAACAGCTTTAAAATGCATTACGACCATCAATCATTTTTCACACATCGATATAAACACGCTTCTTCGATGCAAGAATATTTAAGAAAATATTTAAGAGAATATTTAAAGCTTGTAGTCCACACGAAGCTCTTTCGACGCACGTACCTACCCTCGCTCGTTGCTTTGCCTGGAAGGATTCGTCTCGGCCACGTGATCGCCGCTTCGACAAACGTAATGAACGCATTCCTCGACCAGGTAGAGTACGAGGAAGCCGCAGGAGAACATGAGTTCGGCGTATTCGGGCAAAGCCTCGCGCACTTCCGGCAATACGTGCAGCATCGAGGTTGCCAGGAGGACACCGGCGCCAAAGCAAAGGGCACAGGAGAGCAGCAGTCTTCGTTGTAGACGTTGCACGCTCGAGATGAAGAAGGCGGGCGCGATGCCGATGAAGAAGCTACCGGCGCCGATCAGCACCATCGACGCCAGCTTCGCTTGTACCGCGTTAGCGAACATCATCGCCTAGTAGTCGAGTTGTGATCTCTTTTCTTACCGCGATCTCGACTGCTACCGAGACTGATTCCCCGAGATTGGTCCCGCTTCGTGAGACTAAGCGATGACTTGACGTACGGGATCCCTTCTCGCCTACCATCGAACGTGAGATGTTTGTCGTCGTGGTTCCACCTCGAACTTGATCTTTGTTTAAAGAGAAACACTTTGGGAGAAGGCAGCTCCGATGACCCTCTGTGCGTCACAACAATTCTGCGCACAGACACGTCTCGAGTCTCGAGGCACGACCTTAATCTGACGAAAGATAACACCGATAGAGCTCTCGATACTTATTACTGTCACATTAGTCGCTATTTATCTACTGGTCAACATTCAACATTCGAGAAAGTTGACTGGACGATTTTATTGCTAGTCTCATGACGCGCGTTATCGATCGGGTTTTCATTTTAATTTATTGCCCAACGATGCAAAAAAAAAAAAACAAACAGTCTTGAACAGTTTTGACAATTCGAATGTAAATTTCAAACATTGTAAAATCTGATATACGATGCTACATCTTTCAACAAATTGTTGGTCAAATCGAATGTTTGCTCTCTACAACAATAATATTCGATTGACGCGAGAGCTAAAAATAGAAATCGATTTTGCAAAATAAGTACTAGCGATAATACTTGCGCGTATGAGAAAAAACCGCCGAAAAAATTCGATGGAGCTTGTGATGCAACTTTAATCAATTCGATTGCGATAAAAGAGCAAATATATATAGCAATTTTATCTATATTTTATTTGAAAGCACAAAGTTTTTCACATTGATATTTACGATACGCATAAAATGTCATAAATAATGATCCAATTATATTTAAAATGAATTATTCTTTACCTCACCTCGCATGCAACTTGGATATTAAATGTCGTATAAGCGAGTATATATCATGCGTCTTTTTTAAACTTTTCAGCGTAGGTCATAAAGATCATATATCTGACCTTTTCAGCTACTTTCTGTATATATTCTTTTTTCTTCCACTTTCTTCTTCTTTCGTTTTCCCTCCAATATATATATATACATATATATATATATATATATATATATATATATATATATATATATATATATATCGTATTACATGTCATTTCAGGTCGAGAGAACAGAAAATATGCAATTATATAGAAGGGAAAATCTCTCATGATTCTGGCGAATTGCGTTCAAAGATCTTCTCGCCAGGGGCGTTGATTGGAGCGTTTGATGGACCAATCAGGACAAGATTTATTTCTCTATTCTGATTGGTCAGTCATACTCTACTCGTTCAATCCAACAGTGATAATCTATCTAGTGTATTGCGATAGTCAATGGTAGGTCCATAACCAATTTTTACGAATGTACAGCAAATGAGGTTATATCATTGATAAAGAATATTGCAATGTAAACACTTAGATAAATATCTCATGTGATTAAAAGATTGGGTATAAAATTGAGCGTAAGCTTGCGTATAAATATGTCACATTCATAAAGGAACAAAGTATTATTGTCATTGCGATATCGCGACTAAAGTGAGTTTATGGCGCGATATACGAATTAAGAATGTCGTCGAGAAGCGGTACGAGAAGACGTTCGTCCAGCCGGGAACGTACGCGTGAAAGTGACAAGTATGACAGGAAGAGACATCGCGACGATTGCAAGATCGATGAGCGCAGCTTGTCAAGAACCGATCGAGAAACGCGTAAATCCTCGTCCTCGACGAGTCGTCGTGAAGAGAGCGACCAAGATTTCTACTTTAGTAACTACAAACACGAATTGAATAAGATTTTTACAGCAAATTCAAATCTCATTCACGACGTTGTGGATTTTTGGAAATTCGTCGAGAAATACGAGTCTGTCAAGAAGCAATTGGGTGATAGCGAGGAATCTGCAGCTGATTCCTCTTTAAATTCCATCGGAGTGCCAGAAAAATATCACAAGTCTCATTGTCTAAATTTTAAGCTTAATTTGTCATATGGAGAATTATTTGCGCGAGTCCCCGAAGTGAAACAGCTGACAAAGTCTCGACTGCTAAAGTTCAGAGACGTAATAGTCTTATACTTGGATTTTAAGCAAAAGGAAAAATTGAGCAAATTAAGAAAACTCAGGGACACGCAAGCTAATTTACCAGTCGCACGATATAAAGATGAAATTATCGAGACGGTAAAAAAAGAAAAAGTGATCATTATAGCAGGAGACACAGGTTGTGGGAAATCTACTCAAGTACCTCGATACTTGTATGAAGCTGGTTTTCGAAAAATAGGTATAATATTGTCAATATTTAAATATGTCTTATATTGAAGTGATTGTATATTTAATATGATATGATCTATACAATTATTTTTGTTTCATAATTTGCAATACAGCATGTACACAACCTCGAAGAATAGCGTGTATCTCATTGGCAAAACGTGTCGCTTTTGAAACACTGAGCGAGAACCTTAGCAGAGTTGGATATCAGATACGTTTCGAAAAACAAAAAAACCAAGAAACAAATATTACGTTTATAACTGAAGGTTTATTGTTACGACAAGTAAATATTTCATTTGTAAATTATTAAAGATAGTCTTGATGAAAAGATTCTACGTATTTAAATTATTTTACAGATGTCAGGTGAATTAGCACTATCTTCGTATGATGTGATAGTTTTGGATGAAGTGCATGAGCGTCATTTACATGGAGATTTTTTATTGGGCATTATGAAATGCATTATTTATCAAAAACCTGATTTAAAATTGGTATTAATGTCTGCCACTATTAATATAGAGCTCTTTAATAATTATTTTGCAAAAGAAGATGTTAAAATAATAGAAGTAAGAATATTTGCCACTTATAAGATAGTTAAACAGTTTAATTGTTTTTAAATACTTTTAAACATTGGTCGAATATATATATATATATATATATATATATATATATATATATATGTAAAACTGAGATTTGTCATACATATATTTAGGTTCCTGGAAGATTATATCCTATTCAATTGTTTTACCGTCCTGTAACTGTAGAAGATATCAGATATAAAAATGATCGTTTTAATCCAAGTCCATATGTACAAATAATGCAAATAATTGATCAAAAATATCCAGGTGAGAGAAAAATCTACATTTGAATTACAATAACAGACTCTGATTCTGTGGAAATAATCACATCAATTATAATAGAAATTGATTAAAAATTAAAATTATTTACTGATATTTTAATTTTAAAATTACAATTACATTGTCATAATTACAATGATAGAAACATTTCAGCCAATGAAAAGGGTGATTTATTAATATTCTTGAGTGGAATAAGTGAAATTACTGCAGTCGTAGATGCTGCCAAGGAATATAGTACAAAGAAGAATAATTGGATAGTTCTACCACTTCATAGTACTCTTTCCATCATTGAACAAGACAAGGTATATTCTCTCATATGATCTATCTTTGTAATTTATTTTTGTTTCATTTGTTTGATCATAAAAGATATGAAAGAATATTTTCACTTTCCCTAGGTATTTGACTATGCACCTGAAGGTGTTAGAAAGTGCATTGTTGCAACTAATATTGCAGAAACTTCCATTACTATTGATGGAATCAGATTTGTCGCCGATAGTGGAAAAGTGAAGGAAATGAGTTATGACCCATCATGTAAAATGCAAAGACTGAAAGAATTCTGGATAAGTAAAGCTAGTGCAGAACAGAGAAAGGGAAGATCAGGCAGGACTGGACCCGGAGTTTGTTACAGGTAAATAATCTGTAATTCTTGTAATAATATTATCATTATTTACGAGATTGAGAATAAACGATATTGTTATTTTTTTATAGAATTTATTCAGAGGAAGACTATAAGATATTGGAAAAATATTCAACGCCAGAATTACAACGTGTACCCTTAGATTCTTCGTTGTTACAAATGATAGCAATGGGACTTCCTGATGCGCGAAAGTTTCCATTCATAGAGCCACCACCAGCCAACAGTCTAGAAAACGCTATATTATCCTTAAAAGATCATGTTAGTATCTTAAATTTTGCATTCTTATTTTTCTTGCAAAGTGCTAAATGTTAAGTTAATGATACTTTCACTAGAGTGCACTCACAGATAATGAAAAAATCACGTGTATTGGTAAAACCTTGGCTCGGCTACCCGTTGATATTACAATAGGAAAAATGTTAATAATGGGGTCCATTTTCCACCAAGTAGAACCTGTATTATCATTGGCTGCTGCTCTAAGTATACAAACACCATTCACAAATAGAGCATACAGAGATGCAGAATGTGAGGTAATTAATGTTAATATATAAAACTATGCTACATTTTTTTATTTCGCAATGAAACAATATTGATAATATTAAAGACATCTAGAAAAAGATTAGAATCTGACCATGGTGATCCAATTACTTTACTGAATGCATTTAAAGAATGGCTAGAAGTGAAGCAAGAAAATTCTCAAGAATATAGAGGTGGCAGTAACAGTAGTAGAAAGTGGTGTCGAAGAAGAGGTTTAGAGGAACAACGATTCTACGAAATGATAAAATTAAGAACTCAATTTAAAGAATTACTTCAAGTTAGTCATGTATTTTTTTCACAGATATACTTTTAAAAAATATCACTAATCACTAAAATATCACTAATATATCCTAATATTATATATTTTGTTTATATGGAATACATTGTACAGGACTGCAAATTACTCAAAAGTCTTCCAGAACCAAACTCTTCCATGACAAGTGCAGAACGTGCGATAAGACATGGAGAACTAAAACTTTTAAAGTCCCTCAAAAGAACTTACAAGCAAAGTGAATCTAGAAAACGTAAACAATTAAAAGTAGAAACGTTTGATATACAATTGGAAGATAATGATGATGAAAATGGAGAGCTCGACATAAAAGATATAGAATTTCGAATGAAAAATGATTCGAGTCAAGTACAGAATCTTTTGACAGCGTCTACCGCGTGTAGTTATAAAGATCTAACAATGTTGAAGTTGATATTATGCAGTGGTTTATATCCACAGTTTGCTTGTGCTGATGAGTATAATTATTGCAAGGTATAAAAATTATACATTATTTATAACTTATATATTTATGTCTATATGATGATATGTAAAAATGTTTTCCAATTTATTATTCAGTCTATGAGTGAGCAATTATTTCATACAAAAGCAAAACCCTATGTTGCATTGCATCCAATGAGCTTTTTTGGAAATCATCAGCAACTTTTGCAAATTGAAGAAGCGGATATAATATCGATACCAGGATTTAAAAGTAAAAGTCCTGTTAGCTCTAAACATCAGATATTGGCATATCTGTAAATTTTTATTTATGTCTATTTTATAACATAATTTGTCAAATATGGATAAATTTAATACATTATAATAAACGCTTTGGCAGATCCCTCTTGGAAACTACAAAACCATATTTGGTAAATACTTTGAGAATGCCTGCCGCACAAACATTATTGCTATTTGCACGTGAAATAGATACAAATAATATATTCTCCTTGTAAGTATATACTTTTATATGTTATAATTTTATATAAATTCGTGTACTTTTATGTCCTAATAAAAGAAAGTAATTAATTAACTCTAATCTAAGACGGATTTTACATGTTGCAGAATAGCATGCGATTCATGGCTCATGTTAGAATTTCCTGTTCCTGACAGTGGTCAGACTTTATTAATGAGAGCGACCAAATTGAGAAATAAATGGGATTTCTTATTAAATCAGCAATTACAAGGTATAAGTATTTCTTTTAACATGATTAAATTATATTTTCTTTTCCTTTCCTTTTCTTTATCCAATATTTATTGTGTCTTATTTAATATAATATAAGTGTCTTATTTTCAGGATCTGATGATGCAAACAATGAAATGAAAGATTTTAGTAAAATTGAGCAAAATCTTACTCAAGAACTGATAGAATATATGCACACTACAGTACCGTATACGATAAAACGATTGTTACCGGCCGACTTAAAAATGATATATGTTGGCAATGGCAATAATGATACATGCATAGAGCCTAATCCTTTTCAAGCTGATTTTAAGAGTGTAGCAAATATAACTAAAGGTGGAGTTCATATAACAGACAATATTACATATAATTGGTGAGTATAAAAGATTATTGAATTAATTAATATAGCAATTTATTCATTTTTTATTATTTAAATTGCAGCTTAAAGGAAACTGATTGGAGTGAACACCTAATTACAGAAATGCGCGAAACTGAATGGCATTGTCAAAATTGTGATTTTCAAGCAATCCTATCAAATATAGAAAAACTTCAGCATCAAAACTGTTGTATAATCGCAAATGCAGCCAATATTGAAAAAGAAAGTGAAAATATCATGCGTAAACCTAATAGTCAAGCATATGAATGTTCTGATTGTTCACAAATATTATATCTCACACCTATTGAGATTTTGAAGCATAAGAAATTACATATTAAAACGAACTAAGATATCTATAGCACTGGATTGTATATAAATATATTTATTAAAAGAGAGTAATTTACAGAAATATATAAGTGATCTTTATATAAATATATTAATATTTCTTTGACAGATATTCATAGAAAATCTAGGTATGTATTATATACATATATTTTATACATAAAATTAAATATTTCTGTAAAAGTAAAATTAATATATTTGAATATTAGAATTTGCAAAGTTTTTGTCTACAAAGAATTTTATTCTTTATACAAGGTATTCGGAAAATCGCCCGCAATACTTCAGGAAGTGATTCGGGACACAAAAAGGAGGAAAAAAGCTATAAATTACGATTTTTTAAACATAAAAGTGGTTATAACTTGGAAAAAACTTATTGTCGGACCTATGTTTATATAGCTTTTTTCCCTTCTTTTTGAGTTCCGAATCACTTCCCGAAGTACTGCGGGCGATTTTTCTGTACACATAAATAATAAATATCTATATACATAAATTTTAATAAATATATAGTATTTACAATAACAAAAAAATAAAAAAATATATTTTATTACAATATATTAAGTATACATATATAAAACGTGACATTAAGTCCATGGCAAGAAATTTGAAAACAATAAACATCCTATAATTGCGTATCCTATAAAATAGAATAGTACAAGTTTATCTTGTAATGTATATTGTTTTTGCGATAAGAAAAATACTTTCCATTTCGAGCCAATGTTTTCTTCATTTTCATATCGTAAATCAATATGATTGATATACTTATGAGACATGCTCAAAGCACAGTACCAATATATCAAAGGACTCGCAGAAGCTAATAAACGTGTGCTGACTTGGATATGTGTAAAGAATAGACAAATCATGGTTAGAAATAATCCGTGTACTACAAAAACAAACATATTTAATGGGTATTTCTTTACTTTGGTAGCATTTCCGTTTTTTCTTTTATTATCAAAAAGTCCTAACAAATACAATTCATCCTTATATTCGCAAGCAAATTCTTTTATACATTGCAACATAATAAACAATATCGGGCAAGCTAAAATAAAATTTGGTATTTGTTTAAATTGATAATATCTTAAGAATCCAACATTCCAATATGTCTTTTGCACATATGAATATGCTAGAGGTATAGTAGCATTACACCATATGGAACCTGTCATGCCTGGTAATACTAGATTATTTTCTGTAGCATACTGTAAAACGTGAACTGGCAGTAACGATTTATCAAATGTAGAAGTACAAAATTTAATATAATTGTATATTTGTAAAAGAAAAAACGGAGATAGCGATATAATTATTGTGCTCAAAATAGTAAAGCAATTTTTTAATGTTATTAGTTTAAAAATATATGATATATTGCGTTTTTGTTTATGTTTCTGAATTTCTTTCGATACAGAATTACACCAATCCTTAAGTCCGAAATATATAGGGAAGCCTATATTGACGATACCATTTGACCTCGTTAAAATCGACAATGCCAAAGGAAAATAAATGGTAGACGTATATTTCATACTGCTGAGCATGGTGTAAAATGTTAAATATGCAAATATGGATTCTGAATATACGGCCGAGAAAAATATGCTGGCTGGATTTATACAGTAAAGTATCGCTGCTTTGTAAGCCGTTACAGTATCTTGAAATACGTATACGGAGAGATCGTAAAGGATGAGGGCTGATTTTACGAAACATAGGAAATTGATAAATGTCGCAGCAACGATCATGGAATTTTGGCTGTTTAACACAGGGAATATATTCGTCAAAGCAATGGCAATGATACGAATCAGAGCTGGATACAATGGATAAAAAGCAATAGTATTTTCATATGTATACCCATATTTCGCAATATGTAAAAAATATTCTCCGTCCCAACGTGTAAGACCGTTGAATAAAAAGTAAATTATTTGATCCCACTGGGAGCCTACCTTTTCTGCGAAATTCAAAGGTCTTTTAAACGCATCTGCATGATGATCGCGAATTAATGCATTGAAAATTGTTTGCAATATTAATATTGCACCTCTACTGACGATTGCGAACCAAAGAACTTTCCTTCTTGGCGAATACATTATGCAATTTCGCATATGTTGTCTATCTTAATTTCACGTAAAAATATAGATCAGTCATATTATGAGATAGACTTGTAATCATCTCACTCATGATAAAATAAAATATTCGGTGATTCACATTTTTCGTTTCCTGTATATATTTTATCATGCAGACAGGAAGTGGTCGAATCGCGTCACTTGCACGATATCTTCCGAATGTAAAGTTGCCACAGATCTGTTAGGGAGTGGACAGTGCGCTGAAAACAGATAATTTTTACGTGAAAATTGCAGACTATTATGTATAGAAAACGCAACATGTATTTTATATTTTATTTATCATTCATTATCGCAATTAATTTTGCATTAATTGCTGCGCACAATACAACAAGAAGTACTACAATAAAACCGCCAGATCCGAACAAACGTATGTTTTTATATATATTTTGCATTATAAATTGTAGGAATAATTTTATAATGGCTTATGTGATTTTTTTAAATTTATATTATTTGCATTAAATTGTGTATGGTAAAATATTAAAATGTTTTTATACTTGCCAGATTTCAAAAAGCCGGATAAAAAATCAGTTGATAAAACATTTGGTAAAGACTTAACAGATTGGTTATTTACTGGATGTTGGGGAGAGGGTAATCTAGCAAATAAATGCTCCCAGTATCGTAGTGGAACCGAATATCCTAGTTACGATGGATGGTATAATAATGTTGGTAAACCAGAGCTAGGTGCAGTTGACACTCCATTGCTAAGAAGACTGCCAGCCGCTTATGAAGATGGAGTATACAAGCCTTCAGGTTCTGATAGACCAGAACCATTAGAGATAAGTGAGAAACTGTTGAGCGGAAAAATTGGATCAAAATCAAGAACGGGAAGAAATGCTTTGCTTGTATTTTTCGGTACGCAAAAATATGTATTTATATCGTATAAAATTTTAAAATTATATCAAATATTTGCACATTTGCAAATTTATACGTTGTAAGCATATCTTATTTATATAAAATGTGATTTGCAAAAAAATGATTTTACAAATAATTGAACCAAATATATAGATTAAATATTTATCAAATATATTATATATTTGTAGTAAAAAAAACATAAGAGATATTTATGGTGACATTTAATATACGATATAATGAAAAAAAAAATACATTTTTAGGTCAGCAAGTAGTGGAGGAAATTTTAGATGCTCAAAGGCCAGCGTGCCCACCCGAATATATCAATATAAAGATTCCTGAAAACCATCGATACAGAATTAAGCCGGGACACACGGAAATGCCGGTTTTACGCACGCGGTACGATCATCGAACCGGTCATTCGCCAAATAATCCTCGTCAACAGGTAACGTTTGATAATGCAATTTTATTCTCGTTTTAATGCAACACACAATTTTTATTATCAATACATTGCAGCTAAACGAGATTACGCCATTCTTAGACGGTGGATTAATTTACGGTACATCTAAAGCATGGTCCGACGTTTTAAGGACAAATAGCAGTGGAATATTGCAGCCGGATGGTCAACTCGCATCATCGTACTTTGGTTTATATCCTGATTACAATACGGTCCGATTACCGATGGCCAATCCACCGCCTCCTATTCATCATCATCAATATGTTTCGCAGCATTATAGCGAGAGCGTCACCAGATATTTCAGTGAGTAAAACTTTATTCGCACAAACACATTATTAGAATAAACGAGTATTAGAATTTTGTGCCGCAGACGCGTTTAGCAGCATCGGCTATATGATGATCCTTTGGGGTGCACTCGTATTCAATTTTTTCGGAATAAGGCATCGGAACGTCGACACCGGCGCACCGCACTGCGGGTGCGTCGAGCTGAAAAAACACCGGGTTCTCCATTACCGTTGCAACGATCTCGGATCCTACTCCGCATCTTGGCCAGCCTAATTCAATAGTCATCAATCGATGCGTCTTGCCGATCGATTTAAACACAGTGTCCCAGTCCAAAGGTCTGAGCGAGCGTAGATTGATAACTTCTGCCTCGATTCCTTGTCCGGCTAATATCTCGGCCGCTTGAAGCGTATATATGTACGCCTGGCCGTGGGTTACCAGAGTGATATGTTTGCCAGGTTTTTCCACCTTGGCCTTGCCAAAAGGTATCTGGTAGTCTTTGTCCATAGCTTGGTCGGATATGGGAAACTCGAGGTTGTAAAGTAACTCGCTCTCTAGCATAATAACAGGATCGGGATCACGCACAGCTGCCTTGAGGCAACCCCTGTAATCCTCGCAGGTACACGGCGACACAACCTTCAAGCCGGGCGTGCTCATGAACCACGCGGCAAAGCATTGAGAATGTTGCGCGCCCAAACCTTTAGCGTTTCCGTTTGGGCCGCGAAACAGAACTGGCACGGGGTATCTCCCAGCAGACATGTAGAGATTCTTTGCGGCACCGTTGACGATACGGTCCATGGCTTGCATGGCGAAATTGAAGGTCATGAACTCACATATCGGCCTCAAGCCTAAGAGCGCCGCGCCGATCGCTATTCCACAGAATCCAGCCTCTGTGATCGGTGTATCGATCATCCGTTTGTCGCCGTACTTCTTCCAAAGACCGCGTGTAATCTTATAAGCGCCGTCGAACTCGGCGACTTCCTCTCCGATGATGAATACCTTCTCGTCCCGAGCCAACTCCTCGTCGAGAGCCATGTTCAACGCGTCTCGTACTGTCATCTTTGTGACAGATCTGCGAGACGTTTCATTAATGACGCAAAGATGCGTCGTTCGCAGCATCAATTTATTTCTCAACGAATTGAGAAAATTCATCTTGGAATAAATATTTCGTATATCTGATTATTAATACGTATATTTTAGAATTGGGAAATCCGCGAGGGAATGAAAATCCGTTCCTGCTGACTTTTGGTATAATATGGTTCAGATGGCATAACTTCGTAGCGTCTCATATTAAACGTCACAATCCAAATTGGTCAAGCGACAAGATTTATAATGAGGCTCGTAAATGGGTGATAGCAACCCAGCAACACATTATCGTCGATGAATGGTTGCCTTCGTGGCTGGGAAAAAGACTTCCTGATTATAGTGGTAAATAAAAATAATACTAGTCAATATGTGATAGCGTTTGATAAACACGATACATATTCGATGTTTACTTGCAATTTGCATATAATCCTAATTGATGATTTATTCGTTGTTTAAAGGTTACAATCCCAATATCGATCCGCAAATAGAACAATTTTTTCAATCGGCTGCTTTTCGTTTTGGACACACCTTGGTTCCACCAGGTAAATAAGGCATTCGATTTTTTTATTAATATTAGATAGATTAAATCATTTTCAAAATACGTCTATATAAATACGTCATAAGGACGTCTATATTAATGACAAGTGAAACTAGTTAAATAAACAATATTAATTTTCATAGCACAGTCTGCCTTTTATTTAATTATAAGGTGATAAAAGAAAAGTCGATTTATACTTGTTGATTTGATGAAAGATCATAAATGTATGTATAATGTTGTCATAATAGAATTGTACAGTTACATAACGTTAATATAATGATAATTACAATGTTAGGTGTATACTTGCGCAACTATGGAAGGAATAATTGTTCTTTGGAATCATATCCAGTTAGAACATGCAATAATTATTGGATGTCACAGGTATCTTGACAACTATATATGTGTATTTAAAATTTCGACAATGCAATAAAGTATGTAAACGATTATTTAGAATTCTCTCTATGCAAATTTAACGAGAATAAAGGATGTCATTGACGTGGAGAAATTATTAATGGGGATGGCTATTCAATTATGCGAAGAGGAGGATCACAAGATCGTTGAAGATTTGCGGGGCAGTTTATTCGGACCATTGGAATTCTCAAGAAGAGACTTAATGGCACTTAATATTCAGAGGGGACGCGATCACGGAGTACCCGATTATAACAGCGCTCGTCGTGCGTACGGTTTACCGGAAATTAAAAATGTATCTCATTTTAATCGCGTAAATCAAGCGGTATGTTATCAAGCGGTATAAAACTTTTAATTCTTATATTTATCCACAATGTTGCAAAATATATTTTATTTTAGATATTTTATTTATTATTTAAAATATTTGATTTAAGATTCGAGATGAATTTCTCAGACTATACAATAATTCGTTCAAGAACGTGGATATCTGGGTAGGTGGTATACTAGAAACTAACGATGGACCCGGGGAGCTATTTCAAAATATTATCGGTGATCAATTTCAACGAATACGCGACGGTGATAGATTTTGGTACAAGAATTTCGACAATAAGTACGCAATTATATCGCTATACTATATTTCATTATATATCTTTTGTACAATTGATTCGATAAACTCTAGATACGACTTTGTTTCTAGACTTTTTACTTACGAGGAAATTCGAAGATTAGAACAATTATCATTTTATGATATGTTAATGTGTATCACTAAAATGGAGTGGAACGATATTCCAAGAAATCCCTTTAGAGTCCCTAAAACAGGTAAAGGAGAAGCTATATGTGGAAATGTAAATTTATTTAATAGTAGTTAAAAAATATCATTAAATATATTTATATTGCCTTTCAGTGGATGATATACATCCCAGTTGTATTAATAATAAAATTGTTAAAAAAGGCAATTGTACATCCGGTTCTTGTTTTCATGCTGAGCAGATAAACGAATATACAATCGAAAATTGCACAGAACCTGGAACTTACGACTTTTTCTCCAACAGCAACGTATCCTTCATTCTTACATTTTTAGGTGTATCAATATTTTTCTGCGGTAATAACTTTTAATTTCATTTCTAATGACTATTATTCAAACATTGTCTGACAACATGGCCATTATGTTAATTTTTTTATGTTAATTTCGACACACAGGTATCATTACATTAATAGTGTTTAAGATACAACTTAAGGAAAAGAAATCAATGAGAGAAAGTATTAAGAAAGTAGATCATAGTGATAATATAGATATTATACATACTGGTAAGAGTTTTTTCAGATATATGCATCTCTTTATATTGCATACATGTATAACAGAAATTTTCTTTATAAATAGCTAGTGAATGGCAAGAACCAAAAGCTGCACTTAGATATGTAATATTAATGCCAAATATCAGAAAAAAGCAACTGGAAGTGAAAAATCAATTGGGACATTTGATACGCGGTATCGACTTTCCAAACAATAGCAATGTTGTGGTATATATTTTTCTAACATGTATCAATTATCGTTTACTACAATATAGCTTAAGCAATAGCGCATAAATAATTAATAAGTATTTAATAAAATGTTTCAAATTTTTCTTCTACAGATTTATTGCGCATCTGATAGTCACTATATTTTAATCCGTGTACATCATAGTTATGATTTAGTATTAAAGTTTGATTCCGATTTTTTAAGAAGCACATTTATAAAAGCATTCGAAAGATTTATATCAGATATTGCAAAATCCAGAAATGTTTCAATGCAAATGATGACTAATACCACACATGCAGCATTACTCAAGCAAGCAATAACTAAAAAGCATCGTCAGAAGAAATTGGAAATGTTTTTCCGCGTCGTATTTGCACAGGTATCTTTCTTTATTTCTTGTCTTGTAAAATATTCAAATAATTTTGAATAATATAACTTAGATTTATCCATCCCGCATGTGTGTGCTTTCAGGCATTCCATATTGCACACACGGAAGAAGAAATTTTACAGATAGATTCGACAGTTGCAAGAGAAGTAATTTATACCGAGCTAACCATCATAGAATTCGCGGAAGCTCTGAGTATGAAGCCGGACGCTGAATTCGTGAAGAAGGTAATATTTACATTAAATCTGATAAGTAATATGCAAATATGCAGCACAAATATATTTGTTGAAAGATTATACATACTTATACATTTACAGATATTTAATCTAGTGGATAAAGATAAGAACGGTTTTATATCATTTCGAGAATTTGTTGACATGTTGGTAATATTTCTAAAAGGCTCTTCAGAAGAGAAAATGAAGTTAATGTTTGATATGTATGATATTAATGGTACAGGAAGACTTAAAAAAGAAGAGTTCTCGGCTATGTTAAGGTATAATTTTAAATTATTCAATTGCATGGCACATACTATCCTGTGCGTTTCTTACATGCATTATATTAAATACTTGCAGATCATTCATGGAGACTGGCAATGCTGATATAACAGATGATGAGTTGGAAACTTTGGTGCAATCCATGATGTATCACGCAGATTTGGCAAACAAAGAAACTATAAATTTACAAGATTTTCAACAGATACTCCGCGATTTTAATGATAAATTCAATTATGTAGAAATAGAATTCAATGTGCCTGCAGATGGAAAGAGTAGCAGAAAGCTTCATGCAGGCGTGCAAACTGTTAGATCAACATTTATTGGCGAAGTACAAAAGACGGTAGAAAGTCTATATGCTGATCCAAATGAATTACGATACAGAATCGAGGGCAAAATAGAGAGTAAAAAAAATGCGAAAGAGGAAATAAGTAACAGCGAAATTATTGACAAGAATGAGAAAATTGTTGAAGAGGTGAAAAAACACTCGGATAATTATTGGTATCCTATAATGAAATATCTCGCTAATAAACGATTGCAAATATTCTGGGCATGTTTGTACACTCTATTTCTGCTTGGTATTTTCGCAGAGCGAGTATATTGTATGTCCTTTTCAAACATCGTCTTACAAGAAATCTAACTTTAATTTTTGTAATAATCAATAATGCCCTTTTATACATAGATTATTCTATACAACGAGAACATTCTGGTTTGAGACGAATATTAGGCTATGGTCTTACTATAACGAGAGGTGCGGCATCGGCTATGATGTTTACTTATTCCACGTTACTAATCACAATGTGCCATAATACTATTACTGTTTTGAGAACTACGATTTTGCAATTTTACATTCCTTTCGATTCAGCAATGGAAATGCACAAATATATTGCTTATTGGGCGTTATTCTTTACTGGTGAGGATATAAAATTGTTTAATCTTAGTTTAAATAATGTGTAAAATTTGTCAACAACGTAATTATAGCTTACTCCAAGAAAGAGAAAGAATTTTTTAACAGATATGTTTATGTTTACTCACGTTATGTCTTAATATTTTTAGTGTTACATATAATCGGACACGGCTTTAATTTTTATCATATATCTACACAAACTGCTGACGATCTGACATGTTTGTTTCGAAACTATTTCCATGCGTAAGTCTACATCTCTTTCCTAGATTTGCATAGAATCTTATTCAATTTTTAAATATTTAAATGTGTATTTATTCATCATTATATTGATATAATTGTATTGATATTTAGATCACATGAATTGCCAAAATTTCATTATTGGTGTTGGGGTACAATGACAGGTATAACAGGAATATTTTTAACCATTATAACTGGATTAATATTTGTGTGCTCTTTACCAATGGTACGCAAGTCATTTTACAATTGGTTCTCTTTTATACACTCCTTGTATCCAATTTTCTATATTCTGATGATTTTACATGGCAGTGGAAGATTAGTACAGGTAATTAATATTATCATATATAATTTTTATAATTATTTTTATATATGTATAAAAAAATATACTATCTAAAATCATATATTACATAATTGCAAAACTTTATTTGTAATTTATTACAATAGGAACCATATTTTCATTATTTCTTCTTGGGACCAGCCATTCTATTTATTCTTGATAAAGTTATAACTGTGACTAGAATAACGATAGAGATACCAATACTTAAGGCAGAAATTTTACCATCAGGTATTTCTTTTTGGAAATATCGCGATATATCCTCATTCTTATTTTTATTCAAATCTCTTTATGCATATATATATATATACACACACACATATGTATATGTTATAGGTGTAACATGTATAACATTTTTAAAACCTTTAAATTTTCAATACAAATCTGGCCAGTGGATTAGAATAGCATGTCCAGTATTGCAAACAAATGAATATCATCCATTTACTTTATCGTCTGCGCCACATGAAACGAATTTAAGTATACATGTACGAGCAGTTGGACCATGGACCACGAATATTAGAGAAAAACTAGAATTGTATACAATGACTAATGAAAATTTACCAATGGTAATTTTTTACATCATTATATTTCTCTGAAATTCCATATTTATATATATTCACAAAATGTTTACTAATAATATAATTTTTTCATTATATATCTATTTATTCATAGATTCATATTGATGGTCCATATGGAGAAAGCCATCAAGATTGGGATAAATATGAAGTGGCAATCATGGTTGGTGGTGGTATAGGTGTTACACCTTTTGCATCAATACTCAAAGATATTGTTTTTAAGTCAAACTATAATTTAAATTTTGGTTGCAAAAAGGTAATAATATGAAATTTAAGTCTACTAAACTTTAAATGATAGTAGGAAAAAAAATATATGTAAAAATATTTTAATTTGCAGGTATATTTTGTTTGGGTGACAAGAACACAAAAACAATTTGAATGGATGGTTGATATATTGAGAGAGCTTGAAAAAGCAGATATTAATAATACAGTATCAATTCATATTTTTGTTACTCAGTTTTATCAAACATTTGATCTGCGTACGATACTTTTAGTAAGATTAGTAATATCTAAATGTTATCATATTAATTTGAAAAAATTGGATTTCAAAAAATCTTCAACTAAATATGATTTTCAGTATATTTGCGAACGTCATTTTCAAAAGATTTCAAACAAATCCTTATTTACTGGACTGAAAGCAGTGACACATTTTGGACGCCCGAAATTCTCTCAATTTTTCTTGTCTATACAAAAATTGCATACTACTGTAAGTATTTACTGATCAATGTAAATAATCACATTTAATATTAATTGCCTAATTTTTGTAATCAGTAATCAGTTATTATATTATATTATGTTTTAAATTCTTTACATTGTACACTTTAAAAAAAATTTCTATTTCAGACAAACAAGATTGGTGTTTTTAGTTGTGGTACACCAGCTATGACACAAGCAGTAGATGCAGCTTGTAAAGCAATTAATCTAACAGAAATTAACGATACGTTATTTCAACACCATTACAAAAGTTTTTAAAAGTTTCTTCCTGAATATTTTTGGTATAAAATTTTCTGTGATAGGTTCAATTGTTTCATAATAATCACAATTTTAATTCGTCATTTTTATTCATATATCTCTTTGATAAGTCATGTTCTTGTAAGTAAACATTATACATAGAAGGATAAACTAAGAAATAGAAATAAAAAAAAAAAATACTTTGTCATATACTTGCATTAATATTGGAATTATATATCATAAATAACTCGTTGATTAAAATTTTATAGTTAATATTACTTAGATATTAATACTATTGTGTCATTTAGTAAATATTAATAAAATTAGTTATATTATTGATATGTTAATAATCGCAAGTTATTAAATAATTTCATATATACTCACTCAAATATATATGTTTATGCGGACAGGAATACTTTACAGTTTCTTCACAGATGTGAATTCTAATATCGCGACTTCTCAATTTAATACTGGTCGAAAGTTCCCGCCATTCTTCTATACTAAAATTAATAAAAAAAATGTTACAAAACTTTTATTTTTAAGGAAAGAGACATCGAATAAATATTTTTTTAAAATCTAAGTAAAGTACTCTAAACTAAACACTTACCGATTCACTCTCTGTTTAATAAAAAATATAATTAATGAGTTGAAATTACTACCCGACTAAACACGCAAAGAAAAATGAAGGTACTCCTACATTTTTAAAACATAGATAATAAACTACATAGTCGTGAAACTTGTCAGTGAATAATTATTAAGTCATGTTCATAAAGTCTCGAAGATAAATTCGATTGGTTATCAGATAGAGAACTTTTAGTTCGATCTAAAGTTTTTTCCAATAACAGCCAATCAGAATTGCGTTTGAGAATTTATCACGTTGAGTAGAATATGTCATTGGCCGCATTCTGCAAGTAACAATCGAACATGATTGGTTTCTACTTTCAGATCCGACCAATCAGCGTCGAATTACGGAAAATTTAGTAATGTTGCTCAACTGTTGAGTCCGCTGAATGTGGCCGTTAGTCAACACACCTTCGTCCCTTCAAAGAGCCCTTTGCGTTCTTTACTGCGAGTACTTTATTCAGATATCCATTTAGCCCAATTTAGTCTCTATCGATTGAATTTACTGAATTTTACTACAGTGAAACGTATTTATAGCTTATCAAGATGCAGGTGCCGCCCATTTTTATGGAATTGCCATTAGACGACCAGGTTAATATCCAAATTTAAGTTAAAATTAAATAACACATGTTATTAGTTTCCTTAGATATTTTTTATTTTATCAAATGTAAAGCATATTGTAAAAGCAGAAGGAGGAATAACGCGTTACTTGTATCATTGTTACCGTTACTTTTTTAAATTAATTATATAAAATAATTTTTTCCAATGCTATATAAAAGATACTTATGTCTTATATGTAACATCTTACTGATTATTCAATCGTTCAAAAATAGGAAAAATAAATGTTTATTAATTTTTAATTTTGCAACTAAATAATTTGAAAAATTATTGCAATTGCAACGATTTCCGTTTAATGTATAAAAAAGCATTAATTATTATGTATTAACATTAATATATTATGCATACTAAATATTATTATTAGGCGCAAGAACTAAGGGTATATTTTAAAAGCCTTGGTGCAGAAATTAGCGAAGAGAAATCCCCCAAAGGTATAGAAGATGATTTGCACAAGATCATTGGAGTATGTGAAGCATGTTTCAAGGAAGGAAACGAAAATGAAATAGAAACTGTATTGAATGATATTGTTTCTATCATGATATTGGTAAATTTCAGTTGATACTTTATTATTATATAAAATAAATATTTGTGCACTTTATTTTTATTTGAGATATATTGTTTCAGATACCGACGGAACGAGCTGAAAATTTAATTTTGGCATTTTGTGAGAAACTTGTAAAAGCACCTGGATATAAGCTTGGATTGGTTTGCTTAAAAGCGTAATGTATCTTTTATATACTTTATTTTATATAATTTATTTCAACATAATGTGAGAGTGAATATATTAATAAGTGATATATGATTATAGGTTATGGCTGTTATTCCAATCTCTTGCCGATGATTCTCCAATGAGATATCATGTTTATTATCATTTGGTGCAAATAGCCCGCAATGTCGACCAAGTAAAAGCTGTGTACAGTGGAATAGATCAATTGAAACAACAGTTTGCCTCCTTTCCACCATCAAATGAACAAATGCAGAAATTACTACGTTTGTTACATGAAGTTCTTTTAAGTTGCAAACAAGGGTAATTTTTTATCCTTTTTGTTTTTGTCTTATTTTGTTTAATATATAAACAAATATTTTAAAAGTGTTAACTTAAAGAAAGGAATAATCTTTAAATGAAAAGTATATTTATATAAATATACATTTTACATATAATGTCTCTAATCCTTTAGAGAACAAGCAGCAGCTGTCATGGTGGAATTGTTGGGAACTTATACAGCGGAAAATGCTTCCGCGGCGAGAGAAGATGCACAACGTTGTATATTAGCTGCATTAGCGGATCCTAATACGTTTTTACTGGATCCACTATTGGCTTTAAAACCTGTGAGATTTTTAGAAGGCGAATTGATACATGATTTACTACTTGTATTTGTACAAGATAAATTACCAGCATATTTACATTTTTATCAACATCACAGAGAATTTGTTGAGCATCAACTTGGTATATGCTGGTTTATAATATTAAAAATATTGAACTAATTTAGACAATAAGATTTGTTATACATCTTTTATTTTCTTTTATAGGATTGAATCACGAGCAAAACATGAAGAAGATGAGGCTATTGACTTTTATGCAACTTGCAGAAACAAATCCAGAAATGTCTTTTGATACGATACAAGAAGAATTACAGATTAGTGAATCTGAAGTAGAAAGCTTTATAATTGATGGTAAACTACTCTTTGCTGCTTGACTATATTTTATAATATTTGTAGAAAATATATTCCATTATGAATGATAATTGTCCTGTCTACATAACAGTTTCCACTATTAATTTGTTCAAGTGGCAATTGATTTTGAACAGGGCATATTAAATGAATAGGTACTGGCTTGGTAGAATTATATTTTTACCGAGTTATTGAGACATTCAACAATTTGTTACTATTTAATGTAAAAAAAATACAAAATACAATTGCATTAAACTTTTTCTTGCACAATATAAATAATATTATTGCAATAGTTATATGTACTATTTGTTTCAGTTTTAAAAACTAAACTTGTAAGGGCGCGCATGGATCAGGCTGGCCGCAAAGTATTAATTTCTAGTACAATGCACAGAACATTTGGTCGTCCACAATGGATGCAATTGCGAGATCTACTTGTGTCATGGAAAGCTAATCTCTCAGCCGTACAAGATGGCATGAAGACTGTAGCTGCTGCGCAAATCGAACTTGCAGCAAAAAATAAAGCTACTCTTGCTCACTGACAGTATCGAAAAATTCCACAGGTGGGTGATACACGAAATGATATATAATTGTAATCGTATATGCAAATACATAAATTAATTAGAAGCTGAAACTCTTTTTCTAATATATCAAAAATTTATACAATTATTTTATTGTCTAGTTGCCAAGTGATATAAGTAAATAAAAATTAACAGAGATAATTTATGTTGCAGTATTGCATTCTCATATCTAAACTTATATAACAAATCTATATATATACATATAATGGAAATTTTTTTTATAAATTTTGAATATATATATTTAAATTTAATATATAAAAGAAAAACTTAAATTTAAAACTCTAAACTTATTATTTCATACATATATTGCATTTTTTGGTGTCAAATTGTCTTTGTAAGATAAATAATGTAAGTTTATGAGAAACACTTATGATTTTTCATAAAATGTACTAAATATATCAAAAATTTATAATTAACTTCGATATTTTTAATATATTTTTCATGCATATTTAATTTATTATTTTCATTTGGCAATAGTTTATATGATAATCAATCAATATAACAATGTGACTATTATTCATAAATGATGATAAACAATGTATGTACATTGTGTGTGTACACATTTATTTCTTTATTATTTATTTATTTCTTTTATTAATAAATTATATGTCATATTGTTATATTGATCAATGATTGCATAAATTATTATTGATTGACAAATTACAAAGAAATTACATTAGCACTTATATTTAAAATGGCTTTATTACGCATTAAAGATACACACACATACAATTCTAATTAAATTAGGATAATTTCACAAAAAAATATATAAAATAATGTTATACTATATATTGCGATTTTTCTAGGATGGGCAGGGAAAAATTTCTTTACAAGTAATATTTTTGAAAACATTTCTCATAAAAAATAAATTTAAATTGATGATATATTTTCTTAAATATATGTGTATGTGCGTGTAATGTTCATATAATAGCATAAATATATGAAATACTTGTTTTTGCTAAAAAGAGAATATTGCTATATCTTGTATTAAATATAAAAAAGATATTTTTTTGCACAGTATAATTTTAAATGTAATAATATTTAATCGTTTAAAAAATGTGTATATATATATATATATATATATATATATATATATATATATATGTTAAATTATATATAATTACAGACAAAAATATTAAAGTTATTTTATAATAAAATAGGTAACATTTCAAAAATTAATGTCATTTTTAACAATGATCTTTTAAATCTTAATTTCTATGTAAGAAATTACATATAATGAATATAAATTCTTTTGCATATTATATATATATATAATTATAGTTGCACACTTGCACTGTCTGTCTTTTTATATATTAATATAATAATATTAATTATACAATTCTCTTTTAGTATTTATATTTATATGCATAATTGACACCACTTTTGCATTTATCAATAGTGCTTTAATTTTCAACAAAATAAGAAAAAATATATTGTTGTAAAATACTCATAACAATATAAACATTATAAACATTAGCGATGCAATATATAGTGTAATACATAATTATTTACTATGAATCACTGCACTATATAAGTTAAATATAGCCTTTAAGTTGCAACTTGAAGTAATGACAATAATAAAATTCAGTCTGCTGTGTATAATATATAAACAAACAATAACAAGTGAATTTATATATTGGAATAAATGACAAAATTCTAAATTGTACTCTTAGACATATGTAAATTTTGCAAACGTGTTCATAGGCGCTTTTAAATTTTTGAATGCACATTCTTTCTTATCTATTATACACAGATCATTTCCACATCATCTGCAAATATAACTTCTAGTTTAGGTAAAAAGTATTTTTTGTAATAGATTTGCATTCTCATAGTAAATCTAGGTCTAACTTAAGGTTAAGACATAATCTCGAATTTCTACAAAGTACAAATAGAGCGTTCTGTATTTTTGCAGAACCAATCACATTTATTCCAAGTGTGTATACATAAACCTCTTGTAATTTTTGTATGAAAGACAAATGACGGATGATAGGGACTATGATATATTGTATCAAAAACACTAAAAAGTGTCGAGTGGATCTTTTTCATCATATATGACAAGTCAGATCTGAGTAGAAAATCTGGGACGTGGCAAATCTCCAAACACTGTATCCCCATGGACACTTTTAGCTAAGGCTTTAATTGAAGCTCGAATATTGTGCGGATCTAATGGATCGGTTGGCAACTGTAATTTTATATATTCATATATATGTAATGTTTTTAATAACAATAAAATTATATATATATACAGGGTATCCGAAAAATTGCCCGCAGTACTCTTCCTTCTATTCGAAATCGCTTCCCGAAGTTTGCGAGTGATTTTCCGGATATCCTGTATATATAATTTTTCTTGGGTAAATTTCAATCAAGTAAACAAGAAAAAATACAGATATATTACAGAAATAAAAAATTTTATAAACTTTTACCTGATCATCATTTTGGTCTTGTACCGCACGACGAACAATAGATGGAAAAGCAGGTACAGTAACTGGTAGTGATTTAGCTAAGGTGGAATGACCATCTCGTTGACTTCTTGGCATATGAATTCCTTCATTTTGGCTCGAATCTGAACAAATAATTATATTGATCTAAATCTATATAAATTATTATGATACAATATATCGTACCATCGGTATCGGATCCTTCTTCCGAAGACCACTGATGTAATTGATTAGCTGCATCTGTATCTTCTATTCCCTCGAAAGGAAACAATACTTCTGTATCAAAACTGGCTGACTCCTTAGTACAAATATACAATGGATTTTTCTTTTTTATATTTTCATTCTGCAAAATGTATTATTCAGACATATAAATAATTACAATAATAATGGGGCAGATAATAGTAAATTTTAAATCAAATAGTGCCTAAAAAAATTTGATGGTAAAAATGACTTACATTAGTAGAACTTTTAGAAGAGTGTTTAGTGGTTATCTCATGTTTAATGTTTGAATCAGTGGAAACTTTCATGTCATTAAATATTAAATTGGATTTGGGATTAACTGTATTAGTTGTAGAGGTAGTTAAATTATTCTTAAAGCTGTCAGGAATTATTGGTGAAGTTTCCATATCATTGGTTACTCTATTTGTCTCTTCTCTTCTACACATTAACCTAGTTATGAACAAATAAAACATGTACAATTATTATTACAATAGTGTGGTGTAATTTGCAAGATAATTTACTAAAGATCATACTTTGATAACAATCTATGTTCGTTGTGCGCTCTTTCACGAAATTGTTCCAACAATCGATATTGCTCCGCAGTAAACGCACATATTTTATTTTCTATTGCTACTGTTTGACGTTGTACAGCTTCCTCCAACTGTTGTTGCAATCCACCTAGGGCCACTTGAATTGTGTTAGGTAATTGTGAAACTAGATAAATGTAAAAGAAAATACAATATATATTTAATATATATTTAAATTATACTTATAAGTATATTATCTTGAAATTTAATAAAATTGATTAATTTACCGGAAAATTTATTAGGTTGTTGTAAATAGTCATCAAGATCTTCCAGATTGTGATTAATTACTATCCTAAACACTGAGCTATAATCTGGATTTGACTTTAATTTATTTATTTCTTCAGGAGATAACTGGAACAAGAGAAACACAATTCAGTTTAGCTTTAAAATTTTACATAAAAGTTAATTTAAATCTTTCAAGAAAAAGAAAGATTGAATTGATAAATTAAAAAGAGATTATAAAAACATCTGATGTTTCCTTTAATTGTTTATGCAAATAATAAGTGTATCAGTATCATTATAATCTTACATGCAGAGATAATCATCCTTGATAAAATAAGCTATTTAATTGATCAAATTATATGTATGATTTATAGTGTTCATATCTTAAAAAGTGTCTTGTAACACAATAAATATCTGCTATATTGAATGCATTAAAAATAATATTTTTAAAATTAAATAAATTACATTAAATAGTACTTACAGTGAAGTACTCGATCAATAAATACCTTTTGATAGTCAAAATGTTATCTATTAAATTGCCATGTTGTCAAAAGTAAATAAATAAGTAGAATAACTAATACTTCAAATAAAATAAATTATTATATAGCAAATTGTTTATATAGCATATATTTAAAAAAAAGTTTAATCGACTTGTAAAGTATTGCAAATGAATATCTTTTACAATACATCTAAAACTTACAACAATATTGCTATTAATAAGGACTAAAGCGGCACCATGTTCTCTATGAACAGCATGGGTATAAATTGAGCAATTATAACAACGATGTATGATCCATGATCCAATATTTCTTATTTCCACTAAGCCAGGTTGTTCTTTAGTAATGGTCTCCAATTCCGATACACTGGCTAGATCCTGTACAAAAGATATGATTGAAGATAATGTTTATAATACTTTAATGTTACATAATATATCTAATTTTAAATGTCTGTTATATTAAGCAATATATTGACTATAGTAATATTTTTTTTTACAGATTTTATTTTGAGAAAAATAAGGAAAAATATGGAAAAATCAAATTTCCTTAAATGACTCTATTTGTTAATACACTTACAAAGAGTATTATATAAAGCATTTTGTCTACAACAATCGTTAAAAAAATATATAAAAGATGGAAGATAATGCGACAAATATGGAATAACATAAAGATGACACTAATGTGACAATTAAAGAGATGTGCTATTATTGCTACATGCTGCAGAAAAACGTCTAAATTGCTACAATTTCAATAAATTCAAACTCTTGATCTTGAGATTTATTCATCCCAATCGACATAAAAGATAGATTGTCTGCATTTGCAACATGGAAAAAATAAACTTCAAATTCAATTTTGACATAAAAGATAAGATGAGTGGAAAAAAGAAACCAACAATGGCATAAACTGACACACACACACACACACACATATATTGGCGAGTCTCGAGCGTTTTTATTTTTTTTTGTTGGTTCTTTAAAAAATGTAAAATGTTGAATCTTCATATTTACCTCGCGAAAGAAGGCATCGGCGCGCTCCAGATCAGTCATCTCGACATTGTCGATATTAAGCCGCTGCAGTTCGGTGCTCCTGGATCTAATGGACACGTTCAGGCACTTGCAGGTGATGTGCATCTTTCGACTAGGCAAAAAGAAGGGGCGAAGGGAGGAGCGCTTCTCTTTTTCTCTTAGAGATTGGAAATGCGCAGTTCACCACCCATGCATCCACATCACTCGATCGGAGAAATTTCTCGGCAAATTATCCGTTTTTCCTCTCTTTTCGGGTTTGTTTTCAGAGATTCTTGATCAAACTACTGGAAAACAGCTGACGTCTCGCTCGGACAAAAGTTTAGAACACCGAAGCGGCTATCGCTCTCTCTTGTTTCGGGTCTCGACGATTCAGGGAATACTCGCCGGTTCGATTTCCCAAAAGAGACGCGGGATAAAAAAAGAAAGGAGGACCACGAACAAGCTGATGAGTTGCTGCTTGTCGTCGTCGTCGTGCGATCGTCCGTTTGAAAAAACTGTCGTTTCGCAAACGATCGATATTATAGAAAAACCAAGGAGATGAATCTCGGTTCCTTTGTACGTGCTAGAGGTACTCAATGGACGACCTGGTCCGTTGATTATTAGTGGAAGGATCTCGCAGAGATGTTAGAATAGCCGGGTCACGAGAGTCTCTCGCATGCCTCTGTTTACAATGTTTACTTTCACTTGTATGTTTACATCGAACGAGGAGTCGGAGTCGTCGCTCGTCGTCGGCTGATCCTTTTGATCCGAGTAGACCGTGTATCGTGTATCGTGCGTAGCGAGTAGCGACACAGTCCAACACTGGCAGGCCGGAGGGGGCAAGGCGAGTGTTTATGAAAATTTTTGGCGACCCAGAGCGGGACTAAAAATAAACGCGATTTACAGGCGTGCGCAGTAATGATCGCAAAGCCGAACAAAAACACACTCGCTAGTCAATTGATGGACTAAAGAGCGCGAAGCGCGCGATAGACGACGATCATATGTTCCGTGTAATGCTAGCACCGAGAGTTTATCTGGTTTATATATTATAGATTTTTCGTACTAGCAGTGCATGTCGCAATGTGGTCGAAAACTTGCATAAGAATAAAAAATGACCGATTGACACTCGAAGTCCACTCTTTTCTGCCGCGCTTTCTTTTCCCTCTCGTTTTCAAATCAAGTTTGTGTAAACATTGTAGCTATTTTCCTTTAAATTTCAGTTAAAGAGAACGGACCTATGTATTTTCTTTACCTTTCGTTTCTTTGATGTATCCTTGAAATTTAAATTTCAATCTTGTATCTATTTTATCTTGATCAATCTTCAATCTTCTTGATCTTCTTCAATCTTTTATTTATTTCACCTTGAATAAGAGGCCTTATATAAAGATGAATACGTACTATTCAGAGACGAACCTGTATGTGTATTAGACATAAGCTACAACTTTTGTCTCTGCACAGCTGATTTCTTTTTCTGCATTTAATGTTTGAAATAAAGAATATGTCTATACCAGTTTTAGTTTAAAGCGTGTAAAAAGAAGAGAGAAAGTGCGAGATTTAAAAAACAAATGAATAAATTTATCATCGAGAACAGTAAGATGACATTGACTTACGAGGTTATAATAGCCTTGAAAAGCGATATTTGTGAAATTTATTAAATACGTATTATCGCTCGTGTGTTTCTATATATTTATATATGTGAATAGAAAATATTTATCTTCATGTGAAACAATTTTGACAACGCGTTATTTGCTTGCTAAACTTGCGTTACTTTAATTGCTATCGTAAAAATAAAAATTATCTTTATTTGTAATCTGTAGTTTATAAAAATGATAACGATAAAGTTAAACCAAGATGTCGCAATATTGATATAAATTGGAATATGATAACGAAAAATGCGAGATGTATGTGTATGTACAGATTAAAAAGTCAAGTATATATGTTCTACTGATATATACCAGAATTATCATTGAGAACAATCTCGTCTCATTAACTTGAATCGATCAAATACCTAATATTCTAGCAATTCAACTGTTTTTATAGATTTCTATATTTATTAATGATATAAAGACAATTTTTATCATTAAGCACAGAATCAATAAAATCAAATTAATTAATCTTATGCTTGTTTTAATGTTATTTTATATCTTACTACATATATTTTATTGCACAATCACTAATACATTTATTACATTATGTACATTTATTACAATTCTGCTTTGGATGAGTTGGTCATATATATATAACAATTACAATATTGTTATATATATTACTCACAGTAGGTGTATTAAAAGAATGTAAAATATATATATATATATATATATATATATATATATATATATATATATAATACAATTATATAACAAGTTGATATATATTTGTATTAATATTATTAAAAAATGCTTTTATTGGAATGAGTGTTTTAGAAAATGTCACTTTTATTTGTTGTATTCCATTTTCAACTTGGAGGTTTCTTCCTTCAATTTGAAATATTCATTAAAACGTATTGCAGCGTATCTGGAAATAATTCAAAAAGCTTATTATATATTTAGAAAAAAAATTACATATATATATATATATATATATATATATATTTTGCTAATATAGTTTTATTCTAGTTTACAATAATAAAATTCTAGTTTACTGATTCTAATTTACTGTTAAAAACTTTTTTTACTATTATTATAATTGATTTCTTTTATTTTTTATACAAGCTTTTACTTACTCCAAAAAATCAAAATCAATATGCGAATGCTCACTTTGGATGAGAGACCAACAACCCCAAAAGAAATGCGGCAAGGGAGCAAATTTAGTAACCTGCCAATACAATTTGTTAATTTCTTCTTCAGACACATTGTTACTCTCATTATACTTTTGCAAATATTCTTTCAACCATGCTTTTTGAAAATTTTCATCCGGATACAAAGAATAATCTGGCTCATCAATACCTTAAATATATGCGTGTAAATGTGTACATTAAATTTTATATGATGCAAATAATATAATTAATTAGGAATGTAACAAAAATAGTTTTTAATCTAATATTACTTTTGAAATAAAAGAAGATGTGGAATATATTTTGTATACGAATATGTAATTACCAGCAAATTCCGCAAAATGATTAGCTATGTCAAATGCTTGATAATTAAATGCAGTGTATTCATAGTCGATAAAAACAACATTCTCTTGCTCCTGATTATACAACACATTCCCGAGTAAAAGATCATTATGAGCGTATACTACAGGACTATTTATTTTTGGAAGTGTTTGTTCCATTAAGTGATATTCTTTTTCTAATACTGTATATGGTGATATCAACATTTCAAACCTTAAAGTAAAAATTATCATAAAAGCACACACACATTTGAATATATTTTAGATAGTATCTAGAAAAAAATTCTTGCTTACTTAGCTTGTTTGAGAGGATCTGAAAATCTTTTAGGCATAATTTGCATAAATTTCTTTGTTTTTTCCCAAATGAAAGCTTTTTTGGATTCAAGCTCATTTTCAGGTTCAAGACTATGCATTTCAGCCATACGTTTCGCGATTAATGGATACACTTTTGGGTCTCTAATTGTTTCTATAGTCAGAGTGTCACCTTCTAAGAATTGATAGGCGAATCCATTATTAAATGTAGCATAAATGGAATGAGTATAGCCAGCCTTGTTTAATATCTATACAAAAATATTTATTCCATACACACTAATTATTCTCTACATATATTAAATTTGTTATATTTTCAGTAAACATAAGTATATAAAGTTTTAAATTTGAATCGACTACAACTGATATATCAGAGAATAAGATATAATGATGTATAAAATTGATAAAATCTTTACCCGGATATTGTTCAATTCATTTTTTCTATCAATCAATAAATCTGAGTTGTTGCCATAAATTCGAATCAGGACCATATCTGTATAATGTTCTGAGTACCACACTCCTACCAACTTATTTGTTTTTCCATCGGTAAATGGCTGATAAAAAAAAAATAAACAAGTTAATATTTATTTATTTTGTGTAATGAAATATATATGTAATGAAAAAAATTGATTATTGCATTACCTTAAAATGCAGTTCTTGAAGAGGCCAAGATGGTCTAATTCTCTTTATAATTTCTATTGCACCATAAATAATTTTATCTTCATCTATTGTAATATTAATATGTTCTTCGCATATATTCATAGCTTAATGCTATTTATGAAATCAAGTTACACAACTTCCTTTTTTAAATATTAATTTTATTTAAATATTTTCCTTTCTTTCATTAAAATATTAATACAATTATTAAATATAACAGAAATTTGTTTACATAAAGTTGCTGATAAAATTTTGGACTTAGAAACTTGGAGTGAATTTTCTCTATATAAAAAAAATGCAATATAAATTTTTCATAGACAAAAAATTACTACAAACAAGATATTATATTAAAAGATATTTAGATATTATTCATTAAGAAATTTATGATAATAAAATTATATACAGCAAAATATTAATGCGCAATAATAACAGATATATATGAAAACTATTATAAATTATGTTAAACTACAATCCTCTACAGCTGCTCTACTGTAACTGAAGAAGGAAATCCGGCACACATGCTCTTATATCACTCATGCTGATAAAGTGATGGTAGTCAATTGAAGAAAATTGCAACATTGAAATTTTGCATATATTAATTTAACTGTTCTGTCTACTGATTATATAATACCAGGAATTGCATTTTTTTAAATCTATACGTGTATAGGTAAGTATAATAAAAAGTATAGTTTCTTTGTCAAATTTTTAAAACATTTTATAGTTATGCCAAACAAATAAAGTTTTAAACTGCGTGTACGATGACCTTGCGATTGCTTACGTGTAATTGTTTTAGCAATTATTTATATTTGTCGGTTACATAGGAGTTTTTTTTACACTCATGTCCACGTCATAGAATGACACATTTTACTTGTTGCTATGGGACGAAACATTGTCAACATTGAACAATTGAGTTCAATATTTCGATAATAATTTCATTATAAATATATGTTATGGGAACGTCATTATCCTCGCCAATATTTGTTGTATGACACCTGCTGCGCTGTCAAAACAATCAATTCCATGACGGCTTCATATTACAACCACAGATAATCGATTATATGTACATGCATTGAAGCTTTTGTGTAGGATTTACACCGTGTTCGACGTCCAATAGCAGAGTTCGTTTTCTAGGGACAAAAATGTCATCCGAATCCATATTTTCTATTGGATAATACTATAGAACTTTAGATGCAGTGTGAATCTAGTAGCGTTTTCGAATGAAGTAGGATTCAATTGCTCCGGAGTAGTTTCCTAGGACTGCGTTCTAAAATTCACTGCCAGTACTGAAAATCTATAGTGTACACTGCGCGACAACGATTCGTTCCGAGGCTCCTCTCTCGCGGGACAAGGGGAGCGTAGAAGTGACCAATCAGCTGGCAGCGTGGCAGTGGCTGATTGGTTAGGGGCTACGCTCCCCTTGCCCCGTGAGAGGGATCGCGGAACGAATCGTTGTCGCGGAGTGTACATATATCACACGTAAACTATAGATTTTTCAGTACTTGCAGTGAATTTTGGAACACAGCCTAGATGTCATTGACCAATCACAACCATTCTTTTGAAGAATATATGGTTACATTCTTCAAAAGAATAGCTGCGATTGGTCAATAACGTCTAGTAAACTATTCCGGAGCGATTGAACTCGATCACTCGAAAACGCTATTGGGTAGCACCCGATTGACCACGTCGCCAATTGGCCAATTCAAAATAGAACTCTCTGATTGGTCAATCATTGCTAGTTACCCTAGGTACAGATCGATATAATTCGTTGTTGCCAATCGCAACGTGGTCAAACGAGACGCTTCGTGAATTTTCCATGAAACAACATCAAATAAATGCATGCCTTCAAGATTGCGTTAAAAATTCTACTTGTAGGATAGATTTCGAATACAACTTTGGAGAATTTTCAAATATTGGTATGCATGATCGGCGTCAAAATGGCTGAATCTCATCTGGGTTAATGGCGGGAGAGCTAAATAATATCGCGTAAATTAATGACATTTATTTTATACGTCGTTTTATTGCTTCATATTTTTTATATAACTATATTAGTTGGCAATTAATTATTTAATATCATTATTCTGTGTAAACACATATGATATACTTGATGTTGTTTTCTAACCTCATCTGTTGTATAGAATATAATATGTCTATTAATGTTGTACGTAATGTTTATTTACCTGTTTGTTTTCTTTTGTTTCTTTTTTAATAACGTTCTGCGTCTTTCAACATACATAATTCTAAGATTTAATTAATTTGTTATGTATTTTTTTTAAATTGTAGAGACACCTTAAAGTATTCTATTCTACTGTTTACACTGCCTAGTTGAGAATAAAGTGTGTGTGTGTGTATATGTAATAATTGTCATAGCAAGGAGATAAGATATTTGAATGAAACGAATTATATATAAGTTTTTGTGATTTTACACAAATTTTACTAATAATGTCAAAGAAGGTGGTGCTTGGTCAAAAGAATATCCAATCTACAATTGTGGGATTTTTAGCAAAAGCAACAAACAAAAACAATATTCTGCAGTCTAGGTAAGTCAAATTTATTACTTTTAAGTAAACATCTCAATGTATATGATATATCTAAATTTTTTTAATTATATAATATATTTTGATTATTTATATATTTCTTTAAAAAATTTGAAAGAATTATTTTTTAGTACACCAAAATCAGTGAAAGAAGAGAAAATTGACATAAATGATGACTCTTTGGATGATTTATGTTGTGATAAACAAAGAAAAATGGCAGGAGATCTAGTAACAATAGATACAATAATAGATCTTGTAAGATTATAATTTTGTTTAATAATTGTATTATTTTACATAATTTATTAAATATATTATGATTCATAAAATATGATTAATTACAAAAAATTACAATACAATTTATGCTATTTCAATATTTTAAATGACAGGATAATTCAGACAGTTCAGACTCGTGCAAAAGTCCATTTAAAACTAAAGCAAATAAAATTAGTAACGTATCTGAACCATATTATATTGAAAATTCAATAGAGGAAAAGGAGAGGATTGAAAATGAAATCAAATCTTCAAATATATTACAGAAGAATATAGAAGAATTCTCTATGAATACTTCTTTTATTCCTGATTCTTCTGACAGTGAAGAAGATAGAAAAAACAGAAAATGTTTACACTTAAATCGAAAGCCGAACAATGCGTTGATAGAAAAATATGAGAAACAATCTGCTATTGTATCAGAAATTACCAGCAATACTGAATGTAATAAATATGTTCCTTCCAATAGTCCAATATTAAATAAAGAAAAACCTAGTGAGGTCACTAATGTATCGCCAAAAAACATAGAAAATGAGCATCTAAGGACTCCTAAGAAACACACCAGAAATAAACAAAAAACAAATAATGTAATTTCAGATTCTGATACCGATAGTCCTTGCTCAAAATATAGTGGCAAAGGATCGCCAAGAAAAGAATGGGTAGGTCCTGATGTTAGAGTGAATCTTAAAGATTTAGGTTTTAATAAGCAGTTGAATTCATGGATTGAGTCCATTCAAAAGGAACCAGTGATGTCTACAATACCTGTAAGTCATATTGTAAATTAATATTGATCACAATTTCATATTGTAAATTAATATTGATCAAAGTGAGATATCGAAAATATGTACTTATTTTTTTCTGGCTATTGTACGTAGATTACAAAGGATAAGTTGCTGGAAAGACGCGAAAGTTTGAAGGATCTTCAAATTGAAATTCTTGATAAGTTTTATATTGCTCTCGAATTGATCCCATTACCAATATTGGACCAATTTCCAAAGTTTGATCGAAATTCTTTCAAAAAATTACAAGGTCTACATCGACATGTAAAAGCTAAATTGCGTTTAATGCAGACAAAATTATCAAAATTACAAAAAGAAGATGAAAAAGATGTATCTGTATGTTCAGGAACTCCTGAATCTGTGTCAAACTCAAATGAGAGACCAATATCGTATGTACCTGAAGGTTGTCTGATAAATAATGATTTTGACACATCAAGTACCTCAATATCTAAAACAATAGACTTTCATGAAAATTTAACAAATGTAACAGAATCACATACAAAAGAGTATGAGAGTAATATAGAATCCACAATCAAGTCACCTGAGATCACAAGTAAGAAAAGCACTTTTCAATTGAAAAGACCTGTCAAGACAGTATTAGGCACTGAAATTTCTAAAACTATAGCAAAGATGTGGGAGAAGGATCAACAAATATCAAAGACAATGAATTCTTCAATAGATTCTGAATATGTTTCCATAAAAGATACATTTAATGATAGTATTAAGACACCAACAAAGAGTGAAACAAATATATCTATGCAAAGAAATACCATCGGGAACAGTCCAAACAATTGGATTAATACTACTAATAAATCTCAGAGTAAGGCAGATAATAAATAAATCATTGATGCTTTTTAAATTAAAGAATTTTAATGAGAAAATATTTTATAGGCAGTTATACAGTTTCTGCAAAAGCTAGCAGCATACTAACACAGGAATTGGAAAAATTTCCAGCATTGGAAGAAAATTGTAACATAGATATAGACGATGATTCTATAGGTACACATTTTATATGCAATTTTTGTTGCTTTTTATGATAACGATCTAATTAATAATCATTTTGCTTTAATTCATAGATTGGCCCGAGCCTCACTATGGACAAAGTAGTAAGCACAATGTTGCTAAAACAAAATCGAAATTTGAGAAAGATAATATAGAATTTGGTAAATTTACTGGTAATTATAAAAATGATGGTATTAGTGGAGAATTTGATGGTTTAACTTATTCACATTCGCAAGAAATGTTAAAGGTATATAAATATTTTCTAATAATTCTTATTTAAGTTAGACAGATATAATACAATTATAATAAATATTTTTTTTATATACATAAATTACATATGAATATAATAGAAAAAAATATTATAGTATTGTTCATACATTAATTATATTTTTTTTATTTTAGATATTTCGACAAAGATTTGGCTTATATACATTTAGACCAAATCAATTGCAAGCTATTAATGCAACTTTATTGGGATTTGATTGCTTCGTTTTGATGCCAACTGGAGGTGGAAAATCTCTTTGTTATCAACTGCCTGCGTTATTAAGTGTTGGATTAACAATTGTTATCTCACCATTGAAAAGTCTTATTTTAGATCAAGTTCAAAAGCTTACTTCACTTGATGTAAGAAAGGGAAAATGTTATATATTTTAAATATATTTAAACATTTTTTATTAAACATATTTATAAATTTTTTATGTATCACAAACATGCTATATTGTTTTTATTTCATTTAAACCTTGATATCTTGTAAACTTGCAGATTCCTGCAGCTCACTTATCTAGTTCTATAACAGATAATCAAGCAGAAGCAGTGTACAGAGAACTTGCCAAAAAAGAACCCATTCTCAAAATACTATATGTAACACCAGAGAAAATCTCTGCCTCAACAAAATTGTGTAATACCCTAACTATTTTATACGAAAGAGAATTGCTAGCAAGATTTGTCATTGACGAAGCGCACTGCGTGAGTCAGTGGGGTCACGATTTCAGACCAGATTACAAGCGATTAAAATGTCTCAGAGACAATTATCCCAAAGTACCGACAATGGCTCTAACTGCAACGGCTACACCACGTGTTAGAACAGATATTTTACATCAATTGGGTATGACTAATCCAAAATGGTATGTTTAATACATATAAGTATTCACACATATTATATACTTTTACATATATGTGTATATATATTCTACTAAAATAATTAATGGTTATATTCTTAGGTTTATGTCGGGTTTCAACAGACCCAATTTAAGATACAGTATAATCACAAAGAAAGGAAAAAATTGCTCTGATGAAGTTATTGCCATGATAATGACAAAGTATAGAAATACTTGCGGCATTGTATATTGTTTATCGCGCAAAGATTGCGACGATTATGCTGCGCAAATGAAGAAGAATGGTATCAAGGCACTAAGTTATCACGCAGGACTCACAGATAATCAAAGAAGCAACTGTCAAGGAAGATGGATTGCCGATGAAGTATACGCTTTATATATTTAATGCTAATTTAATGCTAATTTTATATATTTAATTTAATGCTAATTTTATATTTATGTATATAGCTTTTTTTATTATAATTATATTTATCTTGTCTCACACAATGTTGTATTTTTATGCATACATTTTTTTTTAGATACATGTTATTTGCGCAACTATAGCTTTTGGAATGGGTATTGATAAACCAAATGTGCGCTTTGTAATACATGCAGCTCTACCAAAATCTATAGAAGGCTATTATCAGGAAAGTGGCCGCGCTGGCCGTGATGGTGAAATAGCAGATTGCATTTTATTTTATCATTATGCAGATATGCACAGAATTAGAAAAATGATCGAATTGGACAATCAAAGTCCACAAGTCATCGGTACACATATGGATAATCTATTTAAGATGGTAGCATTTTGTGAAAATACTACAGACTGTCGTAGGTCATTGCAGCTTAATTACTTTGGAGAAATATTTGATAGACAACAGTGTATCTCAAATAAGACAACTGCATGTGATAATTGCAGATGCAAGGTATGTATTGAATAAATATTAACATAATGGAATTATAAATGAACTGAATAATTTTAGGAAGAGATTACAATGCTGGATGTAACTGAAGATGCAAAAGAGATTATGAAAGCTGTGCGAGATATCAACAACAAAAAGAATTGTAAACTTACATTAATATTCTTGGCAAATATTTTTAAGGGCAGCGATCTTAAAAAGATTAGAGATTCAGGTTTGTATCCAGTTTATATTCCAAATAATAAATCAGTATTCGTAATAATATATTATTAAGTATTCTTTCTTAAATTATAATTGTAGGTCTTACAAATCATCCTCTATATGGTCGTGGCAAATCGTGGAACAAAAATAACATAGAACGTCTTTTACATTATATGGTATTGCAAGAGTATTTGCAAGAAAATATGTATATTAATAATGAGATTGCTTGTGCATATTTAAAAATCGGGCCAAAAGCAAGTGAACTTATGACGAAAAAAGATACAAAGGTATTATTTGAAGTAAAAAATAAAAAAATTCGCGAAATATAAAAGATATAATTGAATAAAAATTTGTAGCATATGCCTTAATATATTCATGCATTATTATATTCAAATCATATAAGCACATATATTGAAGTTTTTTATTGCATCTCATTATATTTTATATATTCTATTTAATTTCAAATAGGTACAAATTCCAGTAAGACAATCAAATAAATCTACGAGTGGCACGGCCACAGTTTCGATAGTTACAAAGAAAATTGATGGCATTATAAAAGAATTGCAAGATCGTTGCTATGCCGAATTGATGACAATAATACGAGGAATTGCTAGTACATTGGATGTTTCTGCTTCCTCTATCATGAATATGGTAGCTGTTAGAGCCATGAGCCAGCGTTTACCGGAGACTGAAGAAGCCATGTTGCAAATACCACACGTCACCAAGGCTAACTTTGTCAAATATGGCAAAGCTCTCTTAGAGATTACTCAAAAATATGCAGCAGAAAAAATCGGTATATATACGATACTTGCATATATAATGAATTATAAAATTATGTGTAAAATAATATAATATTACATGTTATATCGAGTAATCTTTTTATTCTCAGTATTGGAAAATGAAAATGAAGAGGAAGATAATGATAATGATAACGATAGTACCTGGGATGATGATAACGGTTCCAACTATTCTCATAATAGTAATACTAGCAATCGCGGTAAGAAACGGAAAATCGGCCGTAGATCTAACAGTATCAATAAAAAATATAGACGAGGTGGCTCAAGGTAATATAAAAATACATGATTGTATCTTTTTAGAAATTATTTTTATATGATAATGAATGTTTTTCGCACATTAGTAACGCGGGAAGGGGGAGAGGTTCGTCAAGAGGTACATCAAAAAATTCAGCAACAAGATCTAATGCAACTACAAAGAAAATGATAGGACTTGCAAGTTTTAGTCAAACGAAACAATATCTCGCAAATCCTAATAGATACATGAACATTAGTTAATTACATTTCCTTTCTCCATCTTTAATATATTATTTTTGAAAAATTTGTGGTGCGTTTGTAATTTTTGTACAAGTCTTGAGATATAGAATGGCTGAAATTATTTGTAGAGTTTTAGTCATTTTATAGAATAAACAATTTGATGACAAGTTTCTGTATAAATTGTTATATTTATATATATATATATTCTCTAAGAATTCTCGAAAAGTGTATATAAAATGGTTTTTATAATAAAATATTTTATTTAATATAAATGATTTTGTTAGACACAAAAAAATAGCAAATTACAAAATATGTACTAAAAGTAAATATTTGATACATCTAAACAACATATCTTTGTGATCTTAATTATTTAATGTGAATATATAATAATAATAATAGAAGAAGTAATCCAGGTCAAAAAAGAAAACAATTTTCTCTTTGATAATTTTACACATATAATAATTTATTATTTATTCTAATTGTATTAATCTAGAAATTATATATTACTATATACTAAATTACATTTTGTTAATATTGTTACTATGGTAATACATTATTTACAGATCAGGTTGTATTATCCTACTTTGTCGATCTTCATTTCGAGTATGTTTTTTCAACAAATCCATCACTTCATTATTAAATTCAGGTGGAGTAGGCTTAACACCAGTTGCCCAGTAAAAAATATCCCAATCATTGGTCGGCAAATTTATAAGTTGATCGTACAATGTTAATTGTGTGTCATTGAATGTATTCAAATACTTTTTTGCGAATGTACTAAGAAGCAAACCATTCTCCAACATTCCGCGTTTACGAGATTGATATGTCAATCTAAAGTAGAAAATAAAACATGTTGCAAAAAATGTTTATGTTTATAAGATATATATAATTCTAATAATGTAATCGAGTTAATTATAACTATAACAAATACGATATGTAACATAACACTACATATTATGACAAGAGGAATTTGTTACTTTCTGTCAATGAGATTGACAGAAGTAGACTGTTAATTTGTTTACTCTGATAAAAATAGCATAATACCGTGCTCTCTTTAAATCAGCATTTTCTCCTTCGCGTTCCACGTAATGCGGAATGTTGGGTTCCCGCCCTTCTGGGTGAATCAAATCTTGGAAATCGTCTTTCTGCCTGAAGCAACTTATTGATACGCTTCTCGTAAGCGAAAATGACTTAACCTGAAACATTATTTACATTAACATTACATTCGTATAAAGAACTTTTGTACCGTGTTTCATATATAATATCTACAAATACTTACGCAGGACGTGACACGATTAGATATAATATTCATGATTGCGGATATGCTGCGCACATTATTTAATATTATATATCTATAAGCGACAATTGACAGCCATAACCAGTTTCTGCGCCTTTAATTGAACGATAATTTGAGATTTCGCTAATGCTCCATAGATGTCAATAAGATCGATAATCCTCTCTATTCTAAAATTGTCAAAAATAAAATATCCCTCTATTTTGAAATCCCTGTCAGTTAACGGGAGCATAATCATAAAATCGAAAGTAAATTGACCAATCACAACTAAACATTTCCACTTCGTTGTGATAATGCGTGACTATGATTGGTCGATTTTTTTCTAGTTCATGGCTGACCTTAAGGCCGGGTCTACAATAGACAATTTAAGACCTAAGCCTTAAGAAATTGACCAATCACAGTCGAGTATTCTCTTCATACTTAACTCTGATTGGTCAATTTCTTACGCCTTAAGTCCCCTTAAAATCTCATTGTAGACGACGCATAAAGGATTGCGAGCGATGAGAATCTGCCTTGAGAGAAAGAAAGAAAACACCATTTTCACAAGTTAGGTTAGGTAAATTTATCGCACGGGCGCGAGACTATCATCAGGCGAATCAGGCGGGAAGAGTCGAGCACGAATTGCCGGGAGAGTCGGTAGAAGCATAACCGGAATACGGAGAATTCGAGATCATTCGGACAAATAATGGTGAATACAAGTAAGTACAAGTGATGACCAGTCTTTGTAACATTTCGAGGAAATTCGATCCAATTAGAGTTGTCAGAACACGAAGATTAGATATAAGAAATCTATTATCATCTGTGATTGTGTCGAGATCATCATAAACTATTTTGCGAGCGACTTTCACGTTTCTAAAAGAATTTTTCAGAAATTTTTATCGCCATTTTCTTGATTTTATCAGATGCTTCGAGAACTTTGGATTGGATGAATATCCTGACCAAAACAAAAACATATTTCTCTCTCTTCCTTCTTTAATTTCAGTTTTTAGAAACAGATTCCCTTATATATTCTCTTAACTGTTATTGTTATTTCACCTAAAAGAGAGAAAGAGAGAAAAATTAAGTGAAATCATCTAATTATATTATTGTAATATATGTCGAAAAATTAATCTTGATAATTATAAATTGTAATAACACTACACTCTTGATAATTCTGATACATTTGTTTCTATGTTTATGTGCATGTATATTGAGACAAGTGTATAACATGAGAATTTTTATACATATATAATTATGCATATACTTTCTTATTTGGAAGCAATAATAAATATCGTAATGATTGTAATTCCAATATTAAGTAAATTCAAAAATATACAATATATGATATGCGATAGATTATAAAATAATTACTTATTTCTTATTATAAATAAAAAAGATAATAATGTTCAAAATAATAACATGGAGATACATAACAACTCAGTGTATATTATTGCCCAAAGAGAAAGAGAGAAAGAAAATAGATGGGAAAAAGTAAAATTTATTTAGTGTAGAATTAAGTTATTATAAATTATAATTGTATTGATATGCACTATTAGATTTTTCAAAATGTATCTTTTTAGAAAAAAGATGCCAATGATCGGTTTTTTTGGTTTTTTATTTTACGTATTCACAAACGTTACAGTTGACTACATGTACAAGACTCGCACACATTTCATCGCCACATTATACATTATCATTCATTTGCATTCACTATGGCCCTTCTAGATATTGATTACGAATTATGCTCTTTCTCTCCTTTCTTCCCCCAATTTTCTAAGCCACGATATTCGTTTGTAATTTATTACATGGATATATGTGTGAGCGTATGTGTATATCTATATATAAATATATTTTTTTGCATATTTACATGTAGGTCGACGCATTTATTATTCTATGGAGCCAGTAGACTGATTGGGCATTTTTTTTTCTCGTTTTTAGATGACAATCCATGCAAGAAACGTTCTACCGGCTCACGCGAATCAATATCAAACTTTGAAAAAATATGCAATATCTTTAATGAAAGGCTTGAACTTGATTTATTTATCTTTATTATCGGTCTCGCACTTTGCTTTTTAAACGGCCCTGATTTATCTAGCAGCTGCTATGAACGAGTTCTTTTTCTCTAGCAATTTTTAAATGTATTTTACTTAAAATTCGCAGCGCTTTTATTTTCGTCAATTGTGCATACATCTGCAAGTGCATATAAGAGCGCGATTTTTGTATAACAATCCGGAAGATTCTTCTCGAAAAGGCACTATTGTACGCAAACGAAATCCGCGTTTTCCAACTACTCTACTCGGTATTCGGCCCGAGCTTTTGGATACATGTGCATGATCGATATCAGCAAAGCGATCTCTAGGCGCGGCTGCAGATCTCTAAAATTCTTAAATGAACGAGTTCGTTAATTCATTAATCGGTCGATTCTCGCTGACAAGCCATCGAAATGTGGCATCGTTCACCATTTTTTTCATTTTACTATTATTGTTTTTCGGGAGATAATCGAGCTAATATTTGCGGTCTCGAAGCGACGACTAGACTTTACATTAAAATAATTTTATAAACATTTGATATAATCTTGTAATCCATATATATATATATATATATATATATATATATATATATATATAACAAGTTGTAAGACTGCTATGGAATGAGACAAATTAGTAAAGTCGACTGTATGAGTTGTAATATTTCACTGGGCATAGAAATAGCGGTACTATGAACATGGATGATGAAAAATATGCTATATATACATATATATATATGTATATATATATGTATATATGTGTATAACATTTTATGTTTTCATATTACATATGTAAACATAATCACATCTTTCACAGTATTTCCCTAGCACACAATTTTTATACGAAATATTTTATTCCAATAAAATATTTCATATAAAGATTATACATTGTTTTATTATACATTTTTCTTAAATGTTAAAGCCAGAAACCAATACCCTTTTTATAGCATAAGCCTTAAGATGTAAAATTAAGATTTATTAGCAATATATAAGTAACAATGTAAGAATTTGTATATATATGTGTATATATATAATATGTTTATATATATACATACATATATATATATATATATATATATATATTGTATGTATATTATATATATAATTTTTATTTTTTTACATTTGGACGATCTCGTGGCGTGGCTCTAAGTTAATATCAACCGCGAATAAAAATTATGTACATTATGTTACACCTTAATTTCTTTTTTTTCTGCAAAGAAAACAACGTTGATACATGAGCATATATGAGGCACAAAACAACAATATATCTTTAATAAGAAAAATCAGAGTCCAGCATTTTATTGTGAATTTTTTCAACGTTAACGTGTTTCTCTTTCCAGAATCTATGTTTCATATATATGTATATTTTTTTCATATATTTAATGATTTTTAAAGCACGCCACGAAGAACAACCCTTTATATAAGCCGATCATACATAGTTAAAACATGTTAAACTTAAAGTATCAAATCTTCTATTATTACGTCACTTGCTTAAAAGCTAGATAAATCTAAATTACTATAACTCGAGTTACAAGGATATGTACAATATATTAAACATGTATTTTTTTCGCGGCTATTTGACTTTTTCCTTTTCTCGAACAGTTCTTACTATGTTGCAACTGATAAATAGATCGAAAATTATAACAATAGCGATAGCTTTTTCTTTTTCTTGAAAATATTTTAATCTTTCTCACTTTTGTGCATAAAATTTTGTTGCACATATGTAATTAAAACCAAACGAGATAATATTGAATTATGCTGACAATTTGTGCTGGTGATTGATATTTGCTCGCGAATCAAACAACATAGTATGATTGTTATGTTTTCCCTTCGTTTTCGCGAGATCGTTTTCGAACAGAGACTTTCGATAGTTGCTGTTTGAAAACAAGTTGTGAACTTTCATTATTATTATGTATTCATAAAAGTAACATGAAAATACACACAGAGATAGTAAAAATAGTAAAATGTAATGATAATTGATGAGCGCGTTCTTTTCATTTTAAAATTAAGTATAATTAATTGGGAATAAATTTGTTGCAAAAATAAATTCATATTGCCCGCAGTTGTATCAGAATACATTAATTAACAATTAAAGAAACAAAAGCTAAAAACGTATTATTTCGTTTCACACATAATATTATCATTTAAATATCTCTCAGAAAATTTTGAAACAATTTAATTTAACAATTTTAAATAAGCAAAGTCCAATCCGTTATGAAACGGAACATTGAAAACAAAATTTTACATTACGCTCTGTCTCGTAATGAAAAGTTTTATTCGGAAGACGAAGGAAGGACGGGAAAATTCCAAAAGACCAAATATTTCTCGAACGGAAGTGTATATTACATTATTCAACGTGCCATCCGTAGTTAAGAGAATCACTTATATATAGTCCGCTTATTAAAATTATGCACGAGTTTTATTCATTTCTTGTTCTCTTTATATTTACATTTATTAGAAACGAAAAAACGATGGCCAAGCAAACGCGATGAGCAGTTATTAGTACAATATCCAATCGATTTGTCAGAATCGCAAGATAATAATAACTATACATAACTTTTATTTCTTGCGTCTAACGATACGAGTGAAATATAACGAGATGACGGCGCATGGCTATCGTTTTGTACGGAAGATATTTTCACATTTGCACAATATGTGTCGCACCGCCTGTGCAGATATATCAGTAATTGCCTCTCAACGGAGTATAATGACTCTTCACTTTTGAAAGACAGATAAGTTTTCCGCCATAATTGTGACGGACTTTTTTTCAATTCGTAGTTGTTTTGGAACTGAAGGTTTAAATTCGTTCTTTGGCAGTGACTTACGATTTGCTCGCCTCGTGAGGCTTCGTGAAGGAACCAGAATTTTGTCTACTTCGAGGCTGCTGCTTATTGAGATCTCGCTGGTCGCTCGACGGTACAGAATTATTTCGTCGTCGGAGATGACTAGAGCCATAGGAGCCGGCTCTATTTCGAAATTGTGATGAATTCGTAAGGTCTAAACATGATTTCAAGTAATTATCAGATTTCGTTTCATTTGGCAGTGTGGTGGTGCTACTACAATCGTCTAATAGCGCGCTTGCCAGAGAATCTTCTCTAGCGCTTTCGGAAACACTTCTGTGACGTAATCTTGCAGCTTGGAGCATTTCGTGTATTCGAGGCTATAAGAGACATACACACATATGTTATGAGAAAAATTATAAACTTACTATTAAATTAATTAGTACACGAGTAAAGTAAATAGAAATGTTTTGTCTGCGATAATACTCACTTTCACTACTCTAAAATCTTCAATACTCTGGAATTTTGACAAATGTTCTTTTAATTTAGAATCTACATGAAGCTGGTCAGAATTTTTATAATACTTCAAAAATGCCCAGAATTTTTCCAATCCATATAATTGTCCTGTTAAATCATCAATTAATTTGTTAATATTAATATTTGTAAATGTTAGTAATTATTGTAACAGTTTCATATCAGAATATATATGTATATGAATATATATTTCTTGACAAATAGTAAAATTATTTTCTTGAATAAAAATTGTAGCGTTGTTATCAAACTCCACTCATAGGACAAGAATGTCCTAGCAGAGTTTTATTTACTTAAACATCTTCACTTACTTTTGCACAAATTTACCGTTTAACTATCTTATACAATTTCATAGCTAAACAACCTATTTTGTGCTAATAGAGATATAAATATAAAATTTTAAATAAAATTGTGACTTACCACTTTCATAATCGTATATAGTTTCTATTTCGAAATCTTTATACAGTACATGCCTAAACTTCTTCTCCAAGCCATAACTATAAAATCTGAAAAGACATTCTACTCCGTATCGGTATCCTTCACAAGCATCCTCTTTGGCTATGGTCCTAAATTCTTCGTACATAGTACGATTAAAATTTTCTCGCAAGAAGAATGACCAAAAACGAAAGAGAGTGTTCATTTCTTGTGATTGTCCAATACCTAATCGCTTGCGCTCTGAAAAAAAAAATGTACATGAGAATAAAAGGTTTAATTAAATATTAACATAATATTTATTTAAATGACAATCAGATAAAAGCATTTCCGCATAAGTATATTTTTCTCAGTCGGGAAAAGAAGACAAAAAAGATTCATCATTTTACATACAATTATTCAAATTAGTAATTTGGAAAAAATTTCATAATGCTAATGATACCTTTTAAGCAGCGTGAACGATATTTGTGATACGCTTGTTGAGTAAATCCGTTATCTTTCAACAAAGCATGACTCGGATGCTCGCTAATAGTGGGAACACTTCCATAACTACTTGCAAGATAGCCTTCATTAGGACTTGTGCCTGCGCTACTCCTAAAATAATAAATTGAAAAACATATTTATATATGCAAAGTAAAATCGGATTTTCATTCTATTGATTATTCTTATTCAGATATAAATCTTTCTACAAGATAAGATTTTTTCAGTCGGGAAAAGAAGACATAAAGATAGAAGATTCATCATGTTACAAACATACCCACACATTTTTCATTTAAACAAAATTAAAAATATCAATGAGAAAATTAATATAAATTAATAATATCAATTAAAGGGAACAAAATAGTTAAAAACAGAAACATTGTAATTAGAGATACTTACAATGATGTCTATATATTTATTTTTTATGAACTATATTTTTAATTTGTAAGCTTAATGTACTTCCATTGGAAATTAACAATAATACAATTATTTTTTTGAGAAATTTTTGATCTATTAATTTATGTTCCATTTCCTGTATATTAGCATTTGTTCATTTTAAGGATTCACAAAAAGTGTATCAATTTCATAGTTCAATTTGAATTGGAGGCTCTTTCTCCGATAGGCAAAATATATTATACATACCCTACAGAATGTGTTCGAGGATGATGCTCTCGAACATCCATAATCCAGCCAACATGATGTTCCACTGGAGGATTATTGCTGTGACGAGTTTTTCGCTTTCGCGGTGTTGTCGGATCAACAGACGGTTCCTTTACAACAGCGAAGAAACGAGACGCAGCCCTTCGTCCTTCTCTCGTTTGTGATTTCTCATTCCAACTCTCTCTCCGACTCTTATCCGGCCTATACTCTTTCTTCTCCAGACTTGTATTTGGGAGCTATCAGACGAGAACAATATAATTTTACAATATTTATTACAGAGAGGTGAATTCTTGTTTATTTACAAAATTTGAAATACCTGTAACGACAAAGCCGATTGTGATATTTCTAAATCTTCTATACAGGAAGGAGGTGGCGGTGGAACTTCCGGATTCGCTTTTCTGGGAACTTTGGGTGCCATTTTTTCAAAATCTTCTTGACTAATCATATTAATTGTCTTGTAACTTCCAATGGATGAAGATGAGCCATACTGTGTGTTAACATCAACTTGATAATATTCTAGATTCATTTGTTTCTTGTTGAACTTTAAATTGGGAGAAAGAAAATAATATTATAATCGTACCCTTTGATTATTTTGTTTCCACAATTCATCTTCATAGTAATATAATCCGTCGTTAATAAGTTGTTCTAATTCTTGAGTCATTTTCACTCTTGTAATCCAATCTCCTGTTCTATCGTAACCTTCGTGCTTTGGGATTCTAGATGATGGAGGATGGGTTTGCGTAAAGATAAGAATTTTATTAATATCTCTATCGGATAGTTCGTAATCCTCATCATCGTCAGACCTATATCCAAAGTGATATAAATACATATATATATATATATGCATTATAAATAGATATAAGTACATAAGTTAAAAAATATATATAAATTATATATAATATATATAAATATATATATTATATATAATTATATATAAATATACAGGGTGTCCCATTTTAATGCCCCACCCCAAATAACTTTCTTATTTTTAATTTTAGAAAAAGATGTTTCAGACAAAAGTTGTATGGTTTCGAGGGGACATAAGATGGTACCATTAATTTGATCTTGAAGAGTCACATGAAGGTTACGTGAAGATCATTTTCAATTTCTTAAATGGAACACCCTATATATTTTTGCATATTCTTGTAGCTTATCTCGAGAGCTTTCCAAAACACTATAAATAAACATTTTTTCATCAAGTACGTTTCGAGTAATGAGGCTTGAAATCATTTCTTAATTTTACATAAACCATAAAATATCTTGTAAAATATTCATTTTTTGATTATCTTACCTTAATACTTTTATGTACAAAATAATGAGAGAAATCCATTGGTGCAAAGAAAACATACAGTTGTTTTTAAGAAAAAAATATGTAATTTGCAATTAATTCCATATTTTTTCTTAAAAACAACTGTATGTTTTCTTTGCACCAATGGATTTCTCTCATTATTTTGTACATAAAAGTATTAAGGTAAGATAATCAAAAAATGAATATTTTACAAGATATTTTATGGTTTATGTAAAATTAAGAAATGATTTCAAGCCTCATTACTCGAAACGTACTTGATGAAAAAATGTTTATTTATAGTGTTTTGGAAAGCTCTCGAGATAAGCTACAAGAATATGCAAAAATATATAGGGTGTTCCATTTAAGAAATTGAAAATGATCTTCACGTAACCTTCATGTGACTCTTCAAGATCAAATTAATGGTACCATCTTATGTCCCCTCGAAACCATACAACTTTTGTCTGAAACATCTTTTTCTAAAATTAAAAATAAGAAAGTTATTTGGGGTGGGGCATTAAAATGGGACACCCTGTATAATAAATATATATAAATAATATTGAAAGATTTTGAATAGCCTGTTTAATTATTAATTTTTTTTTATTAATATTTCTATTTGATAATTTATCGTCATCTTTAGATCTGCATCAGAGATATAAGGTATCAATAAAAAAAATTCACAAATAATATTATTTTGAATAATCTCTTTAATTATTAATATTAGATTATATTTATTTTTATTAATATTTTCATTTAATTCAGATTCTTTGAATCTGTATTTGAAAATGATATAAATACATACAATGTTGATAGAAAAATATCCAAAAATTATAGTTTTGAATAGTTTCCTTATAATTGTTAATTCTTATTAACTTAATATATCTCTAATAGTTTACAATCGTTATCGTTAAGAATCATCTTTAGACTTATATCTAAAGTGAGAGTAGATATATAAGATATATCAGTCAAAAAATCCATAATAATATTAAAAATAAAATATTAAATAAAAAAAGATTGTGGATGATAATGTCTTTAATTATTGTTTGTTAATATTTCTATCTGGTAATTTATATCTTCCTCGGACAATCTTTATCATCTTCGTACCTGTATGCAAAGTATAGAAATAAATATGAGATGTTGGTATAACAAAAAAAATCCACAAATAATATTTAAATTTTGAATAATTTCTTTAAATATCTTTAAATTTTTTCCTTTTACAATACAATAATAAATAATAAAAAATATAAATAACTCAATAAAAAATATAAATAACTAAAAATAAAGAATTAGAAGATATTTCTTATACTTTTCTAAATTTTGCAAATTCATAACTTTAAGATTTTGTTATAATGTACAAATTAATGTGAAATTAACTTTTTTCTAAGGTTCCAAGAAAGTATTAATATCTTTTCATTCAGCTATGAATATAATCTCTCTCTTGACAATATTCAAAATGATCATATATTGAAAATATTATATATTTGTAATGCTAATCTCTTTTAACTGACCATTCGGAGAAAGCGTTATGTCGACCGGTCGGAGGCGGCGAATCGAGTTCCTCGTCAAATTGAAAATCTAATTCTTCTCGTGTTTTGCTCTTGGTATTCTCAAGCTTTTCTTTCTCTTCAGATCTGTCTTTGTGTGGTTGTTTAACTCTTCTTCTCACCTATGAATAATTTTTTTCCATATAATTTTCAAGCGCCTTTTAAGTTATAAATTTTCTAAATATAGTTCAAAATATATAATAAATACAATGAAGATAATTACTTCTTTCCAAGCATTATCGCTCGATGTATCTAATTCTCTGTTGATTCGTTCTTCTAACAAGTCTGAAGTGGAAGAACCTGCCATGATTGGTAATGTATCGTCTATCTTGATAAGAGAATTATTATTAGGAGAAACGGGAGGCATTATTAAACTATTTGTCAATTTATCAATTTCTTCTTTTATCGTTTCAAATTGAATTTCGTTCTGTGTTTCATTGCTTTCATTTGTAGCAGTTTCGTTGCTTTCATCTGTAAATCCATTAGTCCTTTCTGTCGAGTCCATTGGTATAAATTCTGGTACATCAGGATTTAAAACCTCGTTTGCCATCGGGACGGAATAGTAGGATGCAAAAACACGAGGAGCTGCGGGAATAGGTATCGCGAGTAAAGGTTTTGCAGCAGGACAAAATGCAGTTTTAGACGTAGGATGTATTACTTCATTTTGAGATGAGATCGATTGTGGCGAATGATTTGAAGTGACCACATTGCTGGCTATATCTGAGATGGGCCATTTTAAAGGATCTAATGTTGTTCTAATCTGAAAAGTAACAATTTAAATTATTCGAAAAATGCTTATTATGCGTGGAAATATACATTTGAATAATTGTAAATATATGTAAAGAGGTCTACTGTCAAACCCCATTCATTGAACTTGACAAAAGTTCTAATGGTGTTAGCGAATCCTCTTCTATTTATTCTAGCACAAATTTTGTATCCAACTTACATTTGTATGTTGGAATTTTTTAAATATGTGCCATACATATATTCAATTTTATTAAATTTTATTAAATATATGTTATTTCATTAATTTGAAATACGTGATTTGTAATACCTTGTATCCATCCTCAAATTCTAACACCTCCAATTTATCAGACTCCATAACTGCGTTTATCACCAAATCTATATCCATTGTTAAATTTTGTACACGTTGAAAAGATGCAATCAAAGTGAGAGGCAAAAATCCTTGAGCATTCATTTTACGGCGAAGAAAGAAGTCTTTTACAAGATTTTCTTCACAGAAGTAATATTCTCTATAATAAAATACGAGATTATTACAAAAATTACACATAAATTGTATCAATGCGTAAAAAGAAAAAAATAACAAAGAAATTACATTTGTTGTCGTATACATTCTTTTAGTGTAGACATATCCACATAATTTGCATTATTAAAATAGCAAGTCCCCATATAAGGTATCATATATCCACTATCTGCATGTTCGTATTTGTGTGTCTGCAAAAAAAAAAGAAAAAGATATAATACTTTGTCATAAAAAAGTAATATAAATATACACAAATTTTGAAAATTTTCAGTTCTACTGTCATTTATAATCAGAGTATTGTCAGATAGATTCCCACTTGTATTGTAACATCATTATTATTATACGGATGATAATTTAGTATAATAATTAAAGTTTTAATATCAGCGAATATTTACCTGTATATAGTCTGTTGTAGTATAATTTGTATATTCGTGATCGTGTCGGTGTCTAAAACCAGCACGGCCACGCCCGCCCCGTCCTCTACCTCTATAACTTCTTCCACCGCGTCCTCGATGATTATACCCTGATCTATCGTAATCTCTTTCGCGCCAAGACTCGCCATCATTTGCTATTTTTATTCATTCATAAATTATTTTTATTATAGCATATAGATTGTCTTTATTATTTAACAATTACGCAATGTAATGATCATTATATTATTATGTAAAGAAAATGATTTCTCACCTTCGCCATTTCTTTCTCTGTGATTCTGAAATCTTGGCGATCGCATAGTCCCACGGTTTTGTACTAAATCTATCTCTAATGGAACCCATTTTTGTTTATTCGCTGTACAAAAACATGGTATCAGAATAAAATGGGCGCTGAATATCAGAAATAATATTTTTTGTTTAGACTTTAAATTGGAGCAACCATTTTGATGAAAACATTTATAATAAACATATATACATACATATACAATAAACATTTCTTATAAACATTTATAAGAAATTTGTTAAATTGTTATCTTATCAAAATAAATACAAAAAGTACACACACAAACCGATCTTTTTACCTTTCTTTTTCTTTTCTCCATTATCTGTATGCTCATCGCTATCATCTTGACAATGATTCTGTTCTTTATTCTCCTTGACTCTACTTTCTATAGTGCTATCTGCTTTAAGAGTACTTGATTCGTCATTGATTACACCATTTTGCTTCGAAGGAGATACGGTTGCTTTCCTCTAAATCACATACGAAAAATTATTGTATGAACTTTTATTTAAAAATGCCTTGCAATTGTAAATTAAAGGAAAAGAGAACACTTAAAGAAGTGTAGAAATGCTGAACATTTCTCGGACGTAAGAAAATTTCTCGTCTGAGATGACATAACATTTCATTTCTCTAGCAAAAAATCTACACTCACAGATTTATTAATAAATCGTGCAAGCTCTAGGTTTTGCATATATCCTATTATAATAAATCATAATAATAAGAATTGTTTAAAGTAGTATGAATAAATTAAATGTAAATATATTGTTCTACTGATTATTATTAAAACAGCAACTCTCTACTTGAAAATTTTAGTTGTATTTACATATATATAATTAAAAATGACTTTAAGAGAAATCAATGATGATTCGTACCTCTTGTGTACCTAAGGTTGGCCAGTCTCCAATGTTTGTAAAATCACTTGCCTATTGCATAAAATGTTGTATTATTAATATTATAAAATTATCACGTATAATGTATTAGTGACATAAGTAAATAAATATCTCGTGCAAAATTTTCACATAATTTTAAATAAGAGAAAAATATATATACACAAATATATATTTTTATCTTATTTAAAATAATATATAAGTCTTCTTTTGATTAAAATTAACATTCAATATCTTTTATTATAGTATTGTATCTAAATTATTGATTGTAAATTATTGTAAATTTTGCAAATTACTGATGTAAATATCTATTTATTTTTATCATTTTTTATTTGTACGTAAAAATATTATCCGTATTTATTTTACACACTATAAATGATATCTAATGTAATATACTCATAAAGAAATAAAAAAATTAGTTTTTAAACTTATTATATAGTTGTGAGACTATAAAATTTATTATCTTTCGAGCTAAATATATACATGTTTGCGCACAGATGAAGGCAAAAATATTACATACGTTTTGATTAAATCTTCTTCTATCTCTAGAAGCTCTGACAATTGTGGGCTGAGCACTCTCTTCGACACCATTTTCTACACAGAAAAAAAAACACATTTACATGTAAAGCTTATTCTATGCATAAAAAATTGTACAATATACGAAGTAATTGTATCATTGCAAATATATAAAGATATGAGAAAAATATAGAGGATATTAAGAGGATACATAATAAATTCTTAATAAAGTCTGTAAGAGTAAATTCTCAATGTGTGTAACATACTTTCAAAGATTAAAGTTTTTTTGAAGGTAAAAAATTATTAAGCACAATAAAGATGTAAAAGATATATATATAAAAATAATTATAACATCTAATGATTTTGTAATCTAAAGAGACACTTGTATGATAAAAGTTCTCAGAATTGCGTGATATATTGTAATTTTCACATAAATTGTCTGCTAATAATTATATCCATATCAGCCTCTTTATAACCCGTTTCAAACCGCGTGACCTTGATTATCTTTATCGCACAAACGCATGTTTCTTAAATATTTTTATCTGTAACATCCGATATAAAATCGGAGAAGAAAAATGGAGCAAATATAGTCAAAGAGAAAAATCTAATGTCAAAATGTATTTTTTGTTTATTATGTTGGATTGAAATGGATTAATTATTAACATCTTTCTTTTTTATTTTATAAGAAATTATTTTTATCATTCTTGCAATTATTATGCAACGATCGGAACATTTAAAGAGAGTTAAAGTTTCTAAAGAATAATGTATCTAACTCTTCATCATACAAAATCATTATATAAAGTAAAAAAAAATACGATGTATGAGAATATTATAAATTATTTAAAATATTCACCAATAATACTGTATTTTGTATGTTAATATAATACGTAATGATTTAAACGTATTCATCAAAAAATATGATTAGACACCATTTTATTTATTTCGCCTTGCATTTCCTTATCTACTCCTAAACTTTTACAGTCGATGTGCCTACAAATCGACAATACTATGTCAACGCGCCTTCGATCTTCGCGTGACATCGTTAAAATTAGATATTGATACTCGCATCTGTCGGATGAGACTCATCTGATCCGATGAATCATAGATAAAGAGATTTAATTAAAAAATGCGTAAACTCTTATATTCACTTGTTATGTTTAATTCAGATACACATATACACAAACACATTAATAGATATTTACGAGACTTATAAAATATATATATAAATAATATATATATATATATATTCTGATGAATAATTGTGCAATCATAACACTGGTCAACAAAAAAAATAATTTTAACTTTTTCCTTTTATAATTTTGCAGTTTTGGACTTATTTAAGTGTGCTGATTTCGAGTACAACAGTAGTTTTTTTTTAACAGCTTTTGTTTTTTAATATTTTTAGACTACCCCCTTTAGACATCACGTGCAGTTTTTTTGAGATTTACTCGACTCAAAATTATTATTTTTTTTCGATATGTCTTCGACTCGGAGATGTTGTTTACATAATCCAGATAGTTTCATAGCATTTAATAATAAAGGAATAGAAAAAATGTTGTTTTTTTTTTAAATTGTAATATCTTATAAATAAAAAAAGTAGAGCTGATACAACTAAACTAACTATATTTTTTTCGTAATCAGTGCCTTAGATATAATATACATGTTAAATGTCAGGAAAAAATTTGAGTGTTGACCAGTGTAATCAATATTTTGCTGTTCACAGTCTCTATAATTTCTCGTAAATATCTACTAATGTGTTGTATATGTGCATCAGGCATATATATATATATATATATATATATATATATATATATATATTCTAATCTATAAAGAGATTCTACAACGAAATAGTCAGCAAATTCTTATTGAAATTGTCGTGTAAGAAATTGCCCACGAATACTGTAACGAAAGAAACATAGAATTCGTGGCTCATGACGATGAGAAAACTGGAACGCTTCTAACAATAGACAAAAATAAAATTATACGGGAAACAAAAAAACACACTCTCTAAATTCGAATATTCTATAAATTCAATACGTTCCAGAAGAATATAAAATTTGAATAAGTTACAACGATCATCCCACGAACATTGTCATGTGTAATTAAACACAAATTCTTATACATATTATAGAGATTTGTACATATTTTTTATTTTATCCTATTAATTATTTTTTGTTTAAAAAAGAAAAGAATCAGACATTATCAGAAAAGACATTTATCGATTTATAGATTGTTTTAATAGTTTTTCTATAATTTATATAATATTATATAATTATACACATTGTGCGAGTTTTATCATTGTCAATCAAGAATACTTTTATTATCAAATTTTTCACTAATCAATAAAACATTTATATATAAAAAAAAAAAAGTTTGTCTCCTCAATTTTATCAAAAAGCAAAGAGTATCGAAAAAGACCAAGTAAAATGTGATTAGATTACGTGATTTCTTTGAAAATGTTCTTCCTCTTGAACAATTTCGCAGAACGAATGAAGTCAGAATGTAATCACGACAAATTGCCGCTAACATACAATTATTAACGAGCGTGAACGTTTAAAACGATAAACAACGATCTAAATGTGGTGATTTAAAGATTTTGTTTTAAAATGTACGCAAAATAAAATTCTTTAATAAATGCATTAATAATTTATTATTTCTTCATTCTGATATATTTTATTTTTGATATATTTATGATTGTATATATATATATATATATATATATATATATATATATATATGTATGTATGTATGTATGTTTGAAGCGCTATGTATGATACATTGTGTCAATATTTCTTTCTCAGAAATTATGTTTGTACTATTGAATCAGAAAATGTGTACGATAAATGTATATAAATATCACGAGATATAACTTCACATAAGCCTCTTACCTCTAATGTACGAGTATATGATCTTAACGTGACCGGAAATATATAAGATTATCGAACAGGTAAGATTTTATAAATAAAAAAAATTATTATAAAATTAATATATCATAAGATAAATATATATACAGAATAGTATTTTTTTTTTTTTTTTTTTTTTTTTTTTAATTATATGATTATTTATCGGAACATGGTATAAGATTTTTATAATGTTATTAATAATGACATTTAATAAGCATCAGAATAAATATTAATAATTAAAAAAAAGCAAATAAAAAAAAAAAACTAAAAAATATAGATACGAAAAAATATAATAAATGAAAATAATAGTTGAAATTATTTAATCGAATCTAATCGGATGATCGCTATCAACTTAATTCTTGATCATTGCTGTTTTGAACTAATGTGTATAAATGAGAAAGATAATGCCGATTTATATTTAAAAGCATCGTTTTTACTTTAATTTATCTTCATCTTTTCGTCGTCATGATAGATTCAATAATCCGATTCGTTTTGCATACAAACGACGAAAAGAAATTGCAGTTGAATTAAATCGTGATTTTAATTGCATCAGCACTAAAAATATTATTCAGAACTCGCATCATACATGCAGAAAAAAACTCCCTACACTTTGAGATGCAATAGAATGCAGTCACAGCTGCAGACTGCGAATCGAGTTCTATGCAGATATCAAAATCCGATATAAATAAATCTGTTACACAAATTTTAACTTTCACTATGTATATAATGTAATTATAATTAAAAGTGTTGAATATGTAATTAAACGATTAGAGATTCTTTATTATTGATGAAGCGAAATGTAACGAAATGATGTAATCGTCACATTACTCCAATTTTGTCGAAATCCAAATTTGCAAATACTTTGAACACGATTGTGCATCTCGTAATAATCAAAGCGCGACAAAACACAATGTACCGCGATCGATGCTGAAGTCGTGTCGACAAGCTACTGAGAGCAGGTTGGTTTAAGAAACGAATCAACGATTACGACGAACGACGATGGGGCTCTGCTCGCAATAGTCGAGAACGTAAATATTTTCGACTAATATTGGAACGACTAAGCGCAAGAAAACATGGCGTATATCATGTGTAAAAATTAAAAAATCGAAAAATGATACATGAAAGAATTATACATTTTTTTTCAACATTTCTACAAAAATTTCATCGTCATTCGATTGTAATTTATTCATATTAAACGACGTATTAAAAGCAAAATAAGTAGCGTGTATCATTATTTCGGTATAATATTTTTCGAATAATTTTTTTTTGCAGATAAAAAATCGTTGTCTCGAAAGAGCAAATTTAGGTAAAATATATATGTAAAATCTCATGTTATTTCTTTATTACTCTAGTTGAATCTTTTTAATTCTAAACGAAAAATGTATAAGAGCGGAATATTTGTCGACGTGTATACAAAGATTTCGGTGTTGAAATTAAATTGGGAAACACTATTCCCTACCAACTCGAAACCTGGGCACATCGATCGAAAGATTTGCCGAACCGTTCTAGCTCTTATTCGACCGTCCCGGAACAGGTTTCCATTCTCGCGACTCTCACTTTCTGCGACATATTTTAATGTGGATCGAACGCGGGGCTATTGGTCAATTGCAGTAAGACCAAGGCCTCGTATTCTCGTTATATATTTATCGGTGAATGCGACTAAAATCATATTTCATAAATCATGCGTCGTAATTTTCATATTAGGTACACGTAAGATTAAGAAAAGTAACACTAAACACAGATCAATAGACGGACTCGACATGCTGAGTAAGAATGAAATATAAGTGCTACCTGAATAATTCTAAAAAACGTAGCATATTTATTTTGATTTTTGTGCACATTTACGCAGAATTTAATCGAGCGTATCCGCGCGTTAGCAGGAATATAAAAATATAGACTTTATTTTGTATGAAAAAAATTTATAAAAAACACTGAAAAAATAAATGAATAAAAATGCAAATTTAAATCGTTTAAAGTTTCCAGTCATAGAAACCAATTCGATCTTTCCAATGAGAGTGAACGTATAAACACACGCAGACTATTAAATAAGATGCATCATATACGGACACCTCTAATAACTGCATTGTGTCGCAACTTACTACTACGAGAAGTACGAGTTGAAAGAATGTCAATGTCGTTGCCCTCGTAACATTCTCCCATGTTCATCCTATGTGATTGTAATAAATGAATCGATTACAATGATCCCGCCCGCAGGTTTAATGAATTTCACGCTGGAAATCGCGCGTGCAACAAGCAGATAAAACGACATAAGTATCAAATTGGAAAAAAATGCAACGCCATTACTTTTTCGATAACAATGCTGATCGGACAATTTGTTGCACTTTAGTTTTCGCGTAGATAAATGTAATTATATATATCGAAAATTATATGAAATTTTATAAAAAAACTAGAGTAGGATGTCTCGTCACCTCGCTCGTCACAAAATATTCTTTTAAAAATGATGATTTTTCTCTTTTCTCTTCTTATCGATATCGAATTTATTAATCTCGAAATTAATTGATGAGAAAATCAAATATCTTCAAATCGCAAATTTTATAGGAAATTTTTTGTATAAAAAATAAACCCTTTAGTTTAAAAATAATCTTTTTCTCATCATTTTATCAAACTAGAAAGACTTATTAAATTAAAAATATTAGGGAAAAAAAATTTACCAAATTGCAAATAATTCCTCATGAAAAACATTTTGTCAATTTGTTCTATGAAAAGTAAATCGAATTTTTCAATACATAAATAAATAGACAAAGATAACATGCCAATCAATCTGCCAACATGGATATCTACCATAAGTTAGCGAAACAAAATGAGCAGAACCAATTATAATTAATATTTTTATTTGTTGCTCGCTTAAATTTGCTATTGGGATATTGTTTGAATTTATTACTCTCGAAATATTCAAGTTTCGAATTTATTACTTCTACAATAAGTTTAAATAATGATGAGAAACGCTTTGCACGTTATGAAGGATTTTTCGCTATTGTTTAAATTTATTTTGCAAACAATAAATTGAATATTTCGAGAGCAACAAATTAGCAACAAATTTTTATATTATTGTTATGCATAATTTTATTGCTATTGTTCTTAGAAACTTAATCTTCCTTTAGGAATATTATTTTCTAAAAAAACTTACAGAGCAACAAATAAAAATATAATTATTATTGGCTCTGCTCATTTTGTTCCGCAAACTTATAAGATGTTGGACATCTTGATGCCACGTATATCTGAGACATATAATGAAGATAAGACTGTCACACAGTCAGATGCTTACCATTTATATTATCACGATTATCAAACATCCAAAACATGTGTCATAAATTTAATATTCCAGTATAGATATCCAAAGTTATTCAATATTCAAGTTAACTTTGAATGATTATTAAACATTTAAATGATGGCAACTAAAGATATTTATTATATTATAACAAACAAATTTTATTTAAAAATTTTTTATTACATTAATTAATAAATAATACGAAACAAAAATTTATATACTATGTATATTGATTATATATCGGATGAGAGAGATTTTATATAGGCAAATTGGAGGTATAAAATTTTTTCCCAAATATAAAGATATTAGTATTCCATAAAAAGATGTCCAATAATATGTGAAAATGATATGACATTTGTATATTTTATCTGGATTTCTTTCCTCAATTTTTCAACGCTCACTCGGTCGCGGGTTTCTATTTTCACGCTTCGCATTTCGTAATATATACATCAACCGATACAGTCCTCTCGTACAGTTTGCCTCGTAATCTCTTATGACACATTTTTAAGTATTCATACACCTCTCTAAATATGTGATAATAAATAGATTAAAATATTATCTTTAACTTTATCTGTTATCGGAAATGCTAGTAATTTGAAATAGCTTTCATTTTAAACATTGTATGTAGACTTGCATCGGTAATTTTTTTTTATATTCGCACGATTGAAAACAGTGAAAAACATTTTTAACAATAATTGAGTCAGATGCAAATAGACAATCGTACTTTCTCTCGAATTTAATATGGAGTCTTTGTTAAGAAATTTTTAAAGATTAATTATCAAAAGATATGTAATGCTAAAAATTATAACGTTATTGGAGAAAAAATAATATTTAATTTGAAATTTTTATATAAATTAAAAACGCGAAACAAAGGAAAGAGAAGAGAAATTTACATCATGTAATATATAATATCTATTTATAGACAATATTCCCTGAAATCTTGGATATTTCGCCACCGCTTCTCAAATTTCAATGAAACTATTCAAGCACGAAGCATGTTAATAAAATGAGATATTTTCACGCACATGTATATGTGACAAATTAATAATTATGTAATCGTTATCGAAAGCAGTCTCGCAATAGCTATCGGAAAGTTTGAAGAAATACATAAGAAATACATAAGAAACTGCTTTATAATCGAAATGAAATATATGGCCACGTGTAAAAAAGCTTTACTTGTCAATAACGTAATTAATATTTCTGCATACGATGCAACTTTAATGAAAACTTCAATGAAAGCAAAATATTTAAACATAAATGTCTTGTGTCAGTAAAATTAATAAATTTTAATAAATTAATAAATTAAAAAATTAATAATTTTAGTTTTTCAATTAATTCAAATAAAATTTATACAATTCAAATTCAAAATTCATCCGTTATCCGTTGAAAGAGCACCATATTTTTCGAAAATGTGAAAGAAAACTTAAATCTATAGTCATAATAAATCAAACGTTTTAAGAATAACTTAGAATAAGATGTATTCACAAGAGTTTGTAATGGTCAACCTTTATTTTCACAGATTTAAAGAAATCTATACTAAGAACATAATGGCAAGAGTGCACAAATGGAAAACGTCTGAAAAATTCTGTCCCGAAAGAACCATATTGTTTCGCATGGAAAAATTCTACCTGAAAGGAATTCAAACCGTTTCAAAGAATTATCATAAAGAATGCAACGTCGTGCTAACTTTTCCTGTCGTGTTAACGAACATCGATTCAAATATCGAATATTGAATTCAACTGTTTTATTAATTTCACATCGTTTTATTAATAATTTCGGATAATAAATAAGTGCAATGTACTTGTGTTGTCATCAGTTTGGAGTAGCTATGTATATAATTTTGAATAATTAGATTTTATGTGCCATAGATATTTTAGATTTACAATATACATCTAATTAAGCCAAGAATACGAATAGACTGGATAAGTCAAGTACGGAAATAAACATTTTATTACATATTCCTGTAATATTGAGATCTTATATTATTGAGAGGAACACGATGATAAAAAGCAATGAAATGAATTCTTGTAATCGACTAAAAAGGAAAGAAAGAGAAACATTTGATTCCTTGAAAACAGTACAGACAAGGCAATGAATTTTTAGAAAAATATATCGTAAACATTATTTATTTTCTTTCTAAAACGATATAATTAATTTTTCTCCTTCCTGAATTCTTTTTTCTTCAAAAGAACTTTACGACAGAAACTCTTACTATCTTGTACTTTTATAACAGACTCAAAAGAATTGAAAAGGATTGGAGAATTGTTCGAGAGAATATTTCAAGCATTTTTCGAGAAGGCAAAAATCTATACATGTCTTTTTTTCAAAAATAAATAAATAAATTATAAAAAATTTATTAAAAGATTTCTTTATTTAGTTAACTAAAGAATATAAAAGCAACCCATTTTCTCCATTCATTTTCTCAAAGTTTGTTTATTCTTTTGCTCTTCGAAAGAAACAACTTATCTTACAAGAAGATAAGAGAAAATTGTCCAAATATGTACATGAAAAATGTATTATTATTATAATTAAATTAAGCAAGGAAAAATTCGCAACTCACCGATCGTGTCCCGGCGCTGCTGCGGCTGCAAAATTCTCCGCTCTCTGTCGCTCTGTCTGTCGAGGCACGTGGATGTCGCCGCCGCGGGGACGACGTGCTGCGGGAGCGTCTGCTGCGGGAGCGTCTGCTGCGGGAGCGTCTGCTGCGGCGACGTCTTGGGAGGATCGCGGGCGGGTTGCGACGTCGACGTCGATGTCAACGTCGATGTCAACGTCGACGTCGCAGTCGCAGTCGCAGTCGCAGTCGCAGTCGCAGTTGCAGTCGCTGTCGCTGTCCTGTTTTTCGTCCAGGGATTGACCGCGGGCAGGGGTGCCTCGACGTATTTGACCGGCGGAGGCACCGCGGGTACCGGCTGCGTTTCCCCCTCGACGTTCTGATCGTCCCTATAATAATGGGCCTCCCTGCTCGACGGGCCACCGTGCTCGACAACGCCATTGCGGTCGCCGCGCTCTCTGTGCGCTCTCTCGTCGCTGCCGCGTCTACCGACGCCCCCACCCCCGCTCCCGCCGCCGCTGCCGCTCCCGCCCCCGCCACCGACGCCAATGGGACCACGTGGTTGCTGCGGATGGCGGTTGTTATTCTCGCGCAGCCGGTGACGCTCGCGATGACTCTCCCGGTGATGTTCGCGCATCTTTTCCTTACGACGGGCGCCCTTGTTGGCGACCGTCTGGAACTCACCGTCGTTGGAGACATCGCCGTTGTTCAATTGATCAGCGACGTCTCGTTGGCCGTCGTCCTGACGCGAGTCGACGACGCGCGCGTTCGGCGTCCTGGGCAGGCTCTCGCGACGGTTATCCTTCTCCGGAAAATTGTCCGACACGGGTTGAATCGTCGTTCGCGTCGCTTGACATCGGGGGATCCTTTGGCAGGACTTATCCTTGATCGGCATCAATCTCTCGACCATCGTCGTCGCTTGTTGCTGCTGCTGTTGCTGTATCTGCTGTTGCTGCGCCTGTTGGTGCTGCTGAGACACCGTCACTTGCTCGCCAATGTTCTCCTTATTGTTGCTCTTGAAGGAACTCGCTCGACTCTGCGACGCGCCCTTCGGATTTAAAACACTGGCGTAGGACTGACAGGGCCCAGCCTCCTGCCGCTCGCCGCCGCTGCGAGCGCCACCTTGGTTACTGGCCAGCTTGGCCGCCATCTTGCGGCGTACGCCGCCGAGGGACAAAAACACGAGGTTTTACGTGCACGAGGTCGCGCGTTTCGCCCCGTCCAGGAACTCGATCCGCCGTCGACGGGACGTCGTTCTCGCGTCGCGCTCGAAGCGACTTGTCGTCTCGTCGGCCCTCGGCCCTCGGCCTCGAGGTCGATCGCGATGACTCGCGTTACTCACGCGACGAGCAAACTAACCTCGCGCGCGTCCTCGCACCTCACATGCCCCTCTCCATCCCGAGGGATTTTAGTCGCGCGCGCGACCGCTCTTCTCCATGAACGAGGGCGACAAGCACCCGTCCTGACAGCCGGACGCGCCGCGTCGGAATCTCCCTTTCTCCCTCTGAATTTTCAGAGACGCGCGCGTGGTCGCCGCGGTCAGCACGCGGTCGATCGGACAAAGCAGATGTACCACTTTCCGCTCTCGCGTATACGACCCTCGGCGCGATCTCGACGTCGCGGGATCGCGCGGAAACGTTCGTCGACGTGCACGAGATTTTCCGCACCTCGCGGAGGATCGAGCCGTACGCGCTGCTGCTGCTGCTGCTGCTGACTCGACGTTTTTGACGAGGCGCAAATTCCCGGCGCGCGGATACTCTTTCTAGGGCGCGCGACGTCGTCGGGTTACGAGACTATCCTCCGGTCGGCGAGGTTCTCCGGGCGCGCGACATACGCGCGATTCGCTGGCGGACGAAAGCGGCGCACTCGGACACTCGGCAACCCGGGGAGTCTATCTTCGGTCTTCCGCTCGCCGATCACACGCGGTCTTGCGCTCGCGATGCAATTCGCGGCCGCGTCACGCTGGATCGCGCCAACACTTGTCACGCGCGTCTACCAGTACCGGCGTAGCATCGCGTTACCGCGGATTACGTAAACACGGCGCATTTTCGGCGGAGCCCTTTCTGTAAGAGAACGATACGCGAGACCCGCGAGAGACATGTGGCCAATGCTGGCGAGCACACGAGCGACTCACCCGGCTTCCGCTTTCATCCGATCATGCGCTTTCGTCCGACACGCGAGATGGCGGCCGGAGCTCCAGTCACTTCCGGCAGATCGTTGCGCGAATTTTCAAATTCAAATATTCCCCACGATCGCGTTCGGAAATCCACCTGAATCCTTGCTTTCGATTGGCCGAGCAAACGCTACCCTATTCGACGTGCGCGTTTCCGAAGGCGACCAATCAAATTGTCGCTTCTTCGAAAAGGTAAAAATAATTGGCTAGCCTAGATGCGTTTCACGCGCTACTCCAAATGCTTGAAAGTATTTTATGGACCAATCGGAATAAATTAATAAATTTTTGCGCCTTTTGTCTGAATTGATTAATCGATCGTTTTGTAAATTAAATTGCGCATGCGATAAAATATCAATATGATATTTAAATGTACGATGATAAAAAAACTCTAATCTCAATACACACGAAAAAAATCAATTTCTTGTAATAGATTAAATAACTTATTGTTGCAACGATTTCTCTTACAATAGAAAAACTATAATTTGATATATAATGGATTGTCATGCAAAAGATAAATTTAGGGCAAATTTAGTACATATCCTATAGTTTTGGAAGCATTTGAGTTTACATTATTAAATATATTATATTTATTTGATAAAACTTGAATTAATCAAACAATAACTCATTATTAGATTGCACTTGTGAAGAGACAATGTATTTCATTGAAATTGTGTATAAATCTACATATAAATAGTCATATAAAAATCTGCTGTTACATTGTTTCGTATAGAAACGGTTTATCAGCAGATATCTTCTTCGATGTATTCTCACAATAATGACATTAATTATACTATACTCGATTGAATTGATTGCAACAGTTGTACTTTTTTAATAGCAGATTGTTATCTGCAGTTATCCAAAAATAAATCATGCGTGTATATGGCGGTTCTTAATACTACATAAATTCAATCGATAAAATTTCAGAAAAATATTCTATATCTAATTAAAATTTAAAATATCCTCTAAAACAATGCGCATCGATTAATTTTGCAAATTTTGCTCATCAACTTGTCTCAACAGGATATTTCTTCAAAGATCGTTGAATAGATTCAGCTATCGTGGATCTAAAACAGGATACGTATGCCAATTATATAAAGGTGTTTCTTCTGTACAAGAAAAATAATGGTATAGAAAAGGTATATTTTACCTAAAAACTTTCTGATGAAGAAGATAAGCACTAACATGGCCAGCATCGATGTAACGAATTTCAGCTCCTGGCCATATCTTTTCGAGACTCATACAATGACCGCGTGGCACATAAGCATCATCTCTGGCGCAAACAGCGATAATTAATTCAGTGTCGACAGGTATCTCGAAATTTTTCAAATGTGTACATTCGTCCATTACACCGCGCATAAATTGCAATGCTTCGTGTTCGCGCCATTTGTTGTCTGAAAACAGTGGATGCTTCGACACTGGCAATAAGCAAACTCCTGTCAGTGGAAGAAGAACAAATCTCATAAAATCATGCTTACATACTGGTTAGGACTACCAAACACCAAGGTAATAACAAATACATCTAAAAATTTAAACTGCTTCAATTTCATCACCAAACAATGGGAATTGAGATCTTTTGCAATTTTCTACCTACTTTCTTTCACAAAATATGGCAAATTAACAGATATACTTATATGTATAAAGTAACATAAATTAGTTATACGAGACTGATTTACCTTTGAGGGCATTGGGATCTTTTGGTTTAAATTTGTTGGAAATCAGACTTAACGGGAATATTTTAGCTGCTGCCTTTTCTTCCGCAATCTGACATTGCAATTGATTGCTCTCATTTTCAGATTCGCATTTGACAGAAATATTATTGTCGCTAATATTATTAATAGAATTTGTACCATTTTTCATATCTACAGTATTATTGTCTTTACAGCTTTCTTCAGAGTCTTTTCGTAATTTATCAATTCTCTTCATGCTCGCAGGATAATGCTGTACGAAATGTTGCCCAGCTAAGAAAGCATCCTAAAAATATATTTAAAAAAATAAGAGTGAGAAAATCCTGCCGAGATAAATAAATGCGATAAAATAGTAATTATATATTTACATCGTTATCAATGATTTTCACCATTTTTGCGAGATCGTTCTGATATATCTTATTCGAAAAATATTGTGTTTCCAAAAGTGACCAATTTATCGAAGCACTCATTACACCTTCTGTAAATACAGGTGAAGCGGATGACCATGACAAGCAAGGTACTAACGATATCGGTTTCGGCCAATTAGTAGCTGCTAAAGAAGCCATCTGCAAAAAAAAACAACACATTTAGAGGTAATATAATCTAAAAAGTATAATTTTAACAAAATAAAAACCAACATGTCCACCCATTGATAATCCAGTGAGACCTAATGGACCAAATCCTTGTTGTTCGCACCAATTTAACAAAACAATTGATTCCATTATTAGACAGCCTCCCATAATAAAAATATCACATACATTATTCAAACTAGAACGTCTAAAAGAAAGATTGCATAATAAAAAAAAAAACTGCAAAAATTTTAGTTAGCGTGTTGTATGATTTTAAAAACTCTCTAATTAAGAATTTTATACGTATAAATCTTCCAATTAAGAATTCTTACATTTGATTATTCGGCTTTCTCAGACCATAAAATGGATTTTCCAATAATATCGATGCTATCCCAGTCTCCTTGAGTAGTGGTTTAGCGATAAGATTTCTACGTCGCCAAAAAAACTAGTTAATAAGTAAAATATATAAATATTCCAATAATAATGTAGAATATACTATACAAAAACTATTCTTTTATACAAAAAATACTTTTTACAAAAAAGAAAATAGTACAATAGGGAAAGATGAAATTAATATAATTGTAACACATATTTACATGATCTCCTGTTCCTGCAAGATGTAAACAAATTGGCTTTATTTTGTGGGAACTCCATTTGGTTGGTAAAATTACTTGAAAGTAAGCTATTTTAGCCTGATCTGGCATTAGTCCTGGGAGATGTTTTTCAAAAGGCGTCTCAAACTGACCTTCGATTATATGACAATCTGACCATACTTCATCCTGTTAGATAAAGAACAATATAATATATGTATACCTATATACATTATATATAATTCTTTTGACAATTGATTCCATTATTAGACAGCCAATTGTAAAATTTGTAGTAGTAAAAAAGTGTTGAATACTTTTGTTATTTCTACTGGATAATCAAGTGGGATCATATTGTAGCACGCTTCTCGATTTGCGATGACTTTTCTGAATTCAAAAATTCTGAAACATAATGTCACATTTAGTCCTATTGTATTTATTTTGCATATATAACGATTATCCTAATCCTTTTGCATTAATTACACATTAATATATATTAAATAATTAAGCTTTTGAGTGCATATAACTGATAGAAAATAATAAGTATTATTGTTAAATATGTATCTTATATAAGAAAAATAATAGAATATATATATATATATATATATATATATATATATATATATATAAATTTTATTGTGTGTAAAGCAATCTCTCCCAAAATGCATTGTCATGTATCTATTTATTATTGCATCACTATCAAAGAATGATTTAAAGGATATTTACGTAAAGATAATCCATTCATTTCAAGGAACGTGAAGTACTCGTCAAGCGACGAAAAGTTAGGTTAAATCAGAATCAGGTTAGCCACTTACTTTTTTAGATTTTGGGGGTTGCCCCAGCCCTTCGCGAAGAACTTCGTGAGCAATATGCTTCTGTAAACAGCGTCCAGACGACTCAGAGGCATCGCGGTAAATAAGATCGGCACGTTATCCGTCACTTTATCACGTCATTGTCACCTGATATTGTTGTGCGCGTACGCCTTGTTGTGAGTGAAACGTGCGCGGATACGTTGGTTAGATTGACGTCTTTTTTCCTTTCTTTTTTTTTTAAATCTGATGTTGACCGTCTTGCGGCCACGTAAGGTAAGCCCTTGCCCTCGCAAGGGATGGTTAGGAACGCGCTCGAGTGACGCGTAAACGCGAGTATTCCACGGCCATTGCGATATGCGATATACGATTATGGATTTTGCGTGCGACGAGACCAATCGAGAGGCGAACGGAACATCGAACAACATTCCAAGGATTCCAAGCTCACGCATCTTCGCGCGTAAGTACGAATCATTCGGCTCTTGCGCACAGAGAGAACGTGACGCGCGAGGAAAGTTCAATAATAAATATAGAAAGAATATTAGAAATAATAAATACGTTTGTTTTGACGTGCACGTTTCTTGTGTACAAGAGATTATTATTATTACTTTCTTTATTTTTATTTTTAATACCCTCCGAGAAGATAGATATTTTGATGTGAACATTACGAGACGTTCGTAAGCCTGCGAGTTTGCGAGCGATCGAATCGATCTATCTTTTCCTTAATTAGCTCGAATTCAATCGATCCTTTCCTTGCGACGTATATGTAACTGCAATGTAAAAGTAGTGAGAAATCTGGAGGAAACGATTCTGGGCATTTTATAAAAAAATATATCGTAAAATTTTTTTTCCTATTCGTTTTTGATTGATTTTTATTTCATTTTATCCATATCACAATCAATATCACACAATATATTCATCGCTTGAATAACCTAAAATAAGTTACAAATCAACAAACGAGTTAAATAGCTTTATCCCTTATCCTCTAAGCTTTATTACCTTATCCTTCTCTTAACATAAATAATGATATTATAATTTACAATTACAATTTAATTTATTATATGTATATTGCTTGTATCATTGCATTGCATATTTATAAAAAAGATATAATATATTTTTGCACGCGAAATAATGAGGGAAAAATGGCTTCCGTTATTTGGAATTAATTCGCCTTTGAACTTTACTCTTTATTCTTCTTTCTTAGAATCAAGATCCGGTACCATTTGGGCAGATATCTTTCTTAATTTTTCATATTTTTTCTTATTAATTTTGATTGGTTTATCGAGAATTATAAGAATTTTTTTATTCATATATTCTCGTACAAATCGTAGTCGCATGGCATAACAAAGTATAAAACTAAAATTATATAAAGAATAATTATACTATAACAATATTATTATTATTATTATTATTATTGTTGCAAGTTTTTTTAAAATAAAATTTTTTAAAAGATATATTAAATACATTTTGAATAATTACATTTTGATTATTCTCCCGACATAGCGCGTTATACATTTTATACTCACCGATATAACATAAATTGCAATCGTTGAAAAAAAGTTAGTGTACTTCGCACATGTGGCATATCGATGTCCAATAAATCGGCAACAAATAATAACGAGAACTTGAACATGTTATCATCGTACATGACGCATCTCAACATGTGCTCCCATTCGGGCAATATTTGCCGTAAATACGGTTTCACCCAAACTTGGGTAAAGTCTCGCGCTCTCGTCTTAATCTCTTGTAGATTACCGCGACAAAAATTATACCTAAAGTACAAATTTCTTCCCGTAATTTATTCGAATGTAAGAATTTAGAAAGAAGGACGGTAAAGGAAAAGAATGAAAAAATATTTAAAAATGACAAAGAAACTGAGATATAGGATACAATAATAAATAAATAAATAAATAAAAATTAAAAAATGGATGGGAAACGGGGATACGCGTAGAATAAAATTAAATTTCGAAAAATGTAAAAATCGTAATGTATAAATTTATTTCGAGGTATGAAAATAAAAGCGAAAATGAGAGAATTTTAAAGATTTTCCGCTACTATTAACGGCGTGAGAAGGACGAAATGACAAGATGTCGAATAATTGAGTCATCGGTATATGGTACTCACTCGTCCTGAATACCAAGAGCGTATCCTATATTTCTCCATACGTGGCAAAAGGCCATCATATCCTCATCAGTGGCGTGAATGCCAAATTTGTGCGAGTAGAGCAGGATCATTCCCATAAAAGCAAACTGCGTGGAACTCATATCGGCTTGATTCAATCCTTTAGGTCTGATTATCAGATGAAGACAGCCGTTTTCTACTTTCGCATAGGGGCAAGAAGAAAAGTCGTCGAGGATTATTTTCCTATCCGGGCACCACGGATTCGGAATCTTCGTCTTTGCATCGATTTCTTCATACTCGTATTCGCAGAGTTTCAATCGTACGACGTGATGCATTTTACGCACGATTTGGATGTGTTTGTGAGCTTGCGTGTTTTCGTTCCAAAAATCTTCCATCATCCAATTTTTTATACGACGAGCCGTAGATAAATATCTTCAGTATTTGAAAATTTAATCAAAATTTACGATTAGACAAATATGAAATGAAAATTTAATTTGAAAATCTGATTTAAATTGTTGTCATCGAAATTAAGCAAATCTTGTCAATGCACGCGTGTCTAGAAAACATGTTGCGAGAAAAAATTATAAAATTATAAAAAATTTGACATTTATTAAAAAACAATAAAAAATCTAACATATATTAACATATATTAACAAGATCATATTTATAAAATATGATGATAATCATATAATCAGTTATATAAATCATTTATATTATCACTTTTGAAGCAACGTCAACGGAAATTGAATCTCGACGTTATTAAATACTGTGAAAATATTTGCGTTCATAAATATCTTACTAAAAAATAATATTTACAATTCAAATAATTTGCGAGAAATAATTATTCGACTGGATTAATAACAGATTAACCAAGATTGAAATTGCAAATCAAGGTAATATGAATATTCGAATGATTTAATATGACTAATCTATAAGTTAATAACATTAAATCACGTAAATTTTTTCTATGTGTTATTTGCGCAAAATATGTATACGTAATGTGTCATTAAAATTATATCTGATCTTGATTAGAGTTTTGAAAAACGAGAAAAATTGTTTATATAAAATTTAATTTAATTTTAATTTGCGCAACTGTTTATTTGTATAAAATGCATAACAAAAATCGCGGAACCTTTGTTTCTTGCATAGAAATAAATTAATTTGCATCGCAGATATTATTTTCAATATGTAGATATTGTGATCTTTATAAATATAATTTGCATCTTTATAAAAGATTTTTTAAGATAAATCTTTATAAATATAACTTGCATTTATAAAAAAATCTTTGCTCTTGCAAGTCATTTCATTCTTGAATAATACTCGTAATAATTTGGTTACGAAAAGATGTTTTCATCAAATTATTTTACCTATTAAAAGCTAAGAGCGGCGTATGAGATTGTTGATTGAAAATCATTGGTTTAAGACCGTCCGTGAAAGCGAATAGCTCGAAAAGCGACAACACGTTGGAAAATATGATAGAGAAAATGTGTTGTCGTGCAAATTTTTGTCCTTTCCGGAATTTGTCCATGTCCAACCAAAGCGGTCTGTCTGTTGAACTTCGACCGCAATCTCCACGATACAACGCTGCTGATATGAAAAATAATAAAGAATCTGGTAGATTTGGAACATAGATTTTTATGTTTTCCGTTATATGTTTGTATCGTTCCTCATTCGTCCATTCATCATAATTTGTCGGTTTTGCAGGATTCTGATCGACGATATGTTTCATATTTTTTACGAAATGTTCGACGTACTTAACGGCGTTCTTCCCTTCTGCAGCTTCATAATAATTGTTTTCAATTTCATCATTTATATAACTATCGACATTATTTCTCTGATTTGCTAAGTTTGTTGTAGTTTCATTCGTAATATTTTCAATATCTTTAAATTTTACGCAATTCGTTTTGTTATCGTTCAGATTTTTTGTTTGTGTTTGTTCTATCCACTGATTGCGATTCATCTTTTATTTTCCTATAATAATTCGATGGTTGATGAGAATTGTCCGGACAAGCTACAACCTGTTTTAATACAAAATAATTTCAGTGTAATACACGAAATAATTAAAATTTAAAAAGAATCGTATTATATAATATTATTCAATTGCACAGAGAAAATATTATACAGGGTGTACCAGAATTCGCGGAGCGTGCTAGTTCGTGCCAAAAGTAATAACTTTTTCCTTTGATCAAATTACGTCTGAATATTATTTTTTAATGAGAGCATCTTTAAGAAGCTAACGACGAAGCGTTTTAGATTACGCATGAAACAGGGGCGCGCACAGCTTGCGCAGTATTTGAGCATATACGCTATTTTATTATTTTGCTAAAGATTTTATCAGAATGCTATGCTTGATATGTGTATGCAAATAGAAAGTCTGCATTTCGAACATTATATGCTTTAAAACATTTATTGATCCATTTTAGAGCCAAAACATTCTTAGAACAATAATTTTAGATCAAAATTATTCACATGTTATCTAATTTAAAATAACGTAATTTAAATCGATCACACTGGCAATTTATTGGTTGGTAAAGAATCACAACGTTGGACCCATGGTCGTTCGAAACGTTGTGATTCTTTACCAACCAATAAATTACCAATATCCCCAAAAGGGACCATTTTGGACCTTATCAAGTGACTACAATTTCTAATATTATAAACATTAATTAAATTACAATAAAATGTGAACAAAAAGGAGAAAAAAATTATTATGTACATACAATATCTTACTTAACTAATATCCTTCCAAAAAAAACCTTAGAAAGGTAAAAAAATACGCCAAGTATATAAAAAATATTCCACCTTGTATGCAACAAAACGTTTAATAAAAAAATACCCTTATAATAAATAATTTATAAAAATTTTCCCTCAAAAAATATATATAATTTTCCTTAAAAAAATCAAAACTAAATATGAAATCAATGATTAATTAGCCAAGTACATTGAAGCAATTGATAGAGATTTGTAATTTGAAATATTTGTCACAAATTTAATCTTGCATTTATATATTAGATTTTCGACAAAATAAAAATGATTTTCAAAATAAGTTCCAAGTAAATTTGGAACTAAAAAAATTAAGACCAAAACAACTTACAAAAACTTGGCGTGCTCGGGTCACATTATAATATATTACATATAATTTTACATATAATTTTACATATAATTTTACAAAGTTTGCGAATTATATACCTGTAATTAACTTCAGTTATAAAAATATGTGAATTATAATACGACCCGAGCACGCCAAGTTTTTGTAAATTGTTTTGGTCTTAATTTTTTTAGTTTTTAATTTTCAGCACGATGCATTTTACACTGTAGTTTTCAAATTGCAAGATTGCTAAAAGATGTACTCGATGCGCAGGCAGGGAAGTTGGGATAAGAATAAGAAGGAAAAGGAAAAAGAGAGAGGAACAAAGATATGTTTCTTTTTTCTTCTCTAGGTAATTTTTAAGAAAAATTAATGATATCTTTTAATATTACTTGTAGTTTAAAATTATTAAAATAATTTTTCTGTGATTTGAGAGTTTTAAAGAGTAACTGGATGGATCAGCTACGTTAGCTTAAGTTAATAAATGTTAACTTTTTCCTCTGATCTTTTGAGGTTCATGAATTTGATATAGCGCAAAACTATTTTAAAATATAATTTGTATGAATTAAAATAAAGATTTTGTATTATAGAAATAACATTAACATTTTTATTTTGATGAATTTTTATGTACAATCATTATAAAATTTTCGTGATATTCATTACAAAACTATTTCGACATGAGATAATATTTACGAATATGCTTGAGATTAAATTATATTCTACAGAAATAAAAAGTTTTTACTTTATCTCATGAATTAATTATTAATTTTATATTTTAAAAGGCTAAAATGTTAAAAATTCATGAATTTAGAAAAAATGTATATTAATTATAAAAAGTAAATTAATTATAAATTAATTATAAAAAGAACCTTAACAATATATTGGATTTATTTACTTTTGACAGCTTATATATTCGTCTAATCTTTTTCTTTAAAAGCGTGTCTGTAAAGCTGACATGAATTTGCAAAATTTCAAAAAAATATTGAAAGTTCTGATAGCATTTTTTATAGTTCTACAGATCCTGTAAAATAAAAATTAAAAAGAGTTTCCTTATATTAAAAAATCGAAATCGAAAAAATGTCACGCTAACTTCGCGAATCTAGCACGACACTTCCCCTCTAAAGTATTAAAACCTTGACTAAAACGCTTTGAATATTATTATTTTTAAAGAAAAAAATTAAAGTGAAAGTTTGAAAGATAAGTATTTAGAAAAAAATTAAAAAAACAAGATAATCACAGCATTGAGATACGATGCAAATCTTGGAAAAATAAATTAAATCATCAAAGTCATAATAGTAATATTCAAGAGAAAATTATAATACAAATCGTATATAAATTACACAAAAATAAGCGCAAACATTTCGATCTCATCCAGATCCTTCTCAATGTTGTTCTTAGAAATAATAATATTAAAAGAAATAGAGTCGTTCGCAGAAATGATAATATAAAAAGAAATAGAGTCGCAACACAAGATCAATATTAAATTCGTCAACAAATTGTCGGCGTACATAATATTAAAGTCGAATTAAAAACGGAATTTATAATCACATCACGAAAGACAAAATGCTCAAATAAATCGTAGAAATATAAATGTAAGAGACTGTGGCGATACCTGCGAGTCCGCATGTCCTTCACTTGATACACAATAATAATCGTAACTGTGGGGAAAAAAGAGCGGCGCAAAAAAAGAATATGCATGGAGGCATATTCTTTTTTTGCGCCGCTCTTTGCATAAGGTCGGCAGAGATACCGCAAAAACGTTCACCTTCTAACAAGCTGAAACAATCCTTATTTTGCAAATTAATAATTGATCCTATTGCAGACAAGCCAAGAATATAAACGAACTTTATCCCTCACATTTTCTTCGGGACGTTGAGAGGGAGAGCGCCGTGCTAGGTAAAAATGCTTTGTAAAAAATTGTTTAAAAAATACCAATCGGTCAGAACTATGCGTAAAAATGTTTCTAAAGGAGAGGACTTTTATAGAACTGTCGAGAACTGCCGTAAAAAATACGGAAAATCATCAGCACGACACATTTTCACTAAGTGTCGTGATGGTCGATTAAAAATTATTAATTATTGAAATTGATCTGAAATTGCATATATAGGCTGAACTTGAACAGAACTATTGGGACTTGCTAAAAATAACAATATTCAACGTTTTTTGGTACTTTAGAGGGAAGGTGTCATGCTAGATTCGCAAAGTTAGCATGTCATTTTTTCAATTTCGGTTTTTTAATCTAAATAAATGCGGAACTCTTTTTAATTCTTATCAGGAACTGTGGAACTATGAAAAATGCTATCAGAACTTTTAGTATTTTTTTGAAATTTGTAGATTGTCGGACGAGCTTCACAGACACCTTAAAAGCCATATGCTCTAAAAACAGATTATACTGTTCATTTCTATACGTATAATCAAAATACTAATCGAGAGAAATATATATCGAGAATTATATTATTTACACAAGTGATCTACTTCATCGGATATTTCACTAATCATATATTTTTTTGCTACTTAACTAATGTTTATTTCAGTCATCTGGTAACACTGGCATACTGCATTATATTTGGTGGAGATTATGTACTTACATTTTGTATATAAAAATGTTTCGATGAGGGTCCAATTTTTTTTGTGAGCGAATACAGCACAATCAAATAAACCGAAAATCTTGCACTATTTTTCAATTTTCGCAATAATTATTGAACTATTAATTAAAATAGCCTGGCAAATGAGTGCACGTTTCGCACGGCTAAACACTGAGATATGCACTCTAGATGAGATAGAAACCAAATGTTAAGGCAATGAAAATAGTTGAATATATATAACCAAATTTTTTTATCATCATATATCACTCCCCACACACCTCTGAAAACTCGCATCGCTCGCGCGAGCATTATTTCTAAATATAACTTTTGATCATTAATTATATACTGCGAGCATTGCGAAATTGAATAAAAAAAATTGAATAAAAAAATGTTAAATAAAACACACATCTTACAAACTAGCCGCTCAAAATCCACGCTTATTCGCGTTAAATCTTTTTAAATCAATATTTTGATCATTATTGTGAAAATTGCAAAAGAGTAAAAAATTTTTCGGTTCAATTTACTGCGCTTTTCCCTCAAGAGCGTTGATTCAATCTTTATACTAATAATTACTAGTATTATTATTAGTTAGTTCTTTATTCTTCAGCTATTGCCAAGAAGGGACTTGATTACAATATTTCTAAACATTCATCCATCCATACCTTTTAAATAGTCTAGTTGTAAATCTAAATTGCAATTTTTTATTTTATATTTTCTGCCTTTATATCTCTATACCTTTTACATTCTTATCTTTTTTTACATATATATACGTACGTACCTTTTATTTACTTCCATAGCAGCATACTCATCATCGCTTACATATCTATGTTTTTTCTTTTATAAACATTAAACTTTTCTTATCTTATCTTATCATATAGTATCACATATTTCGCTTCTAATTATAATAATTACTGCTAATATATTTTTAAAATTTCTTATAGCAATAAAAATATTTAAAAAAATATTTCTTTAAAGTAAGTAATATTTTTCCTTCTTTTTTTTAACGATACTCTCTTCTTTACGGTTTGAACAAAAGATTCGAACAATTTGTCATTGACTTTGTTTATTGACTCGTTCAGTACACAAAAACATTAAAGATTCAGTGTCAAACAATTCGTAATATATTATATTACGAATGGTTGAATTTTTTAATCGATCTATTATTTAAAGATATGTTTAAAAAAATAAACAACTATAATGATTGTTGTAAATAGAAATTGTTTAGCTTTTATTTGATCCCTTCAAATATATTAAAGTTAGACAATTTGTCGTTTAATCCTTAATTTATTATTTAACTTTAATTTATTATTTAATCTGAGTTCAGAATTAAATTATTCAGATATATCTAATGGTAAAATGATTAAATTCTAATGGTTCGAAGAATGTTTCTTTACGGAAATAATTTGAAATTGGAACTTGAAATATGTTTTCTCTCGAATAATTTGAATTATTCAGAAAATTCCAGATTACTCTATCCTTTTTATCAAAGATTGATTCTATAATAATATATTGTAATGAATTGTTCAGTGAAATAAATTATCATTGTTATTATATGCACAAGTTAAAGATCAAATATGAATAAGAGAATATTTGGTAATTATCATTACGTTTGTCACAAGATTTAATTCTTCACAACACAATTATATTTTTTATTTTCATTATATATTTTATTTTTTTTTTTGCATTATATATATATGTATATTGAAATTATACATTATAATTAAAATTATTATTAAAATTATACATTAATTATATATTAATTATTATAATTACACATTACAATTTAAACTATTATTAAAGTTTTAAAAAATATTAGCAATCGAAAAACAAAAGTGTTTTCCTATTTATTTCATTATTTCCCATTTATAAAAAATATTAGTTATTAAAATATTCAGATACTGTAATAGATTCGTGCAACAGTTTCTTTGATTTTTCTTGAAGTTCTGCTTTCTTTTCCGAGTCATAATTTGCCGCCTTTTTTAGTATACGAATTACAAATTTGTTAAAAAAATATCTTACGATAGATAATTTCAACGCATGTTGCAATATAAATCTGCAATCATTGAAGAGATATAAATATGTAATATATATAAAATACGTACTCTTTAATTTGTAAAAGTCGAATATAATGAGTATTCATAAATCAAATAAGAATTGTAAAGATTCTGGCACATAAAATTTATAAATAGCGGACGAAGGAGAACCAGTGTGATAGAACATATTTCCAAGGAGAACTAGTGTAATAGAATGCATATTTCCAAAGCAATATATTTCCAAAAGTTAATTTATTTTTAATTATTATTATATTTAATTTTAATTATATATTTATTTTAATTTTATTATATTATTTTAATTTTTTAATTATTATTATATTTAATTATTAATATATTTCGATCTCTATTTGGATCATTTTTCTTTTTGCCAAAGATGGTCCAAATAAAAATCGAAATATTTGTAATCAACAATAAATAAACTTTTGGAAATATACTCCTTACATCCTGTCTACCACACTAGCTCTCTTACGTCTGCTATTAATTTATTCGTTCTTGCTATTGTATATTGAAAATTTAACTGCGCGCTAATATAAAAAATTTTACTTACTTATATACTTTATAAGCGATCCATTCTGAAAAACTTAGAGATGCATGTAAATGTGGCATATTTAGATCTAATAAATCTGAAGCAATTAAGACCATTGTTTTATAAGGCATATATATGAAAGGATAAAAATTCATTGGTTCGATGCTACATTTTGTCATGTGCTCCCATTCGGGCGTAATATTTTTTAAATTAGACGTTATCCAATATTGATAATAATCTCTTGTGCGTTGTTTTATTTCTTTCAAAGTACCACGGCAAAAGTTGTACCTGAGTAATTATGCAATTAATATTTCTCTCAAGTTGTAAAGTATTAAATTTTTAAATTTCATTTTATAAATTTAATTATATGTATATTATATATATACAGGGTGTTCCATTTTAACTTTATCATTGAAATATCTCGTAAAATTTGAAAGATACGAAAAAATGTTTCAGACAAAAGTTATATGGTTTCGAGGAGGATAAAATAGTACCATTAGTTTGACCTTGAAGGTCATGTGAAGGTCACTTCCAACTTTTTAAATGGGACACTCTGTATGTTTTTGCATATTCTTCTAACTCATCTCGAGAGTTTTCCAAAACAAACTATAATTCAGTTAGTTTTCATTAAGTGCTTTCCGAGTTATAAAGCTTTGAAATCATTTCTTAATTTTACATAAACTGTAAAATATCTTATAAAATATTCATTTTTCGATTATCTTACTTTAATACTTTTATGAGAGAAATTAATTGGTGTAAAGAAAACACATAGTTTTAAGAAAAAATATGTAATTGTTAATTGCAAATTACATATTTTTTCTTCGAAATAACTATGTGTTTTCTTTATATATATATATACAGGATGTTCGATACGAGACATTAATGTACTCGTCATTGGCATGCCTAGAGCGCGCACTTCCTAATCTAGCCATGTAAAACGCGCACTAATACGTCAATTTTTTTAAAATTAATATTACAATTACTACAAAATACTACAAAAATTGCAAAATGATGAAGAACTTTTCTGTTTAGTTTACTGTGCCTTTTCTGTTCAAAAATAGATTGAATTCTGATCAAACATCCTGTTTGTCTTACATCATCGCTGATGGAAGAAAACATTTATCTAAAATATCATATTCGTATTTTTTCTAATGTTATTACATACTCGTCTTCCAATCCGAGATAATATCCATAGCATCTCCACATATGACAGAAGGCCTCTATATCTTTATCGATCGCATTATGAACTCCAATATCTCGCGGTCTTAATAAAATCATACCAACGAAAGCCCCTTGTACCATCGCCAGATCCATATTATTTATTCCTTTTGGTCTATATGGTGATTCGCTCATCATAATAAAAGGCTGTTGGTCAAGTTTTTTAAATGGACAAGCCATGGCAAAATCTTTGAGAAGTATTTCACGGTCGGGGCACCATGGCTCCGCAATTTTAGACATAGTATCGATTTGCTCATTATCATCTTGACATAATTTTCTTCCCATCATTAAATGCATTTTATGCGCAATTTGCATATCTTTGTAAGCTTGTGATCCCTTAATCCATGGTTCTCCGTTATACCAATTGAATATTCGTTTTATTACCGATTGATATCTTCGCAAAGCATTCATGAGAACATATAAATTGATTTCTAATACTCACATTTTGTACAATATATTAAAATTATGTTGCATACTGGGAATTTTAATATATTGATATGGAAATTTTAATAATTATTTATTTATTTGTATATATATATATATATACATAGAGTCAAGGAGTCAACCACACCACAAGAAATGTACAATGTTGCTTTTATATTATTAATAATGTTTTTGTATTGTTGATATTCCTATTATTATTTTATTGTCAATATTACCAATACTGCCGCAGAATTAAAAAGTATTTTTAGTGCATATTATTTTTTTTCTTGCTTATTTCAATACATATTTTTTTAAAACATGTATTTCCTAAAATTATATTTATTGTTACAATATATTTTTGATAAATTGAAAAAAATTGTTACAATATATTTTTGATAAAATTTTTGATAAAATGATTGCTATAGTGGTTGACCTCTTGTACATTTTAAGTAATAAATATATTATAGTATATATTATATATTTAAGTAGTAAATATTTTAAATAATATTTTAATAGCTATTATAGAGAGATAATGTTTCAAAAAAGCACCTTTCGAATCCTAAAAATGGCGTGTGACCACGTCTTCCTATAATAACTGGTTTTAAGGCATCATTGAATGAATACACGTGAATGAGGCCTATTAATTTAGTAATAATAATTGGGACGTAATTCTCACGTACAAATTTTTGTCCTCTACGATATTTATCCAAGTCCAACCATTCAGGCACTTTCAACGACGATCGATCAAGTTGTCGAAAAGAAGCCGGTATATATCCCAACAAAGTCTCAGGCACATTTGGATAGAATTTTGAAAGATTTTTGTCTACCCAGTTGTATTGTTCTTCTATTGTCCATGTATCAAAATCATTATGAAACAATCTTTTATCGTACGTATTCTTTAACAATCGCACTAAATTATATCCGTTCAAATTTTCCTTTCTGTCTGCTTCAACTATCGTTGTTTTACCGTCACAATTGAGAGTAGCCGAATTTTTTAATGTATTACTATGTATAATGCTCGTCATTATATAATAAAATAATTTCTCAATATCACATCCAAGCTTTTGATATCGTATGTTGTATGTAAGTGGAAATAATACGCTGACTACTAGTTATATACTTATCCCACTTTCCTATTCATGAGTGAGTTGCAATTTTATTGGATTCAATAAATTCAATAAATATGTATACGCGTTATTTATCTCTTTTAGTCTGTCTCATAATTTACGACAATTCGATACAGCCGTTGCTTAAATTTCTCAAATAAGAAATCTTTAAGAATTATTTCATAAAAAAATTATTTATTCGATAATATATTTTTCATTATCAACTTTTGAAAAAAAGTTTCAGTAAGATTTAAAAGAGCAGAGAATTGTCATGTTTAAATTATTTAAATTAACGATTAAAACCGATATTATTTTATCAAATTATAATACTCTTACATTACTATCGTTATTTATTATGTTACGTATATATATCTATAAAATCAACAATCTATCAATCAAAATTTAAGCAACAATATATAAAAATATAAATTTATATCTATTATATATTCTTTGTAAATAAATATTTTATTCATTATATTAACAGAGAAATTAGCTAAATGTTTTTTTGGATTTTTTGTAAAATAGTATTTACATTTTCATGTTAAAATTTATGAGTTTGTTAATTATTCCATGTCTCACTTTATTGAAAACTATTTTTGTATTTGAAAACTTTTATGTATATGTCTGAAATCATCAAACCAATAAAAAGATTGAATATTCGTTTTTTAAATGTAAATTAAGTAACTGCAACGCCAAAATTCATTGGTACACAAATATTCATTCTATTCGATTACATTTAATGTGTATGCACAGTTGTATACAATTCGTACAATGTATATTGAATAGAATATCTATGTATCAATAAACTTTAGCATTGCATTTAGATAATTAATCTGTATTATAATACCACTCACTTTTATAACTTTTCATTTATATAACTTTTATTTAAGCTATTTGTTCTATATATACTGAGTATGATATATATAAATATGATACGTTTTTAAATTTAAAGATGTATTGGTAGTGATTAATATCATCATTTAATTAGATATTACAATATATTAGAGAATAAAAATTAATTGACTCTATGAGATTTCTTATCATGTGCTTCCATTCTACAGCATCGCCATGTTATCTTTGCCAGTATATTACTTTTCGGAATATTTTACAAGTGTGCTAAAGCGATCTGTAGTGTTTTTTTGTATTTTTTTTAAATATCTTTTTATTTAAAAATGACACGCAAGAATTCTCAGCGTATTATTTCTCGCTTCTGTCACGATTTCAATATAGCTGACTACTCAGGAGCCTTAATCTATCTAGAAAACATTTAGATATTAGTTGAATAGAAGATATTAATAATCAGAACTTCGTACATCTTGTTGAGTTGCAAGATATGCAAGTAGAAAACCTTTAGTCTCTAATTACATTGGTAATTTTATTCATTTTTTTCTATTTTGTTTTTATTTCACAACTCGCCTATCTTTTTTATCTTATATCAAGGACAACATTAAACAATTATTTGATCTTGTCGTCCTTGCGATTTCTCATACTAATTGTATATAATATCATCAGAAATGAATAAACCACGTTTTGTGCATAAATAGATGTATTTATTATATTTTTTTTGTCTCTCTTATATAAAAAAGATGTAATTAATTACAAATTATATTTCATTACTTTTTAGAATAATGTTTTGAAAAATAGATATTTTGTGAATCACGCTTCAAACTAAACAAATTAATTGAAACTTTATTTTATTTATACATTATTATAAGTTATTTTCAATGTCTTTTAATTTAGAAAATAAACATGTTATTTTTTAAAGAAAAGAATTCTAAATTTTGTGTTATCGGAGAGATATACATATAACTCAACAAAGTATAATTAAATTGGGATATTTTTGATACATGAACTATTTATATAACTATTATTTATATAACTATTATAACTATTTATATAATTATTATTATTTTATGTAACTATTATATTATTTATATAACTATTATTACTATATTATTATTATTATAATTATATTATTTATACAATTATTTATAAACAGCAAAATTTGATAATTGCTTCTTTGATTTTTCTTGAAGTTCTATATGCTTTTCTGGACCAAAATTCATCGCTATATCAAGTATTTTAGACATTACTTTATTAAAAACTGCTCGTATAATCGAGAATTGTAAAGCATACCGTAATATGAATCTGAAATTATTGAAACGGTAGAAATTTTTAGAGAGAAAGAGAGAGAGAGAGAGATGTATGTATTGCGCAATATAAAAAAATCTGATATGTATTGTGTGATATAAAAAAAATCTGATAAAATCTAAATAATTAATACTGCGTCGACGAAATTAAGTGTTACTATAAAAATACTCACGTCCAGAATTTATAAGTAATCCACTCCGAGTAACTGAGCGATTTGTATAAATCCGGCATACTTAGATTTAAAACATCCATAGAATATAGTACCATCGCTTTATAAGGCACATATAATAATGGATAGTAATTCAAAGATTCGACGAGACATCTTGTCATATGCTCCCATTCGGGTGTAACATCTTTGAGATTAGGCAGTATCCAATATTGATGAAGATCTCGCGTACGCTGTTTTATTTCCTCGAGACTACCGCGGCAAAAATTGTACCTGATAAATTGTATAGTATAGAGCGACAAAATCATAGAACACGTAAAATTAACAGAAATATTTTACGAATATCCTACATACTCGTCTTTCATTCCGAGACAATATCCGTAACATCTCCACATGTGACAGAAAGCCTCTAGATCTTCATTAGTTGCATCATGTATTCCGATACTTTGCGGACAAAGTAAAATTAAAGCTACGAAATTGCATTGGATACCTGCCATATCCCCGTTATTTATATCTTTCAGTCTAGGTAGCAATTTTTCGAATAGGATATAAGGTCGTTGTATAGATTTTTCAAACGGACATGTCGCGGCAAAATCTTTTACAAATATTTCGTGATCCGGACACCACAGTTCTGCGATTTTGGATGCATTGTCGATTTGCTCGTTATCAAGCTCGTACACTTTTGCCTTCATCAATGAATGCGCTGTACGTGTAAATTTCATGTTGTCGTAGGCTTGTGTTCCTTTAAGCCAAGGCTCCCCATCGTACCAAGTAAAAAGCAGCCGTACAAGCGACAAATATCTTGCAAATTAAACCCAAAAGAATGCAAGTATTAATTGGGTTATAGGATGAACATTAGTAAAAATTATAATAGCGTATTCTGTGCGTAGATTAATCGTAAATTTTAATATAAGAATATTGTAATAAGAATAATTTGCGTGATCAGAATAACAGATAATTAAGATTTGTTAATTATATTCTTCATCTATTTGTTTTATAATAATTATGTGTTTTTCTTCATCATTATTTTAATCTTGACTCACTTTAACTGCTAATAATAATGATAATTTTTGTAGAGACTTTTTTTCGGATTATACAAGACTAATTTTTCATCGCATTAAATTAAGAGAAAGATACCTTTTGAACGCCAGATATAGCGTATGACGATTCCCATTTATGATAACAGCTTTTAAGCTATTGTTGAAAGAATAAATAAGTATATTGCCTAGTATTTTGGAGATTAAAATTGAAGCATAATGGTCGCGTACAAATTTTTGTCCTCGACGATATTTATTCATATCCAACCATTCGGGCTTCTTTTCTTGCGCTCGACCATTATCTCCGTTGCGAAAAAAAGCCGGAATAAAATCCAGCAATGATTTCGGAGTGTTTGGAAAAAATTTGGCGACATTCTTGTTTATCCAAATAGATTGTTTTTGTATAGGCCAAGTATCGAAATCATTCGGAAATAATTTTCTTTCAAACATGTTTTCGAACGCTGCTACGTATTCATGTTCGCTTGAATGTTCCAAGTTATAATTGGAATTTTTATTAATATTTTTAAACTCATTATCGGTCGTCATATTTTATAAAAAGATTTTTTTTTTTCGTGATGTAGATTAACAAAAATCACTTTTACACTTATACCAACAGCTTAACTTAAATTAATATATAGCTCTTTAGAACACTGCTGAAAACTATGGGAAACTAAACTGAATTTAAAAATATATGTACTGTATATAGCCGTTATGTATAGCCGTTTTTTTTTATCTTCTATAAGAGAATGACTATGTTTTTTTATCAACACGATAAGAAACTAGCGAATAAGAGCCACCGCGGATGGTAATGCGTAAATTTTTGTTCGCGAAAATTTAAACGTGCACGAGGCATATGTTTTACTTGGTGTATTTACCAAGATATAGATTCTCATTTTTGAGAACTTCGCCCCGATATTTTTCTCGTCTACATCTCTTCAGGGGGATAAAGGGGGTTTATAGAATTTTCAAAAATGAGAATCTATATCTTGGTAAATACACCAAGTAAAACATATGCCTCGTGCACGTTTAAATTTTTGCGAACAATTAAAAATTTACTCATTACCATCCGCGGTGGCTCTTATTCGCTAGTTTCTTATCGTGTTGATAAAAAAACATAGTCATTCTCTTATAAAAGATAAAAAAAAACGGCTATACATAACGGCTATATACAGTACATATATTTTTAAATTCAGTTTAGTTTCCCATAGTTTTCAGCAGTGTTCTAAAGAGCTTAATACATATAGAGCCTAATTCTTTTTAATTTATGTTTTTTATATTCCTCTCCGTATTCTCATCAGACATCTACTAGCACCTGACTGAAGAAATTAATCAATAATTAATTAATCGAATCGCAATCAAAGTGTCGCGGATTAGATGTTTTGTATTGAATAATTCTAGCGAGAAATACGTAAACTTCAATATTAATAAAGTTTTCGACAGGAAATGACATTATAAATTTGTAACGGTGCGCGGCGTAATCGTCACTAGAGCGTAGAGAATTACGAACATTCGCTCGCGTCAAGTTGGCGCTACGCCGATTGAGGATCTCGGTCGAGCCGCGGATCAGGAGCCGCGGATTGAGAGTCACGGCCTTCTCCCACGCAACACACATGACCGTGTGGAGGTATCGCGTAGGGGTAACCTATGGACCTTAGGTCTATGGGATAACTAGCAGCGTATATGTATAAGGCGGCCGCTCCGGCAGATCGGGTCGATTGCCTAATTTATTGCTCGAAAAATATACAATATCGAGTTATATATTCTTCGAGCAATGTTTCCCTAATTTGTTGCTCGAAAAATATATAATGCCGAATTTGTTGCTCAACAATTAACTTAAAAAGTTCGACTCGAACGGGTGATGGTGTTAGCTCGATTTTCCTAAGTTAATTATTGAGCAACAAATTCGATATTGTATATTCTTCGAGCAACAAATTAAGGAAACGTTTTAAGGCAAAAATAATCGCAGCAACTAATTGCGTTAATGTACCTTACTCTTGAAGGTAAAGTAATACCGCCGATTGATTTTTTAAATTTAAATTATAGACAATAAATTAAAAAGAATTGAAAAGAAATGGAAATAATTTATTTTATGCGGGAAACAATTTTATGACAAACTGATATTGTTAATTATTTATTTTTAATGATTTTACGTTTATATGTGTATATGATATGTCATATTGGTGTATTTTTAAAAATTTAATATTTTTTAAATCTATTTGCAGTATCTTTGAGCAACTAATTAGCAACAAATTCTAATGTATTTGTTTTTTAATTTGCGACTCTCTATAAGTGTTTTTCTAAAGTGGGGGTACTAGCTTGCCATTAAACTAACTCCCCACCTTTAATATAATTTTCCTGCTAATCGGTAGAAGCAACAAATTCGTGCTTATAGCAACAAATTAGGAAGAAATTAGCACTTAATTATGCACTATATTCGAACTTGATTTTTTATGGTGGGGGTGCCAGGTTAATAGGGTTAACTTTTGAAACCATTGTTTCGTGAAATTTGAATATCGATACATCTGCATTGTTATTTATCAAATAACATTATTATATTTGTAAAATAAAATGGAAAAATATCGATACATTCACATTCTTTATTACGTAACATTATTATACACTCACTTGCAACAAAAACGGACCACTAAATTTTAACATAATTTTTTAATAGCGATAAATCAGCAAACAATCATCTGTGTGTGTGTGTATGGATGTTTAATAATATATTCCGCAACGCTTTGTAAAAAAAAATTTAAAACAGAAAAAAATTTGATTAAGAGTAATTGAAGATTTATTTTAAGAGTAATATGATTAAGACGATGACCAACGAATTAATATTCGAAGAATTAATACGCGAGGAGACAATAATAAATATGTATTATATTTCCTAATTACTAAACACTCGCACACACGTACACATATGAAATCAGATTCCATTAATTCTGGATAACACCAAGAGCAAGACATACGCATGCATATGTTACACGCACGCACTCACACAAGATTTAAATCTGACCATGTGGAGCATATTGGTTCGAGTTACACTTTAATTTTCTTTTTGAAAAAGTTTTCCACGATAATTTATTTCTGACTTGCAGATTTTACAAGAAAAGGTCCATTTTGTAACATTCTCTTTTAAATGGTCTAACTTTATCAAAAAAGGTCTTAAAAAATTGATTAAAATATGGATTTAGGAAAAAAAATGAACTTCAAAACTCATACATTTTTGTACCCGGGAGCCGATTCTTCTGAGTAATCTTTCTGAGTTAAAAAAAAAAAATTGTTTCCTATTTCTCATAGTCTATTTTCAACATCCGCCATTTTTTATAACTCAAATTTGATTTTCTTGATTTTCAAAAGGAATTTGAGCTTTGAATACGATGATTTTTTGCTGATTTATCGCTATTGAAAAATGTTAAAAAATTATGCTAAAATTTAGTGGTCCGTTTTTTTTGCGAGTGAGTGTATTTGTAAATTAAAATGGGAAAAGATCAATAACAATTCTAGCGAAGATAAATTCCTCCCAAGCAAGTTTAAATATAATTTTAAGAAAATTTTGTTTATTTAATTTATTTATTTTTGTATCATTATTCATAGCATATCAAAATTGTGTTGGTAAATAATTCGATTACTAAATGTATTATTTATAATAGCAATACTTTTTCATATTCACTAGAGTTTTGCTTTTCGTACAATTGAATTTTTCTTGTATTCTTTTTTTTGATTTTTCAGAATTTAAGTGTTTGCTACACTATAATTTCCATTATTTGTAATTTACAAAATAATCTCACCTTACACATACACATACACATTACATGCAATTGGAGAAAAAAACAATAGAAGGCAATATAATATTAATAGAAGGCAATAAACTCTGCACAATTAAAAATACATATAGCTGTATATGTATCATCACCAATTTATATCTTTCACTAGTAGACACATGCAGGAAATTGGCAATCTCGTTTTATTTGTATGAGATTGTATGTGTGTGAATTTTTTATTATTTATTATATTTCCTTCACTTAAATAAAATAAGGAATTGGATACTCACATCACAACGGAGCAGTATTTTGGCCGGTGAATGAAACGTTATTGCAACGCCACGATAAGAAACATTCTATATCGCGAAAAATTGTTCGTTATTTTTATCACTATGTGTTTAATAAATTGCAACACGGTTATAAGGAAATGCATCAAAACAAGTGCATCTCGCACGTCGACTAACGTGCAACTTGCATTTCAAGCAATATAGGATGTTTTACATCGATCCATTCAGGTTCTTTTCATGTTTCTTCCAAGCATGCGCACTACATGAGGAAATAAACCGGTTAACATAAACCAAAACATTGAGTCCGTTCGTTTCAGCTGTACTGCTGCACTAGTGCAATAAGTTAGAAAGAGACAAACATACTTTCTTTCACTCTAGCTAATTGCACTAGTGCAGCAGTGCAGCTGAAAAGAACAGACTCTTAGGCTGTGTTGAGCAGAAAAAGCTGCTCAACTGTTATAGCTGCTCAAGCTTACAACTGTTGTAAAATTCGTGAGCCTGATTGTATGCTCTTAATTTTGAATAAATCTAAGAGCATATACCAAGATCAGATTCACGAATTTTACAACAGTTGCAAAGCAGCTTTTCCTGTTGAACGCAGCCATAAACGATTTTGCGACATGCATATATACCAGAGCTCGGCAAGAATTGCACATTTCGGCCGATTTTCAGCTGGCTTCGCGTCCCCCCTTACCTCGCCGTCCCGCGCAAAACCTACGAGCCGCTCGGCGCTCAGGAGCGGGCGTATGGCAATAGCTTTCCATGTCACCCATGAGGTACTATTGTTGACGCGTTTTTTTGAAGTGGTATCCTCAGTAGGCCTAATTCACTGATGACTAAAACGACCCTTTAACTAAATGAGCGGAGCGTGAATGGACCGATAGCATGGATCGGGTCTAAGAAATGATCACCTGATGCGCGTAAAAATATAAATAGTTATATGTTTTCATTCAGTGCAACGAAATTGAATTATATAAGCAAGACGATAACATGGGGATTTTAGAATATTGCATATTGTTATCACAATTGAAAAGGTGAACAATCTCAAATATTAGTATAAATGTTATGTTGCGCTAAATCACTTTCACATTACTACTCACATATACATTTGATATATGAAAATAGTATTTGTCGTAATGATTTCTGTCAAAATTTTCGCTCGCGACAGAGATATTAAAGATAAATTAGTAAAATAAAAAAAATGTGTGCCATTTTTTTCTCTATACAATTATCTATCTCGGAATTATTTTATTATCGTATGAAATATCAAGTAATAAAATAATTGTGTTAATTTACGTACATTTTTTTAGTTTATAAGAAATATGAAATCTCGCGATAAGCAATGTTAAGCTATATAAGAGTCCACAAATAAGTGAGACTTAGTAGAACATGTCATTCCATTCTCAGAAAATATTTTAACGACGTAGTAATGATTGGAGAAAACATTATCAAATTTTGTTTTTAATTTAACATGTGATGTGATATACACATTTCGAAATACACACAGATTATTTTTAAAAACACAGTTATTTACATATGTAGTTGTTAAATATTGAAATTGTGAATCTATGTAAAATTTTTGAGTTAAAGGAGAAAAAAGGAATTCTCCATTTCAAATTCATTAAAATATTTGATATAAAAGCATCTTTAATAGTAATGTCGGGACATTTTATATAGGAGAATTCACTTACCATGAAAACTACATAGGAAATCCTTGCTATTCATGTCGGGAAACGTGTCGTCGAGAATACTGAATTCAATTTTTATATGTGAAAAGATCTTCCTCGTATTCAAGGAAAGTTAGAATGGCTTCTTTTCTCAGCACTTCTATATAGTAAGTTATAAAATACATATAACCGAAAAAAAGAGGGAGAGAGATATTTCGTCGAGAAACACCAATACATTGTGTGTGTGTTGCTTCGAAAACGATTCATATTGTGATTCCTGTAAATTAATTGAGCATTATATTATTAATATCCTATATTGTAATCAATTGCTGCATAAAAGAATAATTGGCTTTAATTGGCTTAAATAATTTTAATATAATGATAAGAATGATGAAAGAGATTTATTTAAAAATATTATCGTGAATTCATATATACATACATATATATATATTATATATATATATATATATATATATATACATTAGCATGAGATTCAAGATTACTTTTTTTTTAAATAATTGAAAACAGGATGAAAAAATAGATATGAAATTTTGCAGCTAATTCTTACATCCCATAGTTTACATATATTTGCTCTGTTAAAAGATGGCAAAAATATTTAAAAGTAGAAATTGGAAAGTGGAATTGTGCCTTTATTCGAGTTATTTTGAGTATAAATGAGAAAGATGATTATAATTATTATTAGAGTACCTGTTTAGAAATTATAAACAGGATCAAGGATCAAGTTTTACATTTCCAGTTAGATTTAATTAAGATTTTCGGTTGAATTTTAATTTGTTTCTATGCGCTGTTGATGGATTTTGAAAAAAATTATTGAATATTAAAAATTATTGAATATTAAAAAAAAATTGAATATTAAAAATTATTGAATATTAAGAAAAATACAATAAAATACAGTTGAATATTGCATCTTGTCCATCATATATCTTTTTAAACATTTTAATGTTGCCTTGCACTCTTTGCACTTATAGTATTAAATCTTACAAAATATTTGGCATAGTAACTTGGGAACATTTTTAAATGTAAAAGATTTTAGTTTATTCCGATATTTTTATAGCAAAATATGTTTGACCACTCGACAGATTTTAATCTTAAATAACGTCGATTGCTATATTTTCATGACAGACTTTATATTATTTTAATGTTTGTCCAAAATAATTAGTCCAAAAATTGTCTTATTTGTCTTATCTACAGAGGTTTTAATATTTTTATTTGACTCAAACGCTTTTATTACGACACTACGCGCGGTAGTTGAAGCGCAGAGAAGAAACAACATTTCCTTCTTTCTGATTACTCGTATATTTCAAATTAAAACTGATTACATTAACAAAAAAACGAACGTTTCTTGTGTGGATTTCTTTTTAGCGCAATGTTAATAACATGTATCAGTAATTATTATAGGATGACGCATTAAATTATAAAAATTTAAAATTATAAAAATTTCTGTCCTTGACACGTAGATGTAAATTTTGTGTGTTACAGTCAATATGTTACAATCACAGCAGATTCCGCGTTTTTTACAATTGATAACGTTATGTATCTCTTATATTGGTTTGAGATTCAATGATGAAATGTATAATATATGTCCTCGTTAGGACATAAATGTTTTTACATTAACAACTGTAAAAAGCGCGGAATCTGATCTGCTTATATATTGACAAGATACAACTATAATAATTTGAAAGGCTAATGGAAATAATGTACTTACCAGATCTCCGCGGGATACAATTTAACGTCATCTACGCGTCGAGGATAGAAATTTTTATAATTTATAATGCGTCATTGTATAATAATTTGTAATGCATATTGTTAACATCGCGTTGAAGAGGAATTGAAAGATGACCCCAAACGTTTGTTTTTTGTTAAATGTAATCATTTTTAATTTGAAATATATGAGTAATCAGAAAGAAGGAAGCATTGTTTCTTTCCTGCGCTCCAATTATCGCTATGACTCTAATTTACCAATCTCGCCTATTTGTATTCAACATATAGTGTTTCGGACTTATATAAAAATCTAATTCTTTCATCTTTTTACTAATTTCTAAATATGTTGAATTTGACGGAAAACGTTTTTCATTTGAATCTATGCATCTGTAGTTTATAGTTTTCAGCTTTTAATTATTTTTGAATTTTCACGAAATGATTCGCCAGTTTCGCACACACAATAAATCACTCTTCTTTCACGTCGATGCTCGTCAACGCGTTATCGAAAGGGAGGAGAAAAAAAATTGCTTATATAATAGGTGGTTGATGCATTTAACGAGAAACATATGTTCCACGGAATGTAGAATCAAAGTCTAAATTAAATATTTCGTAATTCTCGTGTAGCTATTTCTCAGTTATGTTGTGAAAGAATGTAGGTTATTCGAAAAGAAAAAAGAGAATTTTAAATGGATTATTTTATTATTCTGTTATGTGCGTACGTGTGTGTGTGTATGCGTGTGTGTTCTCATTCCATCGCATAAAAAATATGGATATAAAATATGGATATAAAAAAAATAAATTGCTGATATATAAAGTATATATAGAATTTTATTTATTTTCTACAATGCTTTATGCAATATATCGAATATTACCATAATTCTATTTTCGCATACTTTATTGTATGTTTTGTCTTAGAAGGTTATTTTTTACATACGTCTAATTATCTCTTATACATGATTCAAATTTTTTCGATCAATCCTGAATGCCTGCTGTCGCATTATGAAGAAACGAGCACCTGCTTCATGCAAGTTGCTCCTTCGAATATACAACGGTGTAGGTAATATAGTACGACGTTCAGCTGTGCTGCAGCTGAGATAACTATTGAGTGTTTGACAGAAATCAAACGAGTATATAATATTATCATGAAATTACTATTTTTGCACAATACATTTTTCTTCAATTTCATTTTGACACTATAAAACTTGAATATCAATTTTTTAAAGCTTTATTTGTAATATTATGAAAAAATAAGATGTTTTAAAATCGCTATAAAATAATTTTTCTAAAAAAATGTTGTTTTTTTTTCAAATCTATTCTTTAAAATTTTCTTCTTTTTTATTAATTTCGCAATTTATTCTAAAACCAATATTTTCTCCAAGTAGAAATTTATGACTAAAAAATGTGATATAAAAAAGTGGTCAATTATTTACTTGACATTATTTAATAAAGCCGTATAACTATCGATAATTCTATTTAAAAAAAGAACTTTTAAATGTCTGAAACAACAACAATTTTTATTTTGAATTTGTTTATCCTTATATCTGCAAAAATATTAGATTAAAGTATTAGTTAAAGTTAAATGAAGTCTTTGTTAATTTTCAATATAATTATGGAGAGTCTAACAATTAGTTTTCTCTTTCTATTATTTATATTAGATTTATTCTATTTAATGTATAGTTTTAAGAAATATTACGTTTGTGTAAATTCTTTGAAAAATGATGAAAAATTAAGCAATACGAAAGGATATATTATACTATAGAACTTGCTTATATGTATGAATAAGAGAGACTGGATTTATTAATTTAAATTTTATTTATTTAAGTTTGCTAACCGTTTTATATAAAAAATTCACATTCAATATCGTAAAATTTGAAATAGTTTTTTAATATGGTCCATCTAGAGATAGATTCAAATGTTTGTGCGCTTGATCAGAGAGTCGTAGATCGCAAGAGAGGGATGCCGAAAAGCCACGTGACCGAGCGCGTGTTCAACAGTAACAGCTGCACCGATGCGCTCCTTTCAATTCACGTTGAACCTTCATCGAAGTAACATTGCGGCCAGATCAGCAAGCTGTATTATTCGATTGTTCGGAAATATTCTATTTCGATTTTATAAGTGCTGTAAAATTAATTCCACGTTCTTACGTTAATTAATTCGAAACGTTGCATAGATTATTTTATTTTTAACACACCTTTGAGTTAAAATTATAAAGTGCGAAATCATCGTTCGTTTAACGTCAATGCGATAAAAATTATGAATAAATAATTTTCAAAAGAGAAAAAAGTGTAATCGGAGTGGAAAAGATTTGCATAAAAATACAGCTTGAAGAATAATGAATAATCGCAGGAAGCTGATTCACACACGACGCGCGATGACAATTGCGATCATTGTTTGCATATTGGCTATATTTATTAAGGTATGTATATATATGTATGTGTTTTCTCGTAGTCATAATTAGATTTATTATTACATTTTTTCAAACAATATATTTATTAATATAAAACGAAAGAATATTTAAAATTAAATTCACAGAGGTAAATTTTAAATAATCGTTATTAGCATAAATTGTTAATTATTATTAAAGTATATGTAACTTTAATAAGTTCAATCTACAGAAAATTCGGAGGTCCTTTAACCATTGAGTTGATAAAAATAAGAAGTAAAATGTAAGAAAAGTATAACGTATATATAAAGTATAAATTTAAAAAAAAGGTTCGATTGCATCGCCATAATTTATGGGTAAGATTTTCCAATAATATCAAACCGCTCCTTGTATTCTAATTAAACTATCGTCATCGTTTTTAAAGAAAAAGGGAGAAAGAGAGAGAGAGAGAAAGTACACTTGCATTCCTTTGAAATCTCCGCATTATATGTCCTCGGATTTAATAACTATTATATATAAATAAAATACAGAACATTAAATACTTTCGCAAAAGCGCAGTTAATAATGCAAAGGTGAAATAAAACGATAATAATCGTCATCTTGAAATATCGCCAGCAGATAAAATCGGTTCTCAGATGCGAGATGCATCTTTGTAATGTACAGAATGCATGGGTATAGTTAAAATAATGAAGATGGATGAGAGAACCCCTCGCAGGAAGGTTGAACCGGAAATATCAAAGTTGTTAAGACATTTAGACGATACGTATGAATAAAATATGATCCAGTAGCAATCGAGAATCATGTGTACGATTATCAAAATTACACATTTCTTTTGTCTTATACTTATGAAAGAAACAAAAATTCTATCTTAAAATGTCTTACTCTTAGAATTAAATATTTTATAAAATTCAAAATTTGTTATTTATTTGATATAAATCAAGTTCTAAACTATTGAATTTTAAATCTTATGAATTAGAATTCTATAAATTTTATAATGTTACTAAATATCTTATAAAGATTTTATTTAAATAATAAAAATCACAGTTGTCATTATTAATTTTTTTAGAAAGGATTTATAAAGATTGTTTCACTTTTAATTAATCGACATTTGACAATCAAATTGTACGTCGCGTATCGATATAACATTCCCTTTTTAAAATAAAATGGATCATTCGAGTTTAGTTTATAGGAACATTATATTAAAGAGAGAGCGGTGAATCTCTCGATGTGAAACATCCAGCTTCGTCATTTTTGAAATAATTACAAATGTGTGCATCTCGTTGCGTATTTTGCATTGGACCGTAAAACACTTGGCATGTATATTCAAAGAGTTGAACGCACGAGCACAAAGCGCGAGCAGAGTGCACATGTCGTTTGCAAGTTGCGTTTGTGTCGGGGGCCCATTCCGCATTATACAGCACGCATTCGTTTGGCATGTCGGCGGGTTATTCGGTTCACTGGGGTACGCCGTGCTTTATGAGACTCATTAGTATGCCATGGGAACCCGGAGACGGCGGTTCCGCTGGCGATGCGATTTTCGCGATGCTTCTCGTCGCTCCCGACTCGCACTCTCCTACGCCCTCGCCAGCAACGTTCACGTGTGCGCTATAGGAAACAAGGGGTCGCACACGCATATACACACGCATACACACACGCGCGCGCGCGCGCGAGAACGTTGGCGTCGCAGCGCAAGGAAAAACGGCGTTGTTACAACGCAACACCACGTACAATTATCTCGAATACGATACGCTACATGTATCGGCAATTTGCGTATATCGGCAAATTACGGTATCGATGCGGCGTGGCCGCGGTCTAACAGGTGAAAACAGAAAGAAAGTATATATTTACGAAACGGTACTTTATAACGTACTCGTACGCATAATTTCGCGGAGAAGAGGGCGATGTATTTGCGTCGCAAGTTGAATCGCGCGAGATGAGACATGCCCCCGATTGTAGAGTTTCGGCGCAGAGTTTCAGAGGAAGGATGTAGAATCCTAGCTAAAGTTTCGCACGTGTATTTTCGTATCGTTGTGAATTATTGACGTGGAAAGACTTGTTTGTCCGAGTGGCGCCTTGGCTGCTCGGCGCTGCGAACTGGCTGAAAGCCTTGTTTACGCTGGGTGATTGGTGAGGTCTCGGGGAGTACCGGATCTCATTAGCATCGTAAGAGAACTCGAGAAGTCACGACGGCTTCCTTCGCGCTACAATTCTCGCGACATTGCCGGTTACGTTTGAACGAGCCGCCGAATAACGAACTGACGATATTCGTAGATTCGCATAATCGTGCCCTTTAATCATCACCCGCTTTTCCGCGCGACATTTAGTATCTACGAGTCTAACATTTTTTTTTACTTTCCCCTTGACAGCATCCGATGCGCACTTTATTCGCGACGTCGAAGCAGTTACAAGAGTATGCTCTTACTTCTCCCCCATCCAGGTGTGCGGTAACCTTCGACGACCCACGGAATATACCGGTATATATGTGGAGAGTAGAGTTGGTAGAATAATAGGGTGCGTAGTGGCCAAAGATAATTATCGCGGTTCTCGAGGCAGCTGCGACTGTGGGTTCACCCTCGGGGTAACCCCGGTGTCTTCCTCCGGGAAGTAGAACCGGCCCGCTGTGTGCTCGACCGAGGAAGTCGAGCACACATACATACTAAAAGGGAGAACCCAGTCTGGCGTGACTCCGCGGGTTGCTGCCTGTTGCACCTTTGGCGGTACCCTCCTCCGAATATCTCGAGGCCTTGCGGTTCGTTCGAGCTCGTTGAAAGCTTCCTGTCGGAAATGACACAAGAAAGTAGCAAATATATAAAAGAGCCGTGAATACATAATAGAATACGATAAGATGTAATATATTTGAAAATTACGTAATCAAAATTATTGTTCTCAATTTTCGATGATTTTTGACTATACATGTATGTGTTGCATATTATACGTATTTAAGAATTTATATTTATATTTTTTCCGCACATCTAATTATTGCTGTTTTCTAATCTTTGTCTGATAGTTTTATCTTTTACGTAATTTTGTCTGTAAATATGGAAATATTAAATTATTTAAGGCAAATTTAATAAATATTTCATGTTCAATATCGACAGAGATGGTAGAAATCGAAAAGATTCAATCCATCGTAGAGTAAGCGCATCGACGACGGGTTTGAGTGAAATATCTTATCCTATAATAACGTTTGGAACGTGTCTCTGTTCGGTTTTAAAATTACTGCAATTTTTCTCTCGTGCACGAGGTATCCGCCTCTTCCGGTGACAAATGGAAGTGGGCCACGTTCAGATGAATCGACGAGCATGAAAATCCAACCCTAATGATCCTATACAATCTATACTCGACTCTTTTTATATGAACAAAAATTGTTTTTTTTTTTGTTGATAATTATCTTTATAATCGTAGAAACGCAATGGAATATTATAATTACCATATTATTAACTACTTACAAATTCAATGAAAACAATTTTCAAAGTTGTGTTTGGATATTAACGATGATTTTGTTATTTTTTCTATTGTTTAACTAAGTTAAAGTTTTAAAAATTATTTATCTTGCAAAACTGCCGATGAAGCAAAGAAGATCGATACCTAATCGTCCATTAAATCATGCGAATTTTATATCGCGGTTCATGCGCATTCATCTATCAGCATTGAAATTTATCGGCATCAATGAGTCTATAAAAAAAAAAAAAGAAATAAAAGTGGAACACAAAAGGGACACCAATTACCGTTTCCGTTTCGTTCTTCCATTCCGGAAGTTTCTATTCACACTCGGCGCACTATGGACGCAACATTACTTCCGTCATTTCATCGTTACGGATCGTTTGCCGACACCATCGTTCGATTTTTCATCAGGGTCAAATCGATGCAATGCGGAATACCGTACCACGAAAAATACCTTTGTGTTATACATGAGGGCAGGGAATTCTTCGTTACTTTTCCTTCTTGTTTACTCTCATCTAGCCTCGTGGAAAATTCTATCGATATATCGCGAATTATTTATGAAACTCCCGTTTCTACAATGCATTCGTTTGACGTGCCCATGATTAGCAGAAAATCGACAAAAGAAAGATTTAAAAACGACTCTTAATGTCTAAAAATGTGCTCAACATGACGCAAATTCTTTCTCTCTTCGTATCGTTCAAATTTTTTCTCTCTTTGTATCGTTCGAGCGTAATGTTGACGTTCCGAAAGCGACGATTCGCCGACTCGTCCCAACAAACAAGAAGATTCTGCGGTTTCTGGAAACGGGCAATTTTTCCGATCGATAAATCTTGCCCAGGCAAAATCGCGTCTTCACGATTGCTGCGAGACGTTCGAGGATATATATCTTCGTTGAAGAATGTGACGTGCCTCCCACTTGAAGCAATTACCTCGAGGAAGCTTCGAAGATCGATATTTTTTGCCTCGTTGATGCTCTCGAAGTATTCTCGCCGCAAATTTAACGTCAAATATAGTTGCTCGGTTCATAACTCACTTCGGTACTGTGAATGTAATTTTCCATGTATTAAAATTTTATTAAGCCAAAGTTTGAAACAAGATTTTTCTTTTATATCTATTTTCAGTTGTATTTTTGTATTTCTGAGGATTAATTTGTTGCTGTTCAATGGCTTTCATGTTCAATGACTCATTATTATTCAATTTGCTAATTCAATAAGGTGATTATCGAAGGCTTCGAAGGCTCGTAACCCTTATCTAGCTAAGCTCGTCACAACCGTAAATTGACAGCAGGCATCCTTACATGTGAATGTGATGGCTCGTGTTACGAGCCATCTACTAAGATGAGACGATGGGCGTTTTATTGAACTATTTGAAAAATGAAACATATATTTTCTTCCGGAACAATTTTGCATTATTAATCACGAATAAATATCAACAAAACAATATTTTTAATGTGAGCGAGAGAAATCACAAAGTTGCATAATACAAAATTTTACTTTAGGTCACGAGAAAAAGTCTCGAAATAAAATTATCTTTTCTGTAAAATCACAGATCCATAAAACGATTGTGAAAGTCGAAAGATGCGCGTAACATTGAGCTTAAAAATGATACTCTACGTCATGGAAAGTTTGACGATGTATGTAGATAGCATATGTACGGAAGAAGAAGGTAAAAGGTTTCGAATTAAGGTCCGATGCTAATGATTCGCGATGACTGTCGACGCGTGCCGCACGAAGCAGCTGCCAACAGCTGCTCTAGAAAGGGATCGCTTCTCTCGACCCTCTTATTTTACTCATTTTTACCTGTCGCTTTTGTGGTCAAGCGACAACGCGCCCATATCTCAGAAGATATATATATATATATATATATATATATATATATATATATATATAGAGAGAGAGAGAGAGAGAGAGAGAGAGAGAGAGAGAAATATTTTTTTTAAACGAGACGAATCTTTTTTAAAACTTAATTATAATTAGAATCTTTATTTCTTAAGCGTTAGATGCAGAAAAAACATGAGTTTAAAGGTAATTAAATTTTCATTGCCTGATGGATCAATAAATTCTCTCTATACAAAAAAGTCTAAAATTAAATGGATTTCTAGAATCTTTTCGCGTACTTATATTAAATTGCTAAAGAAAATAAATTATATTATTTGACTGCTGTGTAGATTAAATATATGTAAAAAAGATTTTAATAATATTGTTCGATAGATAAAAATTATTTTAAATTGAGGAAATTTACAAATCGGCGTAGTCAAATAAACGTTACTTATTTCGGGCAAATTAATCGAAAGTAAGCGGAATATATTACGGAATATATTAATATTACGTATTAAGAGTAGCATTTTATGCGTGAGAGAGTACGAGGGTTCATATATCGTCTCGATCTGGTCAAAGTAGGCGGAAGAAAGGCGCAAGGTGTTCTCTCGCAGTCAGGTGGTGGCCTTCTCTTCTGTGCACCTGTTGTGGGCTCAAACCTGTATTTCAGTCTGATTAGAAAAACAGAAAAATAATAGTCGAAAATAAATGACGCACAATTCGTAATCCATTTATAGTATATTATATTATATTGTAGTATAATTTAGTTGTATTGCAAATATGTATTTACAATAGGAAAAGTAGATACGTGTCGTGCATAAGCTTCATATTATATTCAGAGATATATATTATATAAGAAATAAAATGTGACTATATAAAATCTTAATAAAAGAATACGTTAACCGCGCATTGATTAGTCATCTAATTGGCGATAGTAATTTTTATTAATCATAAGCAGTTAAAGAATGCAGTTAAATAAAATTTTATCGACCGGTCATTCAACTCTTGATTTTACACTCGCTTCCCGAGATACCTAAAAAGATATTCCGAATACTTTATGCGGCTACTAATTATAGAGGGGTTCTTTCTTTTTTAGTGACTCCAAATTAAAAATATTCATTAATAAATGAAATAAATTTTATACAAATATATATCTTAATTGATCTTAGATCAAAATATTTCTCTCATAAAAGATATAATATAACAAAATATATAATTGCCTTCTAGTGACATGTAAACGTGTATAAAAAATTGATTCATGAATTTATATGGTATTTTTAATCGTCCACAAATATTATTGAGGGAATCGTCCGGGATCGATTGCGAGAACAGTTTTCGAATCTCTTTTGGAATCCGACTTGAAAGACTACAAGACGAGCCTTACGCCTGTTGCGATTCAGACTCGGGGCTATACTAACCATCTGCCGTTCTCTGTACAATTTCAGACCAGCGAAGGCAGGCCTCACATCAGGCATCACCGGGACGGCTCGCACTGCAGCAGATGCGGTCCAGGCTGGGGCGTGATTAGCCGCTGCACCCGCGGCCGCGACACCGTGTGCAAAAAGTGTCCGGTCGGCACGTACAGCCGGCATCACGGCACGCAGCCCTGCTGGAACTGCGCCAGATGCGGCCCGGGTTTGTACGAGGCGCATCCGTGCACCTCGCGCACCGACACCGTCTGCGACTCCTGTCATCGCTCGAAGCCGGACAACCCCGACTATCGGCGTAAATGCGAGGGCCGCGCGAGGTTCTTCCTCGCGCCGGAGGACGCGCGGAGCACCGCCGAGGAGAGCATCCTGGTGAACGAACCGGCGTACCGCTTCCAGCTCGACAGCAACGACAGGGACCAGATACTCGAGAGAGACGTGGAGGCCATCCTGAGGGACAAGTCGGCCGATCGAGCGGAGGATCTAGCGAGAATCTAATTACCATATGAATATTAATCTCGAATAAAACGGATTATTGGAGTACGTCATCCTTCGCGTCCATCGGAAACCGAAGGTTCTTGCAATAATTTTACTCACTCAGTTGTTGCAAGATCCTCGAAGAAAATCGAACGTACGGTACTCGAGAAATCAACAGATCATGCAGAGTATAACACCCGTAGATTCGAAAATAGAGGATTAGAGGAAATAATGTATGTCCGATATTGATCGATCTTTAAATACTAGTCAATTAATATTTAAGACAGCTAATGTTCGACTGACAATGACAAGTAGCGTACGATCTCGGTACAATGTACGGATTGCATTCAAATGAAAATTTATTTTCTTCTGTCTCTTGTCCGTTCATTCATCATACACGCACAAGCGAATTTCAATTATTCTGCATCATACAATGCAGCACAGATGGAGCACAAAACGCTCCCTATATGCCAAATTAGAATACAAAAAAATTCTTTTCTCTTACGAATAAACAGCTATATGAATAAACAGTTATACCTTCAATTTCAATTTACGTTTACGTTACATGTTATATGTTGTAATGAAATGAATATTCAGCGTAATTCAACGTTCGTCATCTCCGTGTGGATGTTATAAATTTTATAGATATTTTGCAGTCTGTATCGAAATTTTTATATACAGTCATTCTTGAATTTTGCGATATATTTTCACGAAAATTTTCGTGATTACATTTTTATATGCATTTGAATATATCAATATTGCACATGCCACACACACACGCGTGGATTAAACTCGCTGTTACCATAGACTGACGAGAAGCTCGTACGCTTATAACTAAACGAGATACATTCGGATCCACGTAAATCCGCGGTCCTTCGAGTTTCATTTGGGATTAATACGACGCGTTATAACAAACGCCGAGTCGCATTTAGTCCTTGATTGCTATTTTCCACTTTATCGAACAGCATTTTGGAGTCCGTGGTTACGAATCGATATTTCAGCTAAATTCGGCATACTTTCTGGATCGATGCAGATGCGGGCGGTCTAAAGATATATAAGCGAGCGCTACAAATTATAATATCCTTGCTGCTAGATCAATATGACCGCGCGTTTATCATTTTTAACATAATTTGTACATATACATTTGTACATATACAGTTTTGTTTACGGATATGGATTTCTCTGTATATTACACGAGCTTACAATGGGAATGAATTTCGATGTTATACATTTTCAAAGATTTCTTTCGATATCATTATGCTCTTATTTCGTTAGATAGGTATAATATACACATTTCTAATCGAAACGTACGTGTATTCCGATTTTGAGAGTGGATCGGGATCGCCTCGTTGCACGTATATGGTTTTTTCTCGAGAAAACTAATTGCGTGAAATTAATGATAATCAAGAAAAATGGTTCGATATCGATAAACGACAAGTTCGATATATTCAAAGTGAAAGTTTTGTCGATACATGTCCTCGTTTGGTTTCACTGGATAATAATATATTGGTTTTCAACGCACATACACCAAAAATTATTTTCTCTCAAAACGAGAGTGCTGTGGACCATTTGTAAAAAATCGAAAAGTCAAGATTCATCTATTGTATCTTTTAACTTTCATTCTTTTTTAATGATACGTCAATGATTGGTCCACATAATTCATGTAGCGGTATAATATTCAAAAGTAAAGATAAATGAAAATATATTACAAATAAACTATTTACATGTTCAAAATATTTTTAATGTTTTACGAACAAATATATTCTTGGAATCAGGAATATCGTTGGAATCATATAACTTTTTTATCTATTTAGCAATATATATATACTTGATGCAATCTAATGTTCTATTAATTTTTACTAGTTAATCCTCTTATGTAATTGATAAAACCGCAATTGATAAAACCGATAGGCTAGCAATTCGGCGAGTTGATTATTCTGATATCGTTATACGATGGCTCGCATTTTTAGCGTGCATTTAAAGTTAAACGTGACTCAATTTTATCTCTATATATTTTCTTTTTTATACATAAATGTGAAACTCAAACTAGACGATTGTATCTAACGTTAAGTGTGACGACAAATACAAATGAGATATACGAGCCAACATGGCTTATTGTCTAAATCTAGATACATTCATAAAGATAATTTACACGCGTATTTTTCCTACGAGATGATACATATTATCTTGCCCGATATCACAGAAAATACTCGAATGACATTGATACCGATCGTATTCATTATTGAAACTAATCAAATATTTTTTGCATGTTAATTATCGTATCTTTTGAATCTCGTTGATACGTTTTTTTATATTAGTAAATTGCATTTATCATATATTAATACGTTTGTCAAGAATATGTTTAGCATATATTAATAAATTTCAATAGTCAAATAGACAGATGTATGCGTAACTAATAACTAATAACTAATAATTAAATGACAAATTACATGTAATCAGATGGATCAACCGATCAGATTATAAGCGATAAATTATTAATGCAAAAATGAAAAAAATGTATATCGAGCGATATTATTAATTTATCTTGATACTATACTTTGAAAAATAAGTTGTTGTAAATATGCCATATAATGAAACACTATCTAAACTATTTCTATCGCTTTATTTATCATATCATTTCGATCCTTTATCGTATATTAAATTTTTACGTGTAAAGTTACATTTTTCAGGAACATAACTTTGGAAAAATGTGCATTCAATAAATTGTAAACATGGGACGCGAATAGAGATTGTGGCCCCTTTGATACAGTTGCTTGTACTTTCATTACAACTGATCACAACGAATCAACGTTCGCAATAACTTTGATGATAAAATGAAGCGATATTATCGAACATGTTTGGATAAATGGAGGCAATTGTCGGAAGAATTAAGATTAACGAAAAAAAATCGAGAGTCAAAGTAAACATATTTTTATCTAAAGAAATATAGTATGATATAAATCAATGATGCAACTAACGTTATAACCATGCATATACAAAGCTAACACAGGTACAAGATAAATCGGTGATTTTCTTCTGGTGCCTAAGAGAAGAAACGTTTATAGGATATGGTGGGAATCGCTAGAATCATACTTGGAAGAGAAAGGAAACTGTGAACAAATGCACGTGTTACTAAAAAAAAAAGGATTAAAAATTGGTTTCGCGTAAAAGGGTTGAAATATGTGTGATTTTCAAACTTTCTGAAAAACTTTGTTTTAAAGCTCTCCTAAAGTTCTTTGAAGTTCGGAATTTGAAGGATTTAAGAATAAATTCGTAATAAAGAAAAAGTAAATATATTCGAACAATGTATATAGCTAGAACAAAAGAAAATCCCTTACACAAGATTCGCTATGAGATGAACGCCAAGAGAAATAACAGCCAATCTCTAGAGATCAAGAGACCAATGTACGTCCATTAATTCTAATTCAACTTTAAAGCCACGGCGGTCACGGAGCCAACACAGTCACAGTACAATTCATGCATACGCTATACGAGGAAATAAATACAATTTCGATAATTAAAGAATGAAAAATCGGAAACTACCACAATCAAATATCATCATGCTATACATTCGGCTCGCGTTCTTTGCGGATATTTATTTATACGAATTATTTGTTCCACTCCCGATTCTTTTTTCTTTTTGGAGGGCGGGCACTTGGCTCACAATAGAGGGCCTACTGTTAAATTCCTACAATTCCTTTAAATTTCTCTCTTAAATCTGTACACGATTAGACCGTAATAAAGAGGAGACAACGACATAAGATGACAACGCGAGAAGATATCCCATGGAATATGTGGCAGACATCCCTTTTAATTTCTCTCGCGATCAGAAAAATATTCTCAAGATACTATACGTTCGAATATCCGAATGTTGAAATATTCCAATGATGTCGCGAAATAATCCTGAAATAGAAGAAGATAGGCTCTACAACAATTTAATGCAATAAAATGCGCGTAAAAGCTTAGGAAGTTTTTCATATTATGTTGCTTTCTGCATCTGATTTTACGAGTATTCGAGTTGACGGATTACTAATCTCGTAAATTCTACAGTAAGCGTAACAATGAAAATTACACGAGTAGTACCATTCGAGATATTCGAATTACGAATATTCGAGTATGTTACATTCGAATATCGAATCGTACAGACATTGATTGCTTCGATCGTCGGTTGATCGGATCGCATCGCCGCATAATAATCTAACAACTGTGTATCGTCACACACATTTCTCTCTTAATACATAATCCGTGTATTTATAATATATATTGCATATATATTAACGTAACTTTCATTTGAATGTTTAGCGGCCCGCACACGATTCATCGATTCGCGTACATTTTTTTGCATAATGTGATTCTTATCTAACATGATTTGATTCTAACATCACCAACAGCTTCAACTTGATTCGCAATAATTGCAATAATCTTTTGCCACGAGAAATGTTGAATCATGTGCGAGTCTTTAAATCTAAGCGCAACACGCGATTTTCATCTCTATATTATAATAAACGAGTATGAACGCGAAGATAAAGGGGATATCATTATTATAAATCTCGTTGGTTGTCTTAAAACATAATTTTACCGGACATTATATAATTTTCCTCATAAATCCATGACTGGTAATCGATAGTGACGGTCGAAGAGTCACGTGTTAATCAGTTCGTTCGTTTCACCTTTTATTCATAATTTTCGGAAGAACAAAGTTCGGTAAAATGACAAACTAATACTATGAGATTCGTTAAAAAAAAAGTACGATGTATGTAGAAGATTGATAAAAATTACAAAAAACATGTCTTACACAATTAATATATTATTAAATTATTATATACATATACATATATGTTTTATGTATGCATATATGTATATGTAATATTGTAAAAAATTATGAATAAAAAATGTACATCTCATCAGCATACATATAAATTATAAAATTTGCATATATTACACGTACATTTAAAAAGAAATTAAAAAAATCTGCCACTGCAAAATGAATTTTTATAGCGATAATTTATAGATTATATTTTTAAACATGTCGTATAACATTGGTGCGCTTGTGCTACTGCTAAAGCATTAATTAAACTTTGTAAGAAAATATATATTATATTGAGTTTAGAAAAAACATTATTTATAACAGCTTTTGAAATATTAAAAATGAAAGGAATGAAAAACATCTATGTTTTTTTACATTACTTATGATTCAACAATGATTACATCAAAATCTGACAGTAAAATATTAAAATCCTGTCGCGTATCATAAAATAGTAATAATCGTAGAAAAGAAAAAAAGATAATTAAAATAACATTAATATATATAATAAAATTCCACTATATGCACAATAAATCAGAAGTAAAAAAACTGATAGCGCGTGTTCTCTCGACCAACAACTAGTCAAAATACATGTCTAATTTATAAATATGTGTCTAATATATAATCTAAGAAAAAAAAGAGAAATATAACGAGGACTTAGAAACATGGAGAAAAGGGGGGAGGATTTACACTACATATGAATATGAAATATATATATATATATATATCTTACGTCCCTGAAAAAATAAGACAGAAATGGAGTAAAAAAAAATTTGAGCTTATATGGCTACAAATAGTGCAACCTATGTATCTCATAAATGTTTATAGCCATTTGTAATTAATTCAAATTTTATATATACAATTGTTTAAAGCTTTACAAAGATCGGTAATATATCTCACTGATCGTTATAAAGCGATATTTCATAAATCATATTTAGAGCTGCTCTTTCCATTGTTAGTATTATAAAACGCATTTCGTAAAACACACTTCAAATATTACCTGTACAGAGTATACACTCTATTGAAATATACATCTTACTTAAAATTCTGAAAATAAGAGTACTTCTACAACTACAAATCATTAATCTGTGATTTAGATTTCAATTAACGACATACTAAGATTATAACATACCTCCTATTGGAATCGTTTTGTAAACATAAGAATGACCAGCCATGGATTTATCATACATCAATAATATATAGAAAATCTAGAATATTGTTCAAAATCAAGATTATAAGATAGGACGCAATTAAATATAAACTCTACTAATTATACAATAATTAATTTGCAGCTCCGTTAAATATATAAGGATATATCTATATGATAAACAGCTAATATTATACAACTACTGTCATTGTGCCCAAATCTACTCTCGCTCACGCGACAATTTCATGGCGAAATACGAATAATTCGTGAAATAGAATTCATGACACATGATGATACAAAATGATATAACAAAGAGACGTTCACATACAGAGAGATATTCCAACCTCACAGATCCAATCTTAATGATTCGCCGATGTTAAGAATTATACAGAGATAAATTTGTATTATAAAACTAAATAAAAAAAAAAAATTCTTTGTTTCTATAATGTGGCTCGAGTGATTCTATAATATATTATATATATAATCATAGCTATAAAATATCTAGTTTTTTCTCTATTTCACTCTTTCTCGTTTCACCTGCATAAATTGTATAGATTGTAATATATAAGATGTAGATCCATATAAAACAAATCTACAGATACATATCTTCAATTATGAGATAATACTGTCTATCATAGCCAGTTTATATGTATGTTCTGTTCTTTCTGTACGTGATTGATCTCGATAATTCTGATTTAAATCTACATATGTCTCTTCGATAAAACGATATATAGTGACACAAAACTACCTACACGAAGATATAGATTTCATACAAGAGCGTTATGAGAGTGTAAGCTTGGGTACAACGCAAATATGTCTTAACAAATAGTCATCAGTATCTTTTTAAACGACGCGCGAGATGACATTCTCTTTCGATAATGATACATGTCCTCTCACGACGCGGTACTAATTTCTCGATGATGCCTGCTAGGCCGTTTAAAATTGGTCCACCAGCAGGTCACAGATCTCTACCGACATCGATTCTTTACTTGAACGTACTGTTAAACGAAACATCTACAAATGAAAATGTGCAATTGAATAAGACTTTCACACATGCACACAATTTGTCATTACAAATTTTGTTATTAAATTTTTCAAAAATTTGACAAGTTACCTGAGCTTGTTTATTAGGTTCAAGACGCAATAGGCAACCCACTTGTTGCGCTCTCATATGAACGATACCAGCGCAGACAAAATTATCAGGATTTGGATCGATACCGTCAAGTAATTGCATACCAAAACCTTGCAATTTTGTACGTACTTGTGTTAAATCCATCGGTTGCTGTGCTTTGAAAATCTTTTGCGATCGTTGTTGATTCGCTCTAAAAACAGATGAACATTCGATGAATCAATTTAAATAAACCTATTTCTTTTCTTAATTAAGCATATTGTACTTGTATTTCATACCCGCCGAGATTTTTCCATCTTGCGAAGAATGATTCCCCATTCATCTCTGTCGGCTCGAAAAACTTGTTAATTGTTAATGGTAACTTCATTGTGATTTTTTGTGGCACATTATTATAAATGAAAGAGATAATCATGCTCGGCGCATCTGTGAATAAAAAAACAGTATACATATAAATAAAGTAGATTACTGATTATTAGAAATCTGAAAAAATTTCAAATTAATATACCATTATAATCATCGATGCATTCTGCATTGATCATTTGCTGGATCTGAGCGCCAGCCTCCAATATAGGATCAACGGGTTTTACTTGTACAGCCAATTTTGCTTGATTCTCATCTGTCCAAGATAACTGTGGTTGAAAACTGTGTAATGCATATTGCGTTTTGTTTCCATAGAAAAGGCCTATACGTCCAAGATTTTGCCTAAACTCTGATTT